AAAAAGCAAAAAAAGAAGTCGCAACACGAGTCACCGAGACAAAAAAAAGAAACCAAAGCCCACTGAAAATTAAAAAAGAAACAGTGCAGATTAAAAAAAACACAACGGAAGTTAATGACACAAAAAAAAGTGGTGATGCAAAAAAAAGTTACTGCAAAAAAGAAGGAATGTAAATAAAAAAGCTGTACAAATCTGTATACTTTTTTTATTGGCATTCTTTTATTTTTGCAGTAACTTTTTTTTGCATCACCACTTTTTCTGCATCGTAAACTTCTGTTGTGGATTTTTTTTTATTTCTATCTGCACCGCTTCTCTTTTTATTTGCAGTGGGCTTCAGTTTCTTTTCTTTTTCTTTTTGCATCGTTACCTTCCATCGTGGCTTTTTTTTTTTTGCATTCTTTTTATTTGCAGCAGGCTTCGGTATCTTTTTTTTATCTTCTGTATCTTTTTTAACTTCCATTGTGACATTTTTCTTTTATTTGCATTCTTTTTTTTTTGCAGCAGTGGCTGCTCTCGGCCACCGTAGCTTTATGGACTCTCTTGAATTAAAGCTCCTCTCTCCTCAGTTTCTCTCTGACCTGTCACCTTAACCTGCCTCTCCAACAAACATGTCGTGCAGCTGAACCTGAACCTGCTCTGCATGTTCATAATAACTGAGACAGACGGCGGCGGCGGCAGCGGCGGCGGCAGGATTGGGCGAAGGCGCTGACGTGGTGATGAGGTAAAAATAGAATCAGACGTCTGAAACGTCAGCGAGGAAATATTCATCCTGACTGAGTCAGACTGCAGGGTTAGCAGGGTGAAGCTAACACGCTAATGAGGGGAGTGTGTGTGTGTGTGTGTGTGTGTGTGAACCAGCCTGACTGTTAGCATTAGCATTAGCCTCCTCCAGTCAGACCAGTTGTCCCAGTTTGTGTCTCTGTGTTTCAGAGTCTTTGAGTCTTCAGCTCAGGTGTGAGGGTTTCCTCCTGACCTTTGACCTTAACCCCCCACCCCCTGACCTCAGCTCCTTCCTGTCTTTGAGGAGGTCAGCAGGAAGTCAGGAGGAGCCCAGAGGTCAGAGGTCAGGAGGAGAAACAGCTTTCTCTGTCGTCTTCATCTCTGCCGCCACTTCCTGTTTCACTGATGAGTTTACAGTCAGCGCTCGGTGTGTGTGTGTGTGTGTGTGTGTGTGTGTGTGTGTGTGTGTGTGTGTGTGTGTGTGTGTGTGTGTGTTGACTCTTCCTCACTGTTTGTGTGTTTGTTGATGTTCCTGAACTCGGCGTCCGTCCCTCAGAGTGACTCAAACTAAACAAACTGAAGAGTAAATGAAACAAACCGGAGTGAAGAATCAAGATAAACTCTTTAAAAAACGTTCCTGCAAAAACACAAAGAAATTAAAACTAAAACTTCATCTTAGAAACTCTAAAAATGCAGAAAAAGGATTTTAAAAAAGGAGATTAAAAGACTTTTTAAAGGAGGAGGTGAAGAGGAGGACAGCAGAGGAGATTAAAGGTGGAGCAGGTGTGAAGATACAGAGTCATCCTCCTCCTCCCAGTGCTCCCAGTAAGATGAGTCAACAGGAGAGAGCTGAGTCAGAACATCCTGCTGACACACACACACACACACACACACACACACACACACACACACACACACACACACACACTCAGGTGTGCAGGATCCCTCATTCTTGGTTCATACAGATTTATATTTTTATTTTTGTCGTAATTTTCCAACAAATCCTGAAATTTTAGTGTTTCTGAAAAAGTCCAAAAGTCTCTTTTATAATAATTATTGTTAGTATTTTAATAAAGTGTTTTTACTGAGACTTTGATTTAAAGTGTTTGACTTTGATCTCCATCAAAAAGACAGTATCAGTGATTTTTCAGTGAGTTTCTGTTTCCTCTTTTAACTCTTTGATCGTCAAAATAAAAGCTTTTAACTAAAAGTGTTTTTAATGTCGACGCTGATCGAACAGAGTTTAACAGATCTGAGAGGAACTGAGACACACTGACTTCAAGATGAACACACACAGACACACACACACACACACACACACACACACACACACACAGTAACAGTGAAAACTCCAGGGGCCCGAGGACAGACCCCTGAGGGACCCCCGGGGGCCGTAGAGTTCAGATCATCTCCTGGTCAGTCAAGAACCAATCAGAACCCCCCTCTCTATGAAGCGGTGTGTATTTGTGTATTTGTGTATTTTTTTGGTCCTGTCTAATTCCTGGAACAGCAGAAACCAACATAAATAAATCAGAATGACTGACAGATCCTCAGACGCCATAAATCAGCTGTTATCTAACTCTTGTTGTCGTCTCTTTGTGCGTTAGAGTTGTGTTGCGTATGTCGTATTTCACAACCTCCAATAAAATAAAGATTCTGCTGCAGGAGAGCAACGCCGCGAACACGCCACACACACGCCGCTATCACGCCGCCAACAGCTGAGTCATCAGGAAACATCAGAGAGAGAGAGAGAGAGAGAGAGAGAGAGAGAGAGAGAGAGAGAGAGAGAGAGAGAGAGAGAGAGAGAGAGAGAGAGAGAGAGAGAGAGGGAGTGAGAGAGGGAGTGAGAGAGAGAGAGAGAGAGAGAGAGAGAGAGAGAGAGAGAGAGAGAGAGAGAGGGAGGGAGTGAGAGAGAGAGAGAGAGAGAGAGGGAGAGAGAGAGAGAGAGAGAGAGAGAGAGAGAGAGAGAGAGAGAGAGAGAGAGAGAGAGAGAGAGAGAGAGAGAGAGAGAGAGAGAGAGAGAGAGAGAGAGAGAGAACTCTGGTTTCTATGAATCCTGATCAATCTGATCGATTTTTATTGATCCACTCAGAGTTTGATTGTTTTTAAAAGCAGGAAGGAAGTTCTGAAGCACCGCCGTAAGGTTCTCTTTAGGGGCGGGGCTACAGAGGGGCTCGGTCGTGTGGCAGGAATCACTTGTTGTGGTTAACCCCGCCACAATAAAAGCCCTCTCTCACTGACTCATCCTCGCTCGTCCTTCATCCTCCAGTTTAACCATCAGTGAGTAAGACACCCCCCCACCCCCACCACCACCACCACCGCCATCAAAGTGGGCGGGTCTGAGGCAGAAAGGGTCCGATAAGGAGCAGAAGAGAGTTTTTCCTGTGATCTGGTTCTCAGTCTGGACCCGGATCAGAGTCTGTGGTTCTGGTTTCATGATGAGGCGCTCCGTTTCATGTCGGTCCAGGTCTCAGATCTTCTCTCTTCTTCAGGGGTTCGTTTATCGGCGTGTGCAGGAAACGAGAGAAAGTCATGGCTTTGAAACTCTCGACCCCGAGTCTCAGAAACCTCCTCGTGTTTTTTTATGAAAGAGTTTTAATCTGTTTGAACTCGACCTCTGAACCTGACCTTCTGACAACAAGACCACAAAGACCTCAAAGTCTGAGTGAGACCCTGCTGTGAGTCTCCACAGACTGACCTCAGACCTGTTTCATCACCTTTAGTCTTCATACTTCAAGAGTTTGATCGAACCTTCTACAACATCCTGAGGACGGACACGGTCCTGTGCTCGACTGTTTCATTAGATGGTGTAACGTTGTAGAACTGAAGTCGTTCTACGTATTTGTTGGTCAATATGGGAGCGCGGTCACACCGACACGCGCCACCTAGCGACCTGGCATGCACATTACAGCGTTTTCAACCACGTTGTGTTTTTGTGTAAAAAACGAAACGGCACTTTTCTGTTTTCTATGGAGGCCGTTTCCGTCTAAGATGTCGTTAACGCAGGGCCGGGTCTAGAAAATGATGACTAGGGGTGCATCTCAGATCAGAGGGCGTGCACATGCCTGGCACGTTATTCAACACTAAATGATGCATTTTCCCGTCATTTCAAGCGGAATGAAACTAGTCAAACAAGAATATTTAAAATGTCTTTCACATGCTTTATTGTAGTAAAATTGTTGTAGAAAAAGGAGATGCAGATGTTTCCTACCCTGAATATTTAACATAGAAATTCAAACTATTTTTAACTACACAGCTCAAAACCATCACTAAACATGACAGTCATTTCAAGTGGAATTCTACCAGTCAAAAAAGAATATTTTAAAGGGGACCTGCCACCAAAACTTCATCCCCATTTTGATCATTTTTTCATAATCCTTGATGTCCTCTGATCATGTTTGCAACATAATTTTAGCTGAAAAGTTATTTGATGGTTTGTTTTAGTATGCCTAAAAAACCTTACAGGAAAACCAACTGGTTTTGGCTCATTAACATTTATGGTAATGAGCTTTGCTCTGATTGGATCGCTGCTGTGAAGCCTGCTGTGCTCTGATTGGCTCAGCAGTGGAGGTTCGGATTTCGGTTTATCCACTGTTATTATGCTAATGCTAATAGCATATGCTAATGTGTGCTAAAGTAAGGTGCCCAGATGTCTGTAATGATATCCGGGGATATTCGGTGCGGCGGCGGCGGCGGCGGTGCAGGGGCTGCAGGGGCTGTGTGATCACAGACAAAGTCTCGGTACTATTTAGTAGCAGCGCATGCCCCTTGTAATAACCCCCGTAAGAACTGTTGTTCAGGACTGCTAACTAAATTCGGCTACTGTAATAACCGTTGTTCGAGCCCACACGCAACATTTTTGCTCTCATTAATGAAACGCTTAAATCGGGGACATTTTCGGGGACAGCTTTTGCCGGGGACAGGTCATCCAATACGGGGACTGTCCCCGGAAATCGGGGACGTCTGGTCACCTTATGCTAAAGGCTAAAAATGGCAGGTATTAAACCATATATTTTAGACCCCGAGTCCGAAGAGGAGGTGGAAGTTGAGGAAGAAGCCGGAGATCTCCAGCGGTGTTTTCTCATTCATTCTGTCTGTCCGGCTTTAAGTTCATTTTCCCGGCAGTGAACCGAAGGAAGGCAGATGAGTGACGTGCCCTGACGAGCGCGCACTTCTCCCTCTTTCCAACTGAGCATGCAGCCACATAAACTGAGGGTGCAATGCATGCTTATGCACCCCCGTAGAACCGGGGCTGCGTTAACGTGTCAAAAACCAAAGACATGATTCTTGATTTCCGTCAGAATGGACCTGAACAGCTCAAAGCTTTGTTAACGGTGAAACTGTAGACGCAGTCGGTCAGAACAAACACCGCGGTACCATCCTGGACGAGGTTATTTAATCTGAGGAGATGAAGGTGTTCTAACGAATGTTTTACTCTTCGTCTTTCAGCGAGTCCACTATCGCAGTATCGCTGCTGACATGAGTCTGAACGATCTGGACTCTGTTTTTAAATCCAGGGTCACTCAGAGGTCAAAGGTCATTCTGACAAACCCCCCCCCCCCCCCCTCTATCCTTCAGCTCCTCCCGTCAAAGAGAAGGTCACTTTTACTCACAAATCCAAATCAAACAGGAACCTCAGATCCTCCGTCCAGCAGCCGTTGGTTTTTAAAATGTCGGTGAGATCGATGAAGTCGTGCTGACTCGGCGTTTTCACATGGATTTATTTCCATTATTTCTGCCGTGAGTTTTCTCTCTCTGTGATGAGAGGATTCTGTGTTTTTATCTTCTGTTTCAAACCTAATTGCTCTGAGGGAACTTTAACGAACTTCAAATCAAACTTAAAGGGACATTTCACTATTTTAAGTGGATTTTTAAGACTTAAGTGGATTTTCAGTCCCAGTGGACGTCTGTCAGCTGACCCTGCAGACAGAACCTGAACACAGGCTGGACTACAGTCTCTGCAGACGGGGCGACTCGGACCCCAGAACTCTCTCCGTTTACGTGGACGCTCTCACAGCTCTCTGAAAGAGCAGCTGCAGGTATAAAACGTTGAACTGCTCCTTTAAGTCGGTCGATGATTTCAGGTTCACACCTCAGAGACTGACGGAGCGTCATTTCTCCACATGTTGGATGATGGTTATTTTCTGTCTTGGCGCTCAGACTCATGACGGCGTCACGTTCCTGGTTCACGTTTACGTCTCTCTGATCTCTCTGATCTCGCCGCCGTCTCTCCAGGAAGAGGAAACAGACGTAAACCGGCGTCCTGGGGTCCCCCCCTCAGAGAGTTTTTACTCACTTCTGCGGCCGCTCAGTCATCACGCTGTTTTTATGGCGTTACAGTCAGAGCCAGGAGGATTCTGGGAAAGCAGATGAACGTTCAGCGGCGAGTTAATTTAGTTTAATTGTTTTTGGTGGAGTCAGAGTGAGAAGAGAGATCAGACACGTCTGTGAACGGCTGAATCACAAACACTGAGAGGGAGGAGGAGGAGAGGAGGGAAGGGAGGAGAGGAGAGGAAGGAGGGGAAGGAGGAGAGGAGGGGAGAGGAGGGGAGGACAGAGGAGAGGAAGGAGAGGAGAGGAGGGGAGGACAGAGGAGAGGAGAGGAAGGAGAGGAGGGGAGAGGAAGGAAGGAGAGGAAGGAGAGGAGGGGAGAGGAAGGAGAGGAAGGAAGGAGAGGAGAGGAAGGAGAGGAGAGGAAGGAGGGGAGGAAGGAGAGGAGAGGAAGGAGGAGAGGAAGGAGGAGAGGAGAGGAGAGGAGAGGAAGGAAGGGAGGAAGGAGGAGGAGAGGAAGGAGGAGAGGAGAGGGGAGGAAGGAGGAGAGGAAGGAGAGGAGGGGAAGGAGAGGAAGGAAGGAGAGAGGAAGGAGAGGAAGGAGAGGAAGGAGAGGAGGGGAGAGGAGGGGAGGACAGAGGAGAGGAAGGAAGGAGGAGGAGAGGAAGGAGGAGAGAGGAGGAGAGGAGAGGAGAGGAAGGAGGAGAGGAAGGAGAGAGGAGGAGAGGAGAGGAAGGAGGAGAGGAGGACAGAGGAGAGGAAGGAGAGGAGAGGAAGGAGAGGAGAGGAAGGGTAGGAGAGGAGAGGAGAGGAAGGAGAGGAGAGGAAGGAGAGGAGGAGGACAGAGGAGAGGAAGGAGAGGAGAGGAAGGAAGGAGGAGAGGAGAGGAAGGAGAGGAGAGGAAGGAGGAGAGGAAGGAGAGGAGAGGAGAGGAAGAGAGAGGAAGGAGAGGAGAGGAAGGAAGGACAGAGGAGGGGAGGAAGGAGAGGAGAGGAGGAGAGGAGAGGAGAGGAAGGAGAGGAAGGAGGAGAGGAAGGAGGAGAGAGGAGAGGAAGGAGGAGAGGAAGGAGAGGAGAGGAGAGGAAGGAGGAGAGGAAGGAGAGGAAGGAGGAGAGAGGAGGGGAGGAAGGAGGAGAGGAAGGAAGGAGGGGAAGGAGAGGAGAGGAAGGAGGAGAGGAGAGGAAGAGAGAGGAAGGAGAGGAGAGGAAGGAAGGAGAGAGGAGGGGAGGAAGGAGAGGAAGGAGGAGAGGAGAGGAGAGGAAGGAGGAGAGGAAGGAGAGGAGAGGAAGGAGGAGAGGAAGGAGGAGAGGAGAGGAGAGGAAGGGAGGAAGGAGAGGAAGGAGAGGAGAGGAGAGGACAGACTGTACTGGTGATACTGGGACTGTCCCAGTACAGACAGTCAGTCCGTTTCCATGACACCCTAAAACTGAATTATCGCCTTATTCCGATTAAGACCGGACAACTGAAGGTCATGTAAACACCTTAGTCCGACTGTAATCAGAGTTTAAGAACTCCCAGATAATGAGATTGGAATCCGATTTTCTCTCCCATGTAACCAGCGTAGTCGCAGTATGACGCCACGCCCCCGTAACCCCGTAACAAACCCCCAGAGTAGAGGAGTAGCGTTGGTCTCATCTTTAGAAAAAGTAGCGCGTCCATCATGTCGGACAAAAACAACGCTGTACGATGCTCCATCTTCCGGCTCCAGGTTTTTCTCTAAGTGCTGACTCCGCCCACTCTGACAGAGACTGACTCCGCCCACTCTGACAGAGACTGACACCGCCCACTCTGACAGAGACTCTTCACTCACCCGAGCGTTTGTTTTGATTTTGTTGACATCAGCTGATCGCTCTTAAAGCCGCAGGAACCCTCGGTTAACTTTGGCAGCAGAACAAGTTTTAAAGTTTTAAAGAAGAACAAAAATCCAGAAACTCTGAGACCTGGATCCTGAAATCCTGGATCACAGTCTGGTAAAGCTCCCAGGTCTTTAAAGGTCTTTGGAGGTCTTTGAAAGTCTTTGAAGGTCTGATCAGTGAACCTTGGAGTGTTTGTGATCAGAGCTCTGAGACCTTATATAAGACCGTCTGCTGGATCAGAGAGTGTTTGGGAAACCTGCTGTTTATCTGTGTGTGTGTGTGTGTGTGTGTGTGTGTGTGTGTGTGTGTGTGTGTGTGTGTGTGTGTGTGTGTGTGTGTGTTCCTGTCTGCCTCACTGTTGTGTCTCTCTTCAGGGTTTTTCCCGTCTCTCTGACTCACCGTCTCTCTGTCCCTTTGCAGCTCCTGAACTCGATCCTGACTCATCAGAAAACGTCTCAGAATGAAGTTTATTCTCAGAAACATGAAGATGAAAAAAGAGACGAAGACGAAGACGAAGACGAAGATGAAGACGAAGATGAAGACGAAGATGAAGGTGAAGATGTTTTTCTCACTGTCGATCAGAAAAGAGTCGCTGACTGATTTCTGTAGGACGGCCTCCTCTGCATCCAAACATCTGCACATGTGAGACACTGTTGACGAACATGATCTCTGAAACATTCGGGGGCTCAGATCTGGAAATGTAAATGTAAATCATAAAGATAATAATAATAATAATAATAATAATATATATTAATATTGTTATTAATAATAATAATAATAATAATAATAATAATAATAATAATAATATTTATTATTATTATTATTATTATTATTATTATTATTATTATTAATAATAATAATAATAATAATAATAATAATAAATTACATTATTATTATTATTATCATCATTAATAATAATAATAATAATAATAATAATAATAATACAGATATAAAAAAAATATAAATAAAATGGTGATATAATAAAAATATTTCTAAAAATAATGATAATAAAATAAAAAATATATAATAATAATAATAATAATAATAATAATAATAATAATAATAATAATAATATTATTATTATTATTATTATTATTATTATTATTATAATAATAATAATAATAATAATAATAATAATAATAATAATAATATTATTATTATTATTATTATTATTATTATTATTATTATTATTATTATTATAATAATAATAATAATAATAATAAATATTATTATTAGTATTATTATTATTATTATTATTATTATTATTATTATTAATATTATTATTAATAATAATAATAATAATAATAATAATAATATTATTATTATTATTATTATTATTATTATTAATAATAATAATAATAATAATAATAATAATAATACAGATATAAAAAATAATATAAATAAAATGGTGATATTATAAAAATATTTCTAAAAATAATGATAATAAAAATGAAAAATAAAAAATATATAATAATAATAATAATAATAATAATGTTGCTGACCTTCCTGTTTACCTCACTGTGAAAGTTTGACCCCTCAAACTTTTTTCTCTGTTTCTTATTCTCTTTATTTTTTCTCTTTGACCTTTGACCTTTAACCACATGTCTGTCTCATCGTCAGTGAAGCTGTAAAAAAAACTCTGAGACTAAATAAATTCAGGAACATTCAAACATTCGACTCTGGATCAAACTTATTTTAACGTCACCATCCGGAGTTCACTTCATCTGCAGGAGAGAAAAATAAAGACCGATCTGTGTCTCTGCAGCTTCTTTCACACGTTCACAAACATCCTGTAAAAGTGAAACACAGACAGGTATGTTTGTTTGTTTGTTTGTTTGTTTGTTTGTTTGTATGTTTGTATGTTTGTATGTTTGTTTATGTGCATGCATGTCTCTGAACGTCACTCCCACGTGTCTCTGATCAGAGCGGTTTGGGTTTTCAAAGATCCTCATGACCTGCAGTGACTCAGAGTTTCTTCAGTTTGGTTTCAGGTGTTCGAGTCTTTTATCATCCCGACAGTTGGAGGTGAGAGGTGTGGACACGTTCAGAGGAACAGGAGGAATGTTTCAGTCTTCATGCAAACCTGATGCAAATGGATGCAAATGTGATCAGCTGCTGCAGGAGAAGAGTGTCTTATCTGGTCTGCAGGGAGAAGAAGGAGCTGCAGCTGATTTGCATTGAGCTGCAGAGACGAGTCAGAGCAGGACACGGGTCTGCAGGACACTCTACAGTCACTCCTGTGAACCTTGAAGAGCTTCAGTTCAGGAGACAGAAAGAGAGGGAGATCTCTATCAGAGACACTCTCCTCAGACCTCAGAGCAGACCCTCCGAGGAAGACGGCGTGGAGTGAAGGATGAGGAGAGTCTGTTTAGATGTTTGTTTAGATGTTTGTTTAGATATTTGTTTAGATGTTTGTTTAGATATTTGTTTAGATATTTGTTTAGATGTTTGTTTAGATATTTGTTTAGATATTTGTTTAGATATTTGTTTAGATATTTGTTTAGATGTTTGTTTAGATGTTTGTTTAGATATTTGTTTAGATATTTGTTTAGATGTTTGTTTAGATGTTTGTTTAGATATTTGTTTAGATGTTTGTTTAAATGTTTGTGTAGATGTTTGTTTCAATGTTTGTTTAGATGTTTGTTTAAATGTTTGTGTAGATGTTTGTTAACATGTTTGTTTAAATGTTTGTTTGGATGTTTGTTTAGATGTTTGTGTAGATCTTTGTTTAGATGTTTGCGGAGCTGCAGAGTAAAAGTTTCATGTTTCTGTTTCTGAAAAATCGGAGGAGGAACTCGGCGAGAGTTCGACACGTTCAGGTCTGACAGAAACAGAAACATCAAAGTGTTCAGAGGAGGACGTTTCCTAAAATCTCCACTTTTATTAGAACCACAGAGTGTCGGCCATTCAGACGGGGCTGTGGTCGTTTGTTCCACCTTGGCCTGACTCTAGCTCCGCCCCCTCGGCCTAAATGAGGCTCCTGGCTCCAGACGTGTGGTAAACCCTGAGTGCAGACTTTAATCCGTCTGCAGAAACCAGAGAGGGACCACACAGCCTCCCCGTCTGACTCCCACTCGGCGTTTACAGACTCTGAATCAGGCGTCTCTCAGACTCGTTTCCACACTGGCGCTCTTTCACTCCTCTTTCCCCTCCCGTCTGATCCTCAGTCTGCACACGCTCAGAGTCCAGACCTCAGACTAGACCGTCTCAGGGTCCATCAGCCTGTCGAGCCAGCTCCTCTGCTGCCGCTGGACCGTTTTCTGGGCGTGGCCTTGTTGCTGTGTCGCCGCTATGCTGCATTCCTGCGTTGTGAGCATCCGGAGAGGAATGTGAGGAATGCAGGCGGCGTGTGACAACAGCGAGCGTTCACGTTCTGAACCCACAGAGACGAGCAGCAGAGTCAAACTAACTCATGTAGACTGGATCTGTACTGTGGTTCTCACACTGTGGCTCAGGGCCCACTAAGGGGTCACAGAGTGAGTCTGAGGGGCCGTCAGGACAGACGCAAAACTCACATTAAACACGGATCAGGGTTTTAGGTTTGATAAAGAATAGAGAAGAACACTCACCCTGCAGAAAAATACAGAGTTTATTCGGTTATAACTGATGCATTCATTCATTCATTCATTCATTCATTCATTCATTCATTCATTCATTTATAGCTCTAATGTTGCAGCTGGTAAAGGTGGAGCTCATTATAACAGTTTGAGGATCAGCTGCATTCAGGTGTTTTCAGCATTTAGTGACAAAGAGACTATTTCTTCCTCTGTGCTGAACTGATAAAAACAACAACAACAACAATAACAATAATAATAATAATAATAATAATAATAATAATAATAATAGAAAATATCTAAAATAATAATAATAATAAAATCTAAAATAATATAATAAAAATAAAATATTATAATAATAATTACAATACTACTACTACCACTAATACTACTAGTACTACTACTACTACTTATAATAATAATAATAATAATAATATTAATAATAATAATAATAATAATAATAATAATAATAATAATAATAATAATAGAAAATATCTAAAATAATAATAATAATAATAAAATCTAAAATAATAAAATAAAAATAAAAATATTATAATAATAATTACAATACTACTACTACCACTAATACTAGTAGTACTATTACTACTACTACTACTTATAATAATAATAATAATATTAATAATAATAATAACAACTTTATTAATTTGAGACATTTTGACTTTATTATTGATCAATTTCAGGATGATTTAATTTCTGTAACTTCAGAACTTTGATGAATAACTTTTTAGTGACCGTAAATTTAAATGTTAAATTATAACAAAATAACTTTAGTCTAATGTCGGCCTTTATTCCTCTTATGTAAGAACTGTATTCATATGATATAATGAGGTAATTTCATAAGACGTCTTTAACCCTTACACATAACTCCTGTTCACTTCTATTTTAAAAAGACTTATTCTTTAAAATCTCTTAAAAGACTTTAAAAGGATTTATTCATTATTTTAGTTCCTTAAAGCTCTGATATTATTGGTCCTCCACCCTCCGACTGTTTCCTGGTTACTTCTGCTCTGAGGACGCCGCGTCCCTCAGCTGACCCCCGCTGACCTCTCCCCCCTCCCCCGCAGGGTCGGCAGCTGGAGGCAGATTCACACCTCCGAGCTCGAGAACCTGCAAACACACACAGAGGTGTCGGGTCTGAACCACACTACAGCTCCTCACACACACACATACACACGTCACCATGACGATGAACACGAACAGGGGTCAAAGGTCAAACCCACACAGATTTAAACTGTTGGTTTTAATAGAGAGGAAGTTTCAGATCAGAAGAGTTCACGGTCAGAGACGACGAGGAGCTGCAGGGTGAAGTTCAGAGGAGGAATGTGAGGAATGTGAGGAATGTGCAGAAATATTTCCTCACCTGTTCACACCTGAGAGTCGAACATGATTCACACAGTCACTCATTTCTAAAACCGTTTTAATCGCTCTCATTAAAATCTCATTATAATCTCATTATTCTCTAATTAAAAACTGTCCTGGTCTGAGTGGGCGGGTCATGGTTCAGGACTCAGGAGAACCTGGTCTGGTTTTCACAATACTAGGAGTGTGTGTGTGTGTGTGTGTGTGTGTGTGTGAGAGAGAGAGAGAGAGAGTGTGTGTGTGTGTGTGTGTGTGTGTGATATTATTGAGTTTCTGCACATTTATAGATGTGATGTAAAATATTCAGTCGATGATTTACAGTTTTTAAAAAGTTTTTAAATTTTGGAGTTTTTTAAAGTTTGTTACAGTTTTGAAAAAAAAAATAATTTTTTTAAATTGTCTTTAATATTTTTTTTCTAAGTTTTTGTTTTAAATTTTCTTTAGTTTTTTAAAGTTTTTTTAAAAGTATTTAAAAGGTTTTAAATTTTTTTTATTTTTTGAACATTTATAAAATTTATTTTAAGTTCTTAAACATTTAAAAGAAAGTAAGTAAAAAAAAGGTTTTTAAAAATTTTTGAGTTTTTTTAAGTGCTTTTTAAAGTTAAAAAAAAGTTTTGAGAAGTTTAAAAAATATTAGTTTTTAACTCAAAGTTTTACAATTTTTTTTTCAAATTTTTTATTTGTTTTTCAAAGTGTTTTAAAAAGTTTTTCTTTACAGTTTTTTAAAAGTTTAAGTTTTTTTTAAGGATTTTGGTCTTGGTGTTTTTGGACCTCTGTACAAAGATCTGAAGCTCTTCTTCTTCTTCGTCTGTTTTCGCTCCTCCTCGCTCCAGCTGCTCCTCCTCCGTCTCTGTCTGCTCGCTGTGTTTCTTGCGCAGCGACAGGTGAGCAGTGCGTCCGCTCAGCATGCTGGGAGTTCTGGGGGTCGTGACCCCGGCTGACCTCTGAGGGTTTCACACGTCATCAGGTGTTCAGTCCGAGGTCGCTGAGGGTTTACAGAGTCGTACAGAGACCGCTCACTGAAGCACATGTGGAGCTTTTCACAGAGATGGTCCAGCTGACGAAGGGGGCGGGGCTTTACTGAGGAACGCCGTCTTGAGTGTTTTTAAAGTTTTTGTTGAAAACGTGTGAACCGTAGAGGTCAAAAAAGGCGTTCATGTCGCCGTAGCTCGGTCTAGAGAGTCCTCTACTGTTTTTCTGTAAACGTACTGACTGTGGCGTTTGGCGTTTGGCGTTTGGACCCATGCATGAGCAACCATACCGCGCTATACTCCTCCTCCTCTAAGCGTGCCGGACATGGGCATCGTGTGGAGCTCTCCCGCTGACCAATCAGATGGGACTGATGAGGTCATTTGTACCTGAGTACAGGTACTGGGAGTCTGCCATCGACTCATGTCTGAGCCCCTGAGTTTTGTCTGTCAGGCTGCTCCTCTTCCTTCCTCCTGAAGATGAGACAGCGTGAGACCTCCCTGCTGCTCAGACGTCTGATCCCTCTCTGATCTGGGTTTTTATTGGCCGTGGGCTCGGCGCTGCAGACGCTCTGGGTGGGCCCGTGTGGGAACCAAAGTTCTGAGTCAGCTCCAGCAGCAATTCATCGTTTCTGTAATTAGAGCGGGTTTACCTGCCGCTCAGGTGAGGAGTCATCCTCCACCCACCCTGATATTAAAATACCTGAGCAGGAGTCTGTCTGCAGGACCGAGGGGGGGCGGCTGCAGAGTCTGAGTCCAACAATCAGAGACGTCTCTAAACCACGTGACCCCAAATAAAGAGAGAACCCGAGTCCAGAACCAGGAGGAGAGAGACCAACTGAACCTGTTTGTTGGTTGTTTTGGTTCATGACACCAAATGGACGTGGTTACAGTATTGGGCGCCGTCTGTAGGAGAGGAAGATGCTGACCTTTGACCTCGAGGACCATGAAACCTCTGTGCCTGCAGACACACAGAGCGGCGGTTAAAGTAACTCTGTCCGCTCTGTCAGCTGCAGAATCTCTCTTCTCTCGTCCTCCGCTCGCCGTCTGACGGCCTCGCCTCTCTGCATGGCGTCAGACGGGTCTGACATTTGGACCTGGGCTGTTCAGAGCGAGCCGGCTCTGCTGTGACTCAAGACTCAGAGATGAGGAGTGTGTGTAAATATGTGTGTGTGTGTGTGGGTCGGCATGGCGTTTAGTTTGCGTCTGTCGGCTGCAGGGCGAAGCCGGAGTCTGCTGTGGGAGTTTTCTGACTCCACACTCTCAGTGAGTCACTGTGTGTGTGTGTGTGTGTGTGTGTGTGTGTGTGTGTGTGTGTGTGTGTGTGTGTGTGTGTGTGCGTGTGTGTGTGTGTGTGTAAGGTGTGGATCAGGTTCCTGCAGCAGCTCTTGTTTGTTTTAGGACATATTTTGGGATGAGTTGTTTCGTTCTGCACGCTATCTGCACATTTATTCTCCTCGCCAAACAGACACGCCTCGGCATGACGGCTTTCACAAGCCTAGGAGTGTGTGTGTGTGCATGTGTGTGTGTGTGTGTGTGTGTGTGAGAGAGAGAGAGACAGAGAGAGAGTGTGTGTTATTGAGTTTCTGCACATGTAAAGGATGAAAATTAAGAAGTGATGCAAAAATATTCAGTCGAAGAAGATTTTAAGTTTTGGAAAGTTTTTAAATGTAAGAGTTTTTAAAAAAAATTTTTTTAAAGTTTGTTTAAGTTTTAAAAAAAAATTCAATTTTTTCATTGTTTTTCAAAGTTTTTTCGGTTATTTAAATTTTTTAATTTTGTCAAAAGGTTTTTTAAAAGTTTTTAAAGTATTTTAAAGTATTTTTATTGTTTTTTAAACCTAAAATTTTTTTTTTAAGTTTTTAAGTTTTTTTTTCAATGTAAGTTTTTTTTTAAGTCTTTTAATTTTTTAATGTTTTTTTTAAAGTTTTTTAATAGTTTTTTAAAGTATTTTTAAAAAACATTTTTTTAGCTTTTTTTGTTTGTTTAAAAACATTTAAACATATTTAAAAGGTTTTTAAAGAGTTCCATAAAACCAGACTAAAGTTTTCTAAATAATAATAATAATAATGATAATACATTTTATTTAAAAGCGCCTTTCTGAGCACCCAAGGACACTTTACAGGGCATAAAAACACAGCTAGAAACATAATTAAAATAAATAAAAACAACATACAAGTGTGAAAGTAGACAGTTAAAGTGAGTATGCGATTTGGAAGAGGTGTGTTTTGAGTTCCTCCAGCTCTCTTCAGGACTTCTTCAGACCCTGGACTCTCTGTGGGTCCCCGTCTGTCCCTGCAGAGCCCCCGTCTCTCTGTCGTCCCTGCAGTCCTCCTGTGTCCTGGGGGTCCTGGTTGGTGGTGGTTTTGGGGGGGCCCTGCTGTGGTTGGAGCCCCTCCTCTGCAGGGTGGAGCCTGTGGTGGTTCTGCTGGTTTGGTGGTTTGGGGTGTGAGGAGGGTCTGCTGTGGTGGGTTCTGGGTGGGGTGGGGGCTCTGCTGGCGGTTTGGGGTCTATTTTTAGAGTCTATTTTTACCCCCCTAACGAGTCCAGAAATAAACCGAGTCTCTGATTGAAGACGTTTGTGCGGCACACTGACTGATCTAGGTTTGTACATCTACGTTCGAGTCCAGGTCTGTGAACACTGACGCTCTTTTGGAAAGGACAACTGGACTTAGATGAGACTCATCTAAGTTCAGTTGTCCTTTCAACATAGAACTGGAAATCATAGATGCTGCATCCTCAGTTGTAGACAATATCTCCAGGTTTAGGAGAAACATCTACCTTCATATTTCTACAACTAAGGTGTGTTGGTGAGATCACATGACCCGTCCTGAGGTCAAACGTGTTTATTGTGAGTCTGGAGACACCCTGAGGGGTCTGCAGTGTGTGTGTGTGTGTGCGTGTGTGTGTGTGTGTGTGTGTGTGTGTGTGTGTGTAAAGGCATTAGTCTCACTGCAGGGGGTCTCAGCTAGCATTAGCATTAGCATTAGCATTAGAGTCACGTTATCATGTGACTGACAGACGTTGACACCTCCATTGATCTGTGATTAATTAACCTGATCAGCTGACCCGCCTCAGCGACCAATCAGAGAAGAGCTCACAATAAACAAAGACGAATGATTATTGTGTGTGTGTGTGTGTGTGTGTGTCAGGAAGCTCTGAAGAACAGGAAGTCATTTAACGTGAAGGACTTCCTGTTGCCAAGGCGACCAGGTTCTTCCATGAGCTGAACCTGCTGTCGGAGGAAAACCTCGTAAGTCCCACACCTGTGTTTTCACCTTTTTCTGATTTTGACTGAAACTCACAGAGACGATAAAAATTTTGAAGTTTAAACATAAAAACGTTTAAAAATCAAAATAAACATTTTAAATAAACTGATAAAGAGGCTTTTATTTTCTTAGATACGAGGTTTCCTGTGTCAGACACACACACACACCTCTGCTAATGACTGAGCAAACACACCTGAACTCACACACACACACACACACGTCTGCTCTCCTATTCTTGTGAGGACATATAATAAACTCCAGAGTCTCTGCAGAGGGACGGATTCACCTGTTCAGGTGAGACTCTCACTAAACACACCTGTCCGTCACAGCAGGGGCCGTCATCTGGATTTAGGTCTGACCTGAGGGCCCAACAGGGTCAACGTTTCACCCAAACTGTCAACCTCCTTTAAAAAAATATGCAAAACAGAAACAGCAGTGATGATAAACCATTTGGAAATTCAAAAAAGATCAAAAGTTTATCTGAGTCAGAAAACTTTATTTTATTTTTTATTAAAAAAAAACAGAAAAATGATGCATTTAAAGAGCAAAAACACGAGGAGAACGTTGAAATCAGGTTTAAAAGGTCAAAGTATGACTTAAAGTTTAAAATTGGAATCTAAAGTATAAAAATGACACGAGTCTAAAAACTGAGTTGAGCATGAAATAAAAAAATCTGATCATTTTTGACTCGTAATCCTGAAATGCAAACTTGAAACATGAACTAAAACACCAAATATTTGATTGTCATGGTTTATCACGGACATTTGAAGTAATGACGCTAAAGTTTACAAATCTGCAGACTTCATACTGGTGGGTCAATAATCATACAAACATGACATGATCTTGTGGGTCAGATGATTTTGTTCCCTGGGCCTTGAGTTTGACACCTGTGTTCTAACTCATACTCAAAGCAAAACAAAAAGGTTGAACTTCGCTCCAAACTCATAAACTGCAGATTTCTTCAGATTTATTTACAAAAAGACAGAAAAATATCGTCCTTATCCTCCGAACACTCTCTGAGAAAGTGACACAGTCTTTAATATTTCTGCTTTTCTGCTCCGTCTGTTCAGTCGGACTTCAAAAAGAAAACATCTCTGCATCGATTAGTTTATTTATGTTTGAGTAAGAACTGGATCTACAACAACAGTATCCATGAGAAGAGCTTTGAACAGCTGTCCCTGTAGTGACCAACATGTATGAAAGGGTGAACATGAAGAGGAGTCCAGAGTCTGATCAGAGGAGGACTTCAGACAGACCTGACCGGACTCTGACAGCCTCAACAGTTTTTCCTCTTTCTTTGGAAATCCAGGTCTCATTTTTCCAGGTCTTTCCAGGCCCGGTCCCTGCAGACAAAGTCCCTCTGCTGGGTTTGAGGTCTGGAGGAGAAACAGAAGAAGCCTGAGGGGGCGTTTGGTCTGACATCAAAGGGCGGTTTGGGTGGGTGGGGTTAGGCTGGTGGTGGGTGGAGGGGTTGGGGGGCGGGGTTACCTCAGCACATGGTCTGTAATTGTGGGCTGGTGGACTCGGAGAAAGGAGGAGGAGAGACCCAGACCAGCAGAACCCGAGTTTGTTCTGGACCCTCTTCTTTGTCGAGCAGAGATCACGTTTGATCGGCGCTTTATTAATGAAGATTTATTGATCGTTTGTTTGTTTATTTATAAAGATTTATTGATCGTTTGTTTGTTTATTTATAAAGATTTATTGATCGTTTGTTAGTTTATTAATAAAGATTTATTGATCGTTTGTTTGTTTATTAATAAAGATTTATTGATCGTTTGTTTGTTTATTTATAAAGATTTATTGATCGTTTGTTTATTAATAAAGATTTATTGATCGTTTGTTTATTTATTAATAAAGATTTATTGATCGTTTGTTTGTTTATTAATAAAGATTTATTGATCGTTTGTTTGTTTATTAATAAAGATTTATTGATCGTTTGTTTGTTTATTAATAAAGATTTATTGATCGTTTGTTTATTCATAAAGATTTATTGATCGTTTGTTTGTTTATTCATAAAGATTTATTGATCGTTTTTTAGTTTATTAATAAAGATTTATTGATCGTTTGTTTGTTTATTAATAAAGATTTATTGATCGTTTGTTAGTTTATTAATAAAGATTTATTGATTGTTTGTTTGTTTATTAATAAAGATTTATTGATCGTTTGTTAGTTTATTCATAAAGATTTATTGATTGTTTGTTTGTTTATTAATAACGATTTATTGATCGTTTGTTTGTTTATTAATAAAGATTTATTGATTGTTTGTTTGTTTATTCATAAAGATTTATTGATCGTTTGTTTGTTTATTGATAAAGATTTATTGATCGTTTCTCTTTTTTTCTGCTCAGTTTAGAAACACGAACGTCTCTGAGGTTCAGATCTTCTCTCTCTGCAGTCGGACTGAAGCTCCTCTGTCTGCTGGTTTCTCTGACTCACTCGGTCTCAGAGCGGCGGCCCTCAGGTCTGCGGTTTGGCTGTAAACATTTGGGGGGGGGGGCTCTTCTGTGGTGGGACGGGAGGGAGGGAGACGCCCGACTCAGTAAATTTAGTCTGAGCCGAGTTAAAAATAGACCAGAGGAGAGATATTTATAGATCAAAATGAGAGGAGGAGGGAAGGAGAGGAGGAGAGGAGGAGAGGAGAGGAGGAGAGGAGAGTCTGCAGAGACTGTGGTTCGTGTCTGACTCTCTAATCTGTCGGTTTAAGAAGCTTTGAAACCTGAATCATAAATTTATTGATCTTTATTAAACGTTTTTGAAAGTCTTCCTGAAGTTCACTCAGACGTTTTTCTGTTTTAAAGGAATATTTCACATTAATCTGTTACCGTAATGGAGCTAATAGACGCACATGGACATTCCTCACACAGTCTTTTTAAAGCAGGTTTAGGATCTTTAGTTCTTTTGTTCTGATCGATGATTTTACACCAAACTAAAATAATGAAGACGAGGCGGGTCACCGGCTCTGTCTAAGTCCATCTGGACCTCTGCAGGGTCGTCTGAGGACCAGCATGCTTTGCAGACGGGGCGTCCAGGTTGTGGTTTCACTTTTATTTCAGTCTGGAAAAACCGGGAGGACGGGGGGGCGGAGAGTCAGGGCGGGGGTGGAAACATAAACAGGGAGGTTTTCTCTCCCGACACGAGACCATGTTCCAGAGTCTGGAAACTCTGAGACTCAGAAAAACTCCTGCAGAGACCCGGTCCTGGTTCTGGGGTAAAACCGTTATATAAGCTCAGAGTTAGTCCTCCAGCTGAACCTTAAAGATGGACCCGACTGTCCTCTCCTAACGCAGGTCTGCAAAAGTGAAGCCAACATAATCCTGATGACACGGTTCACTTTCAGAGTCTGAGTCTGTGGAGTCGGTCCTGACAGAGACCCAAAAAACCTCAGACCAAAGTCCCCTCAGGAGGAACCGGTCCACCTTAAAGTCCCCTCAGGAGGGTCCGGTCCACCTTAAAGTCCCCTCAGGAGGGTCCGGTCCACCTTAAAGTCCCGTCAGGAGGGTCCGGTCCACCTTAAAGTCCCGTCAGGAGGGTCCGGTCCACCTTAAAGTCCCCTCAGGAAAGTCCGGTCCACCTGCAGCATTTCCTGTCCTGTCTCTGGGTCCAGAACTATATCTCCCATAATTCCCTGTAGTGTTAAAAACCTGCATCAGTCTTCCAGGTCTTACCTGAAGCTCGGACTCACCTGTGACAGGTGGTCAGTGTCTGTCTGCTGTCTTGTTACCATGACAACAGTCAACAGAGCAGCTTCTGGTCTTTATGACCCACAGGAAGGACCCACTTCAGAGGTGGATCTGGAGAGATCCATCTGTCGACCCGCGGCCATAAACAGTCTGAGTTCTCAGGTGAGCAGGCAGATCTACAGGTGAGACAGAGGCCTGTGATTGGCTGCAGCTGTTTGACCTGATTCTGACGATGACGATGATGATGATGATGATGATGATGATGATGACGATGACGATGAAGATGATGATGATGATGATGACGATGATGATGACGATGATGATGACGATGATGATGATGATGATGATGATGACGATGATGATGATGATGATGACGATGACGATGATGATGATGATGATGATGAAGATGACGATGATGATGATGATGATGATGATGATGATGACGATGATGATGATGATGAAGATGACGATGATGATGATGATGATGATGACGATGACGATGATGATGATGATGATGATGATGATGATGATGATGATGATGATGATGATGATGATGATGATGATGATGATGATGATGATGATGACGATGATGATGATGATGATGATGATGATGATGATGATGACGATGAAGATGACGATGATGATGATGATGAAGATGACGATGATGATGATGATGAAGATGACGATGATGATGATGATGACGATGATGATGACGATGATGATGATGATGATGACGATGATGATGACGATGATGATGACGATGATGATGATGATGAAGATGACGATGATGATGATGATGATGACGATGATGATGATGATGAAGATGACGATGATGATGATGATGATGATGATGATGATGATGATGACGATGATGATGATGATGATGATGACGATGATGGCGGGCCGATAACGACTGACAATAAACAAAATCTACATGATGTAATGATGACACTCAATGAAACAGGACCATCGATGACTGGACCTGATGCACGATGATGATGACTCATGGTGATGATGATCCAGGATCCTGATGATGATGACTGATTCTGATGATGACAATGATGATGATGATGATGATGATGATGACGATGATGATGATGACGATGATGATGATGAGGATGATGATGATGACGATCTGACTGGACCTTCAGGTCTCAGGTAAGAACCAGGTCTGTAGACTGACAAGTCCAAAGTCTGGTCCAGGAGGAGATCAAGATCTGCATGAGTTACTTCTACCGACAAGATACCGACATTTTCCAAAAACAAGATGTTTAAATGTAACGATGAAGAAACATGAGAAAACAAGATCATAGAAGAGTTTGATAAAAACAGTCAAGAGATCAGCTGAAAAACAGGCGGACAAGATATGAACACGAGCACGAAATTTTGTATAAGAAAGTCGAGATCAATACAATCAGACCGAGACGCTAAGACAGAAGAACTACCGCGTCTGAAAAATGATTAATATGATAATTATTACTTCAAGGAAATGATAAAGAAATGATCATAAATGTTCTTCCTCGAGCTGCGGCACCCCGCTGTAGTCTGTAATGGACTGGCCTGAGGTCTCACTACAAACAAGCGTCTGCTGGAAGAGAGTAGGTGAGTTGTGTTTAGTCTCTTTGCTAAAGAAATGAGTCAAAGTTAAAAAGATGTTTGGTGTCTAGTACTATGTCTGTGACCCTATATGTCCTGTTGATGAAGTTAGGTGCTGTTCTGAGCATTATTTGTGGCTATAAAGTGGCGTTTTGGTTGAGGGCGTTCATCTCTGGAGGGTCTAACTCGGTGTTACGGTGGGTTTGACCCTAAATTAATTTTACGACAGAATGTCTCTTTAAAGATGAGATCCTCTTAAACTGGTCTGAGCTGCAGAGAAAGTCTCTGTTCTGGACTTTAAATCGGTTTTCAGGGTTCTGGTTGATTCTGTTCGTGTGTCGGCGTGTTGCCTTCAAAGATCGGATTTTATCTCCTCTTCTGTGATTCTGCTCTCTGTGTTTTTGTGATGCTACAGCGATCTCTGCCTCTCACACTTCCATCTCTGTTTTCTGCCTGACTGTCCTCTCCTCCTCCTCTTCCTCTTCCTCTTCTCCTCCTCCTCCTCCTCCTCCTCTCTGACTCACGCTCTGATCCTGAAGCAGCCTTACATGGTCACTGACGCTGCAGCAGGATCTCCCTACGTAACACGTCGACGTGTCTTTGGGCCCGGGCTGCTGCTCCTCATCCAATAAACACCACCGTGTTCCCACCGAGCTGCTCGCCTCAACCGTCCAATCAGGGGGCTCTGAGTGTTTCCACGGTGACGTGACGCAGAGCTGAGAGCGGGGAGGCCTACTCGCTCTCTCCGTGGACGCTGCACAGGAACAGAAATAACTGTGACACACATTCCTCCTCCCAAAATAAAACGTCTATTTCTGAAATCCTCTCAGACCTCCATCCTGCGGAGGGTCATCAAACACATCATGAACGTTTCCACGCTGCTGCCTTCACTTCCCCTCGCCACGGCGCCTCGTTTATACCCAGGATAACCCGCTCCAGTGTTTCCTCAGAATCTTTGTTCCTAAAAACAGAAACACATTTAAAGTTCCTTTTTCTTCTTGAACTTTTTGCTGATCTGGAAGTTTTTGACTTTTTTTACTCGCCGAGGTTAAAAAAAGGGCGTCAGGACTCCGGTTCTGGGCCTTTCCTTTTTTAGCTCTGGTTCAGTTTCTGGTGGTTTTGGGTCCACGTAGGAAAATCCTCAAAGTGTGTTTATGATCTATTCTCAGAGCGCAGACGGACTGAAGAGGCTTTTCTCCGACTCGCAGGAAAAACTTCAAGTTCACACAGTTCAGGGTTTTTTTTTTACAGACCCGGATTATTTTCGTCTCATCGGTAAAAATAGAAATAAAGAGTCGAGTCTGAAAGAGCGGAGAGGTTGGTCATGTTTTCTAGCTAGCTTGTTCACCGATTGTCGTCGATATCGTGCGAAAAAATAATGAGAAAGATGGAGAAGCAGCAGCTGTTAGCGAGCTAGCTTAATGCTGCGTTCGAGTTATCTCGTAAGTCAGAAGTCGGAGCTGAAAATTACGTCACACCCGAGTTCCCAGCATTTCAGTTACTGAGTCCGAAAAAAGCAAAAATCGGAGGCGGAACAAGATGGATATGTCTACGCTTGCCTGAAGTAAAATTCTGTGTTATACGTTGTTTACAGCTGGGATAGCTAACAACAACTAACAACAACGGCTAACTGTAGGCGTCCATCTTGGTTTTTCCGACTTGTTAACTGGAACCCCGTCAACTCAGGTGTAACATCATTCCCAACTCCGACATCCGACATCAGAGGAAACCGGAACGCAGCGTTATTTTAGCGCTTGCCTTATTAAGCCAAAGCGCTAAAATAACTGTCATAGATGTAGCCATCTTGTTTCCTCTGATTTTGCTTTTTTCTGACTCGGTAACTGAAACGCTGTGAACTCAGATGTGACGTCATTTTCAGCTCCGACTTCCGACTTGCGAGGTAACTTGAACGCAGCGTTAGCATCCCTCTGAGACATGATTAGACTCTTTATTAACTGATTTATTCATTATGAACGTAACTCAGACTCAGTTTAACATTCAGACTTTCTAACTTTTCTTTAACTGGTTTTATTGAGCTTTAAACCACAGGTTTTATCTTTCAAAATAAAAGCTTAATTTGACAATTAAATAAAAATATTAAAATTAATAATGAATTATTTATTTCTTAATCCAGCCTGTTTAACCAAACTGTTTCTGCTCGAGGCTGTAAACCTGTTTTTAGTTTTAACATGGGTCTCTGTGAGGACAGACTCACTACAGGACACGGTCTCTAGTGGACAGGAGAGGAACTGCAGTTTTTTGGTTTGATATCTTATCCTAACCCCCAATTTTCACCCCATCTGGAACCGCCTGTGAGTGTTTTATTTTGAAAAGAAGCCGGATGTTTTATTTTGTGTCTGTGCCCGACTTCCTTTCCAGCACGGGTTAATCTGTGCTGAATTTATCCGCCATGCTCCGGCGTCCAGAAAAAATAGAACTCTTGTGATCAGCAAAGAAGTCGGTGTAAATTGACACGTTAACTTGAATGGTTACGATCAGCTACGATCGGAGGATACGACCTTTTAGGAGACGATCAGGATGAAGGTGGAAGTGTGGCAGAGATCAGCTGTTCGGTTCAGTGGAGGTTAATGGTTCAGGAACGGTTTGTTTGATATGTGTCACCTCCTTTCTGCACACGCTCAGAACAGCTCTGGGTGTGTGAGGTGATTGGCGCAGGTAAATCCATTCCTTATGTGTGTGTGTGTGTGAGATTAGAGTCATGTGACCTCTGACGTCACTGACGTCCATGTGTCTGCGTCTCTGAGTGCTTCTCTGTGTACAGTCGGGGTGTGAACTGTTTGTCTTCGGCTCTCGCTCTCTCACTCTCTGTTGGTGTTTATAATTATGTAACCATGGCGACCATCTTTTACCAGCTTTGACACAGCAGCAGTCGGCGCTAATGATGATGAAGATGTCCATAAACAGAGACAGACGTCTCTCTTTTTGACGGATTATAATCATGTCTTCACTGAACGTCTCTGCAGGTCGGCGCTAAACGACCACGAGACGTTTAACAGAAACACAGACGGGGATTTTGGACTGAAACTGAGTTTTACTGTCTGACACACAAACCTCTTATTAACATGTTTGTCGATTGTTTTGGTACATAGTGTGTAATGGTCCAACAGAACCATTTCATAATGCACACGACCAACAAAGGACCGTCAGAGTCCACGGTCTGACACCCGGGTCAGAGTCCAGAGAGTGTCTGATCGGACACAGGGGGGTTTTGTGGATCCTCAAAGAAACACTGAGAGTCAAACTGAGCAGAAGAAGAAGAAGAAGAAGAAGAAGAGGGTCATAGAAGGTCAGACGCCTCTCAGACAAAGAAATGTGACGGGTCTAAAGTGTGAACAGGCTCCGTCAGAGCGGCCTCGGCGTTGGCGTGGAGACGACGTCCATGTGGGCTCAGACTTCCTCCCTCCCTGTCAGTTAATTCTGGTTCTGGTCTCAGTTCTTCTTTGACTCTCCTGCTCTAGTTCAGGGTTCACTGATTCACAGCCGACAGCAGGGACGCAGCGGCTGCCAAAACAAACAGCCCCGAGCGTCAGCAGAGCGGCGGAGTCCCCGCTACAACAGGATGTGACATCAGGATGTGACATCACGGTCAGAGGCTGGAGGCTGTTTGTGGAGAGGAGGGTTACACACAAACTCACAGCTGGAGGAACGCCGTGTCCTCCGTCTGAGCGTTTAGAGAAACATTCAACGCCCCGACAAACAACCGCAGGAGCCAAAAATAAACGCCGACTACAAAAATAAACTAAATATAAACCCTAACTGAAAAAATAAACTTAAAATTAACTCAAACTACAAAAATAAACTAAATATAAACCCTAACTAAAAAAATAAACTTAAAATTAACACAAACTACAAAAATAAACTAAATATAAACCCTAACTAAAAAAATAAACTTAAAATTAACGCCAACTACAAAAATAAACTAAATATAAACCCTAACTAAAAAAATAAACTTAAAATTAACACAAACTACAGAAATAAACTAAATATAAACCCTAACTAAAAAAATAAACTTAAAATTAACACAAACTACAAAAATAAACTAAATATAAACCCTAACTAAAAAATAAACTTAAAATCAACACCAACTACAGAAATAAACTAAATATAAACCCTAACTAAAAAAATAAAGTAAAAATTAACACAAACTACAAAAATAAGACAAAAATAAAGTAAAAATTGACACAAACTACAAAAATAAACACACAATACAAAAATAAACCAAAAAATAAACCAAAAAATAAACTAAAAATAAACTAAAATTAAACTAAAAATAAACTAAAAATAAACCCTAACTAAAAAAATAAAGTAAAAAATTAACACCAACTACAAAAATAAAACAAAAATAAAGTAAAAATTAACACAAACTACAAAAATAAACACACAATACAAAAATAAACCAAAAAATACACTAAAAATAAACGCAAACTACAAATATAAAGTAAAAACAAACACCAACTACTACCAACTAATAAAAAAGGTCCAACAAACACACAAGACAGGAGGAGATACCAAATAAACATAAATATATATAATAAATAACATAAATATAGAAAATATACAAAATACCACAAATACAAAAATACAAAAATACAAAAATGAACTAAAATATACAAAAATATACCAAAAAATACTCAAATATACAAAAAATTTAAAAAATATATTAAAATTTACAAAATAAACCAAAATATTAAAAGAATTACACAACATACCAAAATATACAAAAATATACCAAAAAACACCCAAATATACAAAATAAACTAAATAAACAAAACTATACAAAAATATACCAAATGTAGATCCTGTGCAGTAGCGTGGAGTCAAGCAGTGATCCAGTTCCTGACCCGACCCGGTAACATAGCGGGTTTTTAGTGAAAGCTAAAACAGGTTAACAGTGTGAGGGTGGGTCTGGGTCTGGATCAGGGTCACAGGTCTGCTTGGGGATGAAGACTTCACCACCCGGGAAAACTAAGACTGTGTTTGGAGCTGTGAGAGTGGACGGTCATCGATGGAGACAGAGTTTATATGTAAACAAACTAAAAACACACGTAGTGAACCTTTAACTCAAAGTTTAAACTCACTCTGAGGTAAACCCTCAAACTCAGACCCGGACCTTCTTTTGAACCTGCATTAGAACCTGAAGCACCTGCTGGTTCACCTGAGGAGGAGTCTGAAAGCAGGTGAACCCACACCACACCCTCCTCACACACACACACACACACACACACACACACACACACACACACACACACACACACACTCTCTCTCTCTCTCTCTCTGCGGGCGAGTTTCACCTGTCTTTTCACTGCAGTTGCTCTAAAGACTTTTTGATTATTCTCTGACAAAAGGACAGAAACACGCTGAGCTCGGAGGACCTGATCCGACCTGCAGTCCCATCAGAGAGACACCTTAACACACACACACACACACACACACACACACACACACACACACACACACACACTGTGGAGTTGACTCGAGGCCGACAGCTGAGCGCAGACGTGGGTCTGCCTCCAGGATATCAGACGCCGGCGTCACACTTGAGGAGAAATCCAACATTACCTCTCTGACATGTGGGTATTCAGGTTCCAGGGCGCTGAGCTGCATTTCTCTGATTTACCTGCGTGAACAAACACACAGGTGTGCTCGTCTCACTGAGTCACTTCATGTTTCCTCCTGACTTCAGTTACGCACAGATGTGGCAGTGAAAGGGCGAAGCTGACTCAGCAGAAGTGACTCATGTGTGTGTGTGTGTGTGTGTGATCCTGGAGACCCACGGTTCACTCGTGTGTTCACCTGAGGGACCCTCTTCATCATCCTCTTCATCATCCTCTTCATCACCTGGAAAGAGTTTAGCTGCAGAGTTTTAGTTTCACCATCAGCTGACTCTGAGCGGGCGAAAACACTACACACACTTACACACACTCACACACACACACACACACACACACACACACACACACACACACACACATTCCTCTCAGTACCATGGAAACTGAGTGGGTGTGAAGATCTCCTCATGTAACATCTATTTTCTGTTTTCTATTTTCTATTTTCTTCCTGCAGCTGCAGAGCCGGACTCTGACGGAGACAAAGACCTGTCCCGTTTAATGTTCCTGAACCTGCAGACGGACAAAGACCACAGAGTCTTGACCCGTGAAGACACGAGTCCACCACCAGCCTCTAGGTCTGATCCAGGTCCAGAGAAGAAGACCAGACCAGGTCTACAGGACCAGACTGGAGCTTCAAGATAAGTTCAGATGTTTCCAGATGAACTCAGAGCTTCAGACTTCTGAGTGAAAAAGGACCAAGAACTGGACCCTGTGGTTCTCCTAAATCTGATGTCTTTGAATGTCCCCTCACATCCATCCGTCATCGCTCAGAGGGATCAGTACTCCAGGGTTCAGACCTGATAAATACTGTAAAGTGCTTCACTCATGTTGGTTCCAGACCGAGATCAGGTCTTTATAATCCACTAAACAGTGAGTGTGGTCCAGACCTGCTCCTCTGGAGAGGGTCTAGAGTAAGACCACATGAGGCTGTTCCAGGTCACACTCAGACTCTCAGGGGTCATTGGAGTAAAGAGAGAGAGTGGGCGAGGGACACGGCTCAACTTACCCCGCTCTTACGGTCAACTTCATACTCAGCCATCAAAGTGTCTCAAGACGTTTTCACATCAAGACGTCTTGAGACAAAAGTTTGAAGACGTCACCATGTCAGGATTCACCAGGACATATTTCTGTGTCTGAAGACATTTTAAGACACATTTACTTTGTCTTCAGACGTCCACATCTTCAGACGGCTTCATGGTCGAGTTATCTTCTTTGGACTGGAGTATCATGATGATAATGTTAATATAATGGTCTTTTCATATTTTACTTTAAAATCTGTTTTTAGATTTATCTCCTATGGTTAAATGATTATAAATAAAGATAATCAATATTTAACTTGCATAAAGATATGGTAATATAAACATAGACGGGGTAAGTTGACCATAGGAGACCCTTTCTGTTGTCCTGCTCTATTCTGAAGATGACAGTTCTGTTTACGCTCATAGTTAGTTAGAGACTGAACTAGGACTGACCTGATGGACTGATCAGAAATATGACACATGGATCATCCTAACCCGCTCTCCCCTATCTGGGTTTGGCCCTCAACACTGACTGACTGTTTCCTGAGAGTGTCTGTGGTCTCAGTTTGTGATGACGGTCTGTTCCCTGATGTCTGATTCTCTTCCTTTAGTTTTGACCCTCCTGTGATCCCGTACACAGACACCACTGCAAGAGCCTCATTGGTTAAAAGTTTAAAATGATCAAACTGTAAACAAACGAACAGAAACTGGAGTTTAGTGATCCGAAAGATTTGATGAACATCAGCGTCCACAAACTTCTGGACATCTTCTGATCAAACAGACACCATCATGTGAAAACACACACACACACACACACACACCTGGATGATGAAACACTCAGGAATCAAAGTCTTCAGTTCAATAATTTATTGATCACATTAAATTAAACAGCTGTGTTCATATATTACTCTGCTCCTTTAAATTATCGGCTCTTCTGCGTCACCATGACGTCACTTCACCTCGCTCCTCCTGTGCGTGTGTGTGTGTGTGTGTGTGTGTGTGTGTGTGTGTGTGTGTGTGTGTGTGAGTGTGTGTGAGCAGCTGGAGATCAGCTGCTCCGGAGCGTCACATGCAGCTCCTCAGTTCATTCATTCAGTTCACTTCAGTCATGTGACATCCAGCTGCTGCCGCCGCTCAGTCACGTGACAGTCCTCTTCCTTTCTGCTGCTCCAGGACCTGGACCCTCCAGGACCTCGGGTTTCAGAACCCACCAGCATCTCAGCACCCCGGCCAACTCAACCCCAACTCAATCAGGCAGCAGGTAGGCCCGGTTCAGCCCGGTTCGGCCCGGTTCGGCTCGGCTCGGTCCGGTCCGTCTCTCAACACAAACGCCGTTAATCCCCTTCAGCAGGAGGCCGGCTGTTTGGACTGAATCCACTCCTTCTCACCGCTCCGCAGCGGTTTTGACTCGGTTCGGCTCAGTCCGGTCCGGCTCAGCGGTCCTGCAGCTCCAGACAGGGGACCCACTGGTTCCTGCAGCGGCTCTCCTCGCAGAAGCTGCTGATGTCCTGCAGGGCCGGACTCTGGAGGGCCTTCACAGGAGGGTTCTGGAAGAAAACAGGAAGGAGCGGGACGGTCAGTGACGAACTTTTACACAAACTTTAAATTAACCCGAGAACACGATCGCCGACCGAACATGTTTAGGTGATCTTCATGATGTTCAAACCTGCTTTTTCCCACAGACTGGATTTGACACAGTTCTAGTGTTTAGTGTGTAAATGTAGGAGATCTTAGTGACAACATTCAGGACGTCATATTGACCCTCCAGCTGTGATCCTGTTACAGGGTGGACGTCTCTGACTAACACAGAGCTAAGGTTTGTTGAACTTCGTGATTATAAATGGAGTTGATTTCGTTTCAGGTCAGTCAGAGTGGTCCTGAAGTTTACATGCTCGCCGTGGTCAGAGTCAGCTTTCATCATTTCTACTCTAAATCTGACATACTTTGGTTCTCTCTCCTGCAGCTGTCACTGTGCCAAAGACCCCGAGTCTGAACCAGAGAAGACTCACAGAAACTAACTTTAGGCACTTCTTCTTTTCCTCCCTTAATTGCACATTGCACAATTAAAAATAAAAGAAAACTAATTTGTCATGTATTCTCCTTTTTGATATATTTATATATATATATAAGTACTTCTCCTTGGGTATATTATTTTGTGTAAAAATCCCCCGGTGATCGTGTTCTTGGGTTAAATAATCTAATCTCAATCTCTCAAAGGTCCAGATTCTGGTTGATGTGCAGCGGGAGTCGGACTCACCGTGACCAGGATGCAGTGCATGTCTCTGGGCTCGTTGCCGTTGCTGTCCTCGGTGTCCTCCTCCAGCAGCTGACCCAGCCGCCTCATCCCGGACACCCGCAGGATGTTGATGTCGTTGTCGCAGCAGAAAGCCTGCAGGAGCGTGAAGTGGATCTGCAGAGCGATGTCGTCCTCGTCCTCCTCATCGGTGGCGAGGACGCACAGAACCACACTGTCCGGATCTCTGCAGGAGGAGGAGGAGGAAGAACCGGGTTAGAATCAGAACTATCAGAAGATTCAGAACCATCAGAACATGCATCGGATCGTGAAAGAGTGTAGAACTCAAACTTACACATTCATGAGTTTGGCGGACTCGTAGACTCCCACAGTGAGACAGTCCTGTCTCTGAGCCGCGACCAGCAACTCCTCCAGAGCCTGACTCACCGTCTCCATCCTGCACACACACACACACACACGGAAAAGAGGCGGTTAGAAACGTGACCGAAACCCGCAGAGCACGCTCACGAGCACTGACACTGACTGCATGAAAATGTGTGGAAATAAGAGCAACAGGTCTGAGATCCGATCCGGTATCGGAACGTGCTGACTGCGTTAACTGACACTCGTGCAACCGCGTGCCAGTGCGTTATGACGGTATCGGTAACTCACTTTTTCTCGGTGCTGTTGGATCCGACGACTTCCTCCAGAGTCATGTTGAAGTCAGATAAATAATCCACCAAATCCAGGATAAGAAGAAATATCCACAGCGCGAGGAGGCTGCTGTCCCGATAAAGTCCCGGAATAAAGTCCAAATGATCGGTAATCCAGATCGGTCCAAAGATCGGAACAAGCTGAGCGTTAGTCCGTGAAGTGAGATCGTGAGAAGAGAAAGATTTCTGCTGCCGAAAGCTGAAACTCTCCTCTACTTATACGCCACCAGTGTAGTGGGCGTTACCCCGCCCAGCCGCTCGGTCTCTGATTGGTCCTTTTCTGTCAATAGATCCCCCGTACTCTGCGCCCATTGGCTGAGCGCGCAGCAGACGCTGGTGATCCCACGTGGGTGGTTTCGGAGAATCCCCCGCTCTCTCTCTCTCTGTCTCCCCCCTCCTCTCCTCTTTCCTCACACCCTCCCAGTTTGTTTACCGGGACTCTTTCTTTCTTTCTCTCGGAGTGGAGGAATTTCCAGATCCTCCACCCTGCGCCTTTTCCCACCTCCCAGAATGTGCTGCTGCTTGAGGATTTTGCAGAATCCACCAGAACCACCGCCGAACCAAAGACAGAACCTCAGCTCAGGGATGCATGCCCACCATGACAGTCCACGCACACACAGAAACCCCAGACTGCAGCGAGTCCCCTTAACATATATGTTTTTAAATGGGGTCTGGGTCTTGCACAAGCACAGAAGGGAAGCTGGGGCAGGTGATCAGCCCCGTGTCAGAGCACGAGCTCGGGGACAGAGCTGCTTCTCTATTGGATAACCGAGGCCGGTCTGCAGGTTGTGCAAGAGCAGAGACAAAAATAAAAGATGGAAATGAGCCTCGATCAACAACACGGGGGCGAAAATCACGAGAAATTCAGATGACATTTGGTGCAGAGATGAGTTTGAGTTTTTTGGTTCTTCTGCAGACAGACTGAGGTTCTGCTGCAGGTCTGCACTCCCTGTTCTGGAAGTTTCAGCTGCTGCAGCCTGCTGGGTCTAAAAATACCCACCAGAGTCATGAGACTGTTTACCGGCTGAGGTTTGGCGCAGCCGCAGAAGAGGAGCTCTCTTTGAGTTTTATTCTTCTTTTATTGTGTTTTTGGACATTCATGTGTTCACTCTGCTGCAGGTTTCCCACCACATGCTGCTTACACACACACACACACACACACACACACACACACACACACACACACACACACACACACACACACACACACACACGGTCTCAGGTCCTGCATGTCTGGTCTGCAGAGGTCTCAGACGCCCCCCGGCGGCCTGAGGCGACCCTGCAGCAGTGAAACCTGCAGAACAAGTCAGAACAAGACCAGAAACCTGTTCCCGGAACAGGGTCACATGCAGAGGGGGGGCCCCTGAGGGTCTCTGAGAGGTTTCAGGGTTCAGCGAGGGGCTTTTTGGAGAGCAGGTTGAGGAGTTTGGGGGTTTTGACAGTTTCATGGGCTGAGAGAGACTGTGGGGGGGTTTCAGACATTAAAATGAAAATGGTTCTGGAAAAATCCCGGAGGTTTCACTTTGTGTTCTTTCAGAGTCCCTCTGACCCCCAAACGGACCAGTTTAAGTCCAGTCCATCAACCTGTTTTAAAGCTGTCATTTAAAAGTCTTGTCTCCAAGTGAGGCCTGTTTAAAAGAGTTAGTTAAGCTCTTTTATTCCCTCAGTTTGAATAAAGGTGGAGATGCTCAGACTTGCACAAAGTTATTTTACGGTTTCCTGAAGTTTCTGAAAGTAACTTAAATTCTTTTGGAGATTTTTGAGGGTTTTAAGTCCGTTTACAGAATCCCAAAGTTTTTTTTCAGACTCTCAGGTGGTGATCTAGTTTATCTGTTATTCTATTTATTCACAAATTTGAGAACTAACTGGTTTTTAAAGAGACGGTGCACTCTAGACGACGGTGCACCGAGGTTAGTTTATTATTCGTCTCCTTTTAGATGTTATTATTGTCAAAAATTGGGCTAAACTCAGTGTTGGATGAAACAAGATAATGTCAAATTTAATCTTAATTTAATATTTTGGATTTTATGAAGTCTTTGATAAAAACAAATAATCCAAATTAAATAGCTTTCATGTCATTTTTGCATTTGATTCGTCTCACTCTCTGTATTCTGTGTTTTTGTTGTTGAATAATTAAAAGAGCTGTTGTTTGGATTCATATCAGTACTCCCTCGTTTATTGTATCATTAGTAATATTAGTATTTGCATTGATGTTGTTATTGATTACACCACTAAAAGTAAAGGTTGGGCCTGTCCTGATTGTCTCCTGAGTGTCTGCTGCCCCCTGCTGGTCTAATCATGTCTTACATGAAGGTTGAAATTCCACATTTCACCAACTTCCTCCCAGGCCTCCAAAAGATCCTCTAAACATTAAAAAGAGATTTGAACAGATTTTTGTTTGATATTAAAACAACACAAACCTCTTTATATTCACACTCAGGAGTGGAGAGGTTCAAGTTTCAGCAGCTTAAAGAGACGTTAAAGTCAGAGGGGTTAAAGAGTCAAATAAATCAATCAAAGTGTAAACATTGATTTAAAGTGTTCATGATTAAAGTTTGAGTTTGAAAATGAAAGATTCATGTTGAATTATTTAAAGATTTCATGTTTGAGGAAACTGAAGGAGTGTAAAAATGAAGAGTGAAAGTTTGGAGTGAAGAGATTAAATCTGAAGTTTCATTTTCACTGTCAGAGTCACATGATCCCGACATCTTCACATGACTCCTTAAAATGGCTCATTAATCTGACGACCCTGAAACCTGCTCAGAGATGTTAGAGATTCCTTAATGAGTGATCAGACTTGTTAGCAGCCAATCACAGCCGTCATTAATGAGTGATCACATGACCTCTGATCAGATCAGTCATTGACCTCCATCAATACTTAACTCTGTCTGATCTGTGAGGGTTAAACTGATGATCACATGATGTTTCATGGATGACTGATCTGAAGATGATCAGGTTTGGATTTATTGTTTTTAAAAACGTCGTTTCGATCACAAGAAAAAAAAACACCTAAACAAACTTAAAAGAGAAAAAAAAAACTTTAATATCCTTTTTAAGGATTTAAATATTTTAACTTTTTCTGGATGTATGCTGAGAGAGGACGTTTTAAAAAGTTTCTGTCAGTTTAAGGTTTTCAGTCACTTCACAGATACTCAAATAAAAACAGACTTTGACCAACTTTAACAGCACTCAGTGAAAGTTTGAGGTTGTTAAAAAGGTTTTAAAAGAGACTTAAAGTCCAAAAGACTTCCATGAGTGTCACGGGTATTTAGCAGTTTAACACACAAACACACACTCCTGTTCATTAAAGGGTTAATTCTGAAAATAACATAAACACTCTTATCTTTTTGAGACACGTTTTCTTCGTCTTTTTGATTTATACACTTTCATGAAATACAAGTTAGAAGAACAAAGTCACAGTTGAAAAAGCTTCAGAGCTATTTTAAGATATTTTAATATCAGTCAAAAGAACTTTTAAACTCAAGTGGAAAATTTTGTGTTTAAGTGAATCAATTAGAAATGAAAATGAGAGTTTAAGTGAGTTTAAGTTCTTAAAAGGATGTACAGAAACAAAAAAGGGTCATTCAGAGAAAAACTCGAACCAAAAGGAAAGACTATAATGTGAAATAAAAACATCAGTTTTTTGGGTTCAACACTGAAATAAACGAGCTGTTATGTTTATTATCTTAACGTATTTTAAGATGCAAAATTAAAACGTATATAAAACCATAATCTGTTTAAGAGTCCGCTTCAAAACTTTGGACTCTGCAATGTTTTTTATCAGGTACAAAAATTAAAGTTGAGGTCAAAGGTCTTTTTGTTAAGACTGAATGAGTTTGACATTTTAACTTTAAGATCTTTTAAGTCTCAGTTTTAAGTTCCAGCTTCTTTTTAAATCCTCAGGTTGTTTTTTTTTTTAGTTCAATAATGTTCAGTTAAAGTTTTTGATTGTTGTGAGTTTCAGAATCCACAAACGGACTAATTAAACCTCCGAGCTCTCAATACACACAAACTGATGTGTTAGAGTGTGTGTGTGTGTGTGTGTGTGTGTCTGAACCCTCCTGCTGGTTGACACTCACCCTCAGTCTGCAGCCCCCCCCAAACACGCACACACACACTCGGGCCCTGGGTGTGAAGTCTGAATCCACTCCTCCTCCTCCTCCTCGTCGTTCTCTGAGTGTCAGAGTTCATTAAAACGGTGGAAATAACAAAGTGATCTATTTAAGTACAAATGAGAGGAACATCTACTTTGGTCTTTCTACGTTTACGCCTCCTCTCTGAACTTTATCTTCTCTTTCTTCGTTTGGAGTCAAAGTTGATCAGATTGGCCTTTTTCTTTTGAAATAATCAGACTGAGTGTTTTTACTGAAACCTTTTTATTTGTTAATTAAAGAGAAAATTAGTCAGAAACTGTCATTAAGGTCCAACTGTTTATCAGGGACTCGTTTGTTTTCCTCTGAGAGTTTGATTAAATGTTCAACAAATACTTTCAAACTCTAACTTAAGTATTTTTACAGAGAGATTATCAAACTGGTTTTAGCTGCTGGACCTTCAGAGTGCAGCTGTCTGAAGGTTTGATCCACGTTTGTTAATCCAGGATTAGATAATCCAGCTGATGTTTTTATGTTAAACTTCTTCAGGAGAAATGATTGGATCAGTCTGACTCAGATTGGGCCTAAAATGTAACTGCAGTCTGTCCACAGGGGGGCGCTACAATCCACAGACAGATCCCCTCAACTGTTTTCCATGAGATGTCTGGTTTGATAATATTGATGTTGTTTGATGATAACAGAGAACTCTGAAGTTTCATTGATGTCAGACTCTCATTTATCTATCGATTATCTATTGATTACTTTAATCCATGTTTTCTTTTTAAACAAACCTGTTTTCGCACACTTCAGGTCTGTTTCACTGAAACATTTGAGGGTTTTACTCCCCTCTGTTTTTTTTAGTGCATCTGAACCTTGAAATAAAAATCCCTCTTATTTAAAGTCTGATTTAGTATTAACACTAAAAGCTTTTAAACATCGATGACTGAATTTGTTATTAAGGGAGATTCAAATATTCAGAATTACAGTTTTTTTCAGTCTCTATCAAGAGGTTGTCCGACCAGTCGTCACTTTTTCTAAACTCTAAACTCAGCTCTCACAGCATCGGTCTTTTTACTGTTCACAGTCTGGGAGACTGGATATTATTGATTATACTGATTATTTATTCACTTATGTGTTTATGAAACTGACCATACAGGTAAATATATTCCATCCTGTATTAGTTTATCTGGGTTATAAATGTAAAAAAAAAGTCTAATCTTTTTTCCCATTTTTTAAAATTCAAACAACAAAGTAGCCTCAGTAAAAAAAAAAATTCTAATCTTTATTATTATTTTTTTTACTTAGGCTACTTTGCTGTTTAATTTTTTTTTTAAGGGGAAAAAAAGATTATACTTTTTTTATTTTATTTTTTTTTAACTGAGGCTACTTTGCTGTTTTATTTTAAAAAACGAAAAAAAGTCTAATTTTTTCCTCTTTTAAAAATAAAACAGCAAAGTAGCCTCAGAAAAAAAGTCAACTTTTATTTTTTTATTTTTTATTTTTTTTACTGAGGGTACTTAACTGTTTGAATTTAAAAAAAGGTTAAAAAAATAGTAAAACCTCTTCAAAATAAATAAATAAATAAAACAGCAAAGTATCCTTGGTAAAAAAAAAAAAAAAAAAAAGTGTTGCGTTCATAACTTTTATTTTGATATCCGTAACCGGAAGCAGTTGTCTACAGCAGCAGAGCCTGACGGAAGAAGGAGAGCTCGTGAACTTTTCCCTCGGTCATCGTAACGGTCATGTCTGACTCGGCAGAAAACTCGGACGTTCTCTCACCTGACGGACAGGTAAGTTAGTTCAAAACTATCGGTGACGTCAGTTTAACGTGGTTACCAGGAAACCAGCTGACTAGTTAACTCTAACTAACGAATAAAAGGTTAAACGCAGCAGTTCGGCTAACGGCGGGATTAGCTAGGCCCGCTGTTTTTAGCTAACGTTTGTCTGTGATGGTTCCGCAGGAGTCCGGTTCGGTTCTGGTCAAGGAGGAAACGTCTCCGACAAAAGTGACGGAGAAAAACCCGGAACTTTCACCGGTGAGTTCGAGGATTTAAATAAAACGGTAAAATAGTTTTAAGAAGACCCGGAAATTGACCGTTTATTCGAACTTTAACTGACTTTAATGGACCATGATGAAGTTAGCATCTCAGTCACTGACTCAGGGGAGGTTCGGGAAACGAGTCCAGGTCCAAAACCTTTTTATCCAGACAACAGGAACATTTAAAAGAGAAGTTAAAAACACATTAATTATATTTTAACCTGTTTGAGTGAATTATCAAAGAGACAGTTCGCCGTTTTTTTCACTGTTTGGACCCCGTCTGATCCAGAACCAGAACACGGTTCCAGATTGGTTTAAGATCATTCTAGAGACGAGAATTTTAACATCTATAATTATTTTGTTTGTCAATTTTAATCAAAGGTGATTTTAGTGATTTTTAAACCGTCAGAAAGAGCGGGCCGCTCAAAAATGTTCAAATGTTGACGACACAGACATAAGAGAACACAGAGATATCGATATATTACCAAATGTCATCAATAACTAATATCTATTGACTGATATTAAAAGATTTTTTGTTTATACACCATAAAATAAAAAGATGCTTCTTTAACGGATTCCTGCCGACCTCACCTTTTAATGTGAAGGGTGTAATTTAGGGTAAATATTTAGGCAGGAAGATGGTGTTAAATATGAAACTGTGGGGATGATTATGTTTTATAAAGAGTTTATTAAAATGTAAAAGATCATATTTTGGAGACCATGATACTCCTGTAAATTTTAGGTGCAGATAAACTTTAAACTTCTGTCCTGTTGTTGGTTAAACACAGAAAAGCTGAAGATACAAAATCAAAAAAGAGTCTCCTGAAGTCTGTTTGTGAACGTCTGTAAACCTGCTGTGAGGAATAATCCTTGGATACGGGGACTGAACCTCAGGTCTCTGCTGCTTTCAGGGTGTCGATGTGTCCGGATGTGCAGCTTCAGAGGAGACGGACGGCAGAGAGACGCTGCAGCAGGTGAAAGGACTGAAGGACAAACAGACGGCCTCTCCACCTGCAGCCGAACCCTCCTCCACCAGCCCGAAGGTAGAGAGGTCATGATGACAAACGGATCCTTGTATCCAATCAGAAGCTGCGTCTCTTTTTCTTCGTTTGTTTCTCTGTCAGGATGAAACTTTGAGTTCTTGAAAACGAACCCGAACTCAAAAAACGAGTCTTTATCTGATTTTCTACTCTGGGTTGGAACCTACACTACGGCGTCTTACTGCCTCCCAGTCAGATTATTGGTTTGCTTGATCTTTGAAATATCCTGTTTTTGTGAGTTCCCTAAAAACTGAGAACAGGATTATGACCCTGTTCTGGTCTCTGCAGCAGGACTGGAAACCCGGGTCTCAGTGCCGAGCTGTGTACTCAGGGGATGGTCTGATTTACCCGGCTGTTGTTCTATGGGTCAAAGGTCAGCGCTGCTGCGTTCGCTACGATGACTACAACAACGAAGAGGAGCACGACGTCAGCAGTCTGCTGAGCAGCAACGAGCTTCACGGACCGAGCAGAACCGCCACAACAGCAAAGGTTAGGACCAGGACCAGGACCAGGACTATAGACTGGGAGGATACTGAGTCTGACTCAACTTCAGTTCTAACTGCATGTCATTTCAAAATAAGAGCGTTTTAATAACACGGGAAATGAAGCAAACAAATACAGGACTGTAAAAATGTCAAAATAAAAGCATTAAAACAAGTTTTAATCAAATAATTAACCAACTAATCAAAAAATAATCAACTGATTCATCGATTAATCCAAAAAAAATTGACAGATTCATTGATTATTCGAAAAAGTAATCATCCGATTCATCCATCAATCTAAAGAAAAAAATCAGCTGATCAATCAATATATACAGGAAATAAAGCAGTCAAATGTACGACTTTAAAAATGTCAAAATAAAAGCATCCAAACCAGTTTTAATCAAATAATTGACCGATTCATTGATTAATCCAAAAATAATCAACAGATTCATTGATTAATCAAAAAAAAATAATTGACCGATTTATCGATTAATTGAAAAAAAAATTTGAGTCAAGGTCTCCAGGTGTCTCCAGATGGTCCCAGATGTGGATTTAGTGGTTCCTCTACTGAACCTTGAATGAGTGAAAAACCTGGTTCAGGGACCGTCTTAAAGCCCTCGAACCTGGTCCGAGAGTCCGCCTGCTGCTGGAGTTCTGGGGTTTCCTGGGAACCTTTGGGGTCACCTGGTTTATCGGTGCCGCTCCAGCAGAGGAGTTGGACTCGTGTTCAGTCTTTTATTCAGGTCTCTGAGGAACTCTTTAATGATTCCCCTATCGATGCCTTTCTTCAATTAAAAAAAATAGACTATAGGTTTTCATCGTTAACTCAAATTTGATTGAGTCTCTGACAACAGAAACAGACGTACGCCACCTTCAGTGAGAGTCTTTTTGTTCAGCATGTCTGACATTGTGTTCATGTAAACTCCGGACAGGGTGACGGTATTCTGAGTCCACTAAAAGAGGACGACTTGTCTGTGAAAATTTGAGGGTTTTTTTTGTCGGGTCCAGAGTTTTTATGTTCTTCTAACTCGGTTAAAAACAGATTATTGTGAATTCTTAAAGACAGTCCATGTGTGCGTCAGTGTCTTTGTTTGGAAGTGAGCGGAGGGGCGGAGCTGCAGAGAGGACTGATCCTCTGCTCTGTTTTATAATGAATGAAAACATGTTCTGGATATTTGAAGGATTTTATTAACTCCCCCCGGACAGCGCCTTTAAAGAGGACATGTCCGGGTAAAAGAGGACGTATGGTCACACTAACATATGTACCTTTCATGCCACCTTTGCATGTTATCACTGCTCGACAAACATCGCACTGTTGTCGTCTTTCTCAGTCAAATTAAACCTCGTTTCTGCCGACTTTTCGTACCGAGAGCGTACCGATGTTTCCGTTCACGTAGACTTGCACTCATCCGATCGATTTTGTTACCACCCAGAAGAAAAGAATCGTTCAGATAAAATGTAAATGATCCGTTTGGAACCAGTTCTCAACAAGAACCGGTTCTGGATCCCCATCCCCACTCAGGTGTGCGCTCAGACCCTCAGCTGTCGGTCTCACCTGCAGGGCAGCAGGTGGACAGGTGTGAGCGGCAGGAGGGAGGAGAAACAGGGGGAGAGAGGAGCGGAGAGGAGGTCTGACAGATGGAGAGAGGAGCAGCACACCTCCTCCTGGGTGAGTCATACAAACAAACAGCACCACCTGCTGGTCAGCTGACGTTCCTACACCTGATCCTCTCACCTGCTCTGTGTGTGTGTGTGTGTGTGTGTGTGTGTGTGTGTGTGTGTGTGATCAGGCCAGAGAGAGGTCCAGTCATCAGAACAAAGAGGAGAAGAAGAGCGCAGACAAACCGACCAATCACAGCTTCACCTTCTTCCCTCCTTTTCCTCCTCCTCCTCAGACGAACTCGAGGGTAAAACCGACAAACTGACCGTCAAACTCGGGGACATCTATCAGACTGAAGATCTACTCTCAGCTGATCTCTCTCCCTCTCTCTCTCTCTCTCTCTCAGGACTCCGCCTCCTACATCCCTCCCCCTCCTCCCCCTCCTCTCACCTGGGCCATCGGAGGTCAAGAGGGCGCCGGTTTTGACTCCGCCTCCAACATGCTGATGCTGTGGTACATGTGTGGATTCCACACCGGCAGTTACCTGGTGAGTGACCACCCTGCAGACCCTGAACGCCCCGGGTCTTTGCGGTCCTGGTTCAGTGTGTTTGGGTCTGAGAGGACCGACCCGGTTTTGAAATCCTCCCTGATTTCTGTTTGTGTGCGTTTCCACTCTGAGGTTGTGTGTTTGTGTGTCTCAGGCTCAGCAGGCCTTCAGGTCCGGCTCCAAAGACTGAGAGGTAAGAACCCGGTCCTGGCAGGTCCAGACTCAGAGGTGGTTCTCTGGACTAAAGCGTCTCACTGTCTTTGTGTTTTCAGAACCGTCGGAGCAGCTGCAGCTTTTTTTGTTTCGGAGGTTCCATGTGGATCAGGAAACGCTCCAGTTTGGTTCTTGGTTCTGTTTGTGTTCAGAGAAGATGTTTCAGAACTCTGCTGTTAGGAAATGAAATGAGAACGTGTTTGTTTGTTTGTTTGTTTGTTTGTTTGTGTTTGAGGACAGAGTTTGGTTTGAGTTTGTTGTCGATGAGAAAAAGATTCTTGAATAAAGTCGAAACAGATACTGAAGAGCTGCCGTCTGATCTTTAACTCCGTCTGTTCCTCCATCATCTCTGATCCCAGGAAGAAATTAAAACCTTTGTTGACTTTGACGTAAACGCTGACACACACACACACACGCACACACACACACACACACACACACACACACACACACACACACACGCACACACACTTCCTGTCTGTCTCTGCACCAGGAATGGAAATAACTCTGATTCTTAATTATTGTGTTAACTGATTAAATCTGTGAGTCTGTTCAGGTTCTGCTGGTGCTGACCGGTTCTGGATGTGGTTGCCCGTGGGCTGGGATCATATTGTTGTTTATTGAGCAGGTGAAGTATTGATGATGAACGGATGATTGATCAGGTTTGTTTTATAACAAGGAGAAATGATCAAAAATCATCTCTTTCAGTTTTTTAACAGAAGAATTTAAACGTCCGTGTTGGTGTGTGTGTACAGGTGTGTGTGTGTGTGTGCTCATTTTAAATCTGAATATAGATCGTTGATGATCAATAATCCTGATCGATAATGCTAAAGAGTCGATTTGAGGAAAACTGATGTTGAAAAAGTTTAAATCCTGTGAAACCAAAAAACTTGAACTCTGATATTTTCTTCAAACAGACGGACTCCTCGATCTCCTCTGTCAACTCTGTCTCTGTGATGGTCATCTGACTGTCTAGTCCCGCCCCTTCCTGTCTATGATTGGTCAGCTGGACCAATCAGCAGCGCCTGTGGCAGCGCCCTGCACAGCTCCTCTTCCTCTGCTCTGAAAACAGCGTGACTCTAAAATATGGAGTCAAAGGAGGCGGCGAAGCATCAGAAACGTGAGTTTAACTTTTTACTTTTATAAACAAAAAAAGAGATTTAAACTAAAAATATAAAAAATGTCACTTCTGATTAAAAAGTGAGTTTTTTCATTCAAATAGCAAAAAATAATTTACAAAACAAAAGTTTTGTAAAATAAAAAAATCTTTTTTTTCATCTACAAAACAAAAAAGTTTTGAAAAAAAGTTTAATTTATCAAACAGAAAAGTTTTATAAATAAAAAGATATATGTATTTTTTAAATCATAAAACAAAAAAGTTTTGTAAATCAAACAAAATAAATTCTTTTTAATTAAAAAACAAAAGTTTTGTAAATAAATAAAAAATAATAATTTTGAAGTAATTTTTTTTTTGTTTTTACCCTTCTTGGCCTCCGTTTACTAAAAACCCTGATCTGTATTAGCAGAGCTAGTTTGGGTTCTTGAAGGTCTTCGTTGGTACCCCTCTACGTTCAGACCTCAGGCACAGAACGGTTGTGGACTCTCTGGGTCTTGTGTAACCCGGACTCAGTCTCTCCCTGCTTATGAAACCGTCGTCCTCTCTGACGAGCAGAGCGTCTCCTCCTGACCCGGAGGTCAGGCGGCTGATGTCTCATTATCAGCAGGTCAATATTTTCACCCTGACGTCACGGCGGCTCCGTTATAAATCTGTAAGACAGAGACCAGAACCTCAGAGCCCACAGGACGGACCCAGACCTCCAACACCCCAGGACTGAGACTGAAGCAGACCTCAGAATCCTCTGAGCGTACGTACGGTCGGCAGGCCGCTGTGACTCCTGGTCAGCGCCATGGTCAGGGGCGGGATGCTGCTCCTCAGCGCCTCCTGCTGGCTGCTGGTGGTTTTAGGGAGCAGTAAGAAGATGGAGGGGAGATCAGTGGAGGACGCCATCGAGACTCCGGAGGAGAAAGAGCTGGTGAGTAGATGCAGCATCTATGATTTCTAGTTCTGCGTTGAAAGGACAACTGGACTTAGTGATTTCCACTAAATCTGAAACGTACCATCTGAATATAGACTTTATAGAGTCAAGGAAGTTTGGATGATATTCTGGGGTAAATCTATTTGATCTAGAATAGTTTTAATATTTAACCTGTAAAAATTAAATAAAAATCAGTAAGCTGTTTTTTTGGTCGCTACCTCAGATGTGACGCAGCTTCTTCAGACAGTTTTCTGTAACCAAACAATAATTTATACATCAATTATCAAATATTTGAAAGACCATTTCAGTTGTTTAGCCGACTGTATTTCTGTTCATGCCATTGCATTAGTGTTCTTACAAGATTTTTGGTTATTATATTCAACAGAAAAATATCACGTTCACCATCGCCACTGAAATAAATCTGTTGAAATGTTTTTTAATTTATTATTTTGCATGGATGTCTGCTTATGACAAAACAAATTTTTACATTTATGTTGTGATGTGAAAGTTTGTGTAAATTACCCAAAATTTCCAGATAACTTCCGTAAATTCCCAGTAAAAATTTGAATATTTCCAGGATTCCCAACAGTTTAACTTCCCATGAAAAGTTTCTGGATCTTTACTGGGAATTTTCTGCCCCTTTACAACCCGAGATATGATGTTCTTTAAAAATATAAAAAAGATCACCTCTGATTAAAAAGTGAGTTTTTTTTTCATTCAAATTGCAAAAAAATCATTTACAAAATTAAAAAGTTTTTTTCACAAAACAAAGAACTTTTGTATAAAAAAAAAAATATATATGTATTTTTTAAACTATTTTTTTAATTTGCCAAACGGAAAAGTTTTGTAAAATAAAAAGATTTTTTTTTTTTCATTTACAAAACAAAGAAGTTTTGTGAAAAATATAAATATATTTTTTTAATTTACCTAACAGAAAAGTTTTTTTTCCCCATCAGTTTAACTTTCCATGAAAAGTTTCTGGATCTTTATTTTCCGCCCCTCTACAACCCTCGGTGTGATGTTCTTTAGACGATGAAATCCACTCAAACTGTTGGACTGTTCGCTCACGCGGTCTCTCACAGAGCGGTGAACCTCTCCGTTTGTGTTTTCTGTGGTCAGATCGAGGCGCTGCAGGAAGTTCTGGAGAAGTTAAAGAGTAAAGATCTGCCGCCGCTGGAGAAGAAACTGGGTTTACTTCCGTCTGTAAGAACCATCAGATGATCTTCTCTTATTGGGTCACTTCAGCTTTGGTCCAGTCTGTTCAGACGTGTGTGTGTGTGTGTGTGTGTGTGTGTGTGTGTGTGTGTGTGTGTGTGTGTGTCAGTGTGATGCAGGGGAGCAGTGTGCGGTCCGTAAAGGATCCAGGTACGGGAAGTTGTGTGGATGTCCTGGAGGAACCCTCTGCAGCTTCAGCTCCCTGAAATGTCTGTAGACTCCATGAACTTAATAAAGGGATGGTTTTCAAAAGTCCACTGCTCTGTGTTTTTATCTCTGCAGGACCAACGCCACAGTTTTCTATGCTGCCCTCTAGTGACAGGAGAGTATAAAATACCGGGGCACTTTAACCCTCATACAGTATTGGTGACAAAAACGTCCACTCAGGGTCACTTTTACCTCTTAATTTGACCATAACATTCACTGTATTCAGCAAATAGTATGATTTTTACTGACAAACTTTAGTTCTTCAGAATTTTCAAAAGGTCAATATTACACCGTCGGCAAATATAACACCCTTAAGCGGAGTTAGTGGCTGTTTTCAGATAAATTTTTTTTTTTTGCATAAATCTTTTAATAAACCTCAGTCTTGATCAAAACTACAAAATGATGCAAGAAAAATCAAAAATTTAACCCTTTGAATGCAAATTTAAAAAAGAAAGTCACTGATATGGGAAAAATACACACAAAATGAGCTTTTTTCTATATAAAGAAAATGTTTTACCTGCTATCACAGTCTTGGACATGTCTTAGATTAGTAACATCATTGATTTTGATGCATATTTAGTTTTCGAGCAGCAACAGATTTTCTTAGTGTCAGTTTTTGCCCCATTGACTCCCATTATAAACACGTGTTTTAAACGCAGAGACATGACTCTATATAAATATGATTTTTACAGTCAGGGTGATCAAACCTGTTCAGAGGGGTTCAAATGAAAGGATCCGCTAAAGGAAGTTTTTTTTTTAACGCTGTATGAGGGTTAAAAAAGAACAACAGGATCGAGATAAAACTGTGAAATGTCAGGAGTCTGATCATCACAGCGTTCAGTTCTGGTCTGGTTTCTGTCCTCAGTTCTGATCCAGACTCGGCTCCTGATGTTCTGAGGGTTTTGGACAAATCAGGACAAAGACAGGAACTTCTTAGAAATTTTTCAGGTTTATTATTCCCATGAAAAACCTCCGCCCCCTGCCCCGCCCCTCGCCCCACCCCCCCAAATTAGATAAAAGCCTCTAAATGTCGAGTCGTCGTGCTGCGGCGCCGGAGCTTCAAGCTTTGCCTAACTTCATGAAAAGTAAAAAAACAGGAAACAAAGATTCATTCATTCACACTGTGAGCGTTCACACTCTGGATCAGCTGATCATTTATTACTAAGTTTAAAAAAGTCGGGACATTCAGTCAGCTCCTGCAGAGGGCGCTGCTGAGCCCAGTGCCTCACCTCTCAGATCTGAGGAGAGGCGGGTTAGAGAAGGAAGCTTGATTTGATGGGACGGTTTTAAATCCTCCGTCAGGTTTTGGGTTTTAGTCTGAATCAAAAATTCTGTGATCGGACATGATCGACCTTCAAAGCAGCTTCTCAGCGACGGTTCTTCTAGGAGCCCAAAAACGTCAGATCCGGACCTGAAACCAGGGACTGCCCCAGAGCGACCTGAGCTCCGACTCCACCCGTCTTCACTTTGTGTCTTCAGTCAAAACCTGAAGATCAGATCAAAAATAACTGAAGCTGCTGCCAAAGAAAACTAAACGATCTTCGATTTCTCAGGAGAACAAGCCCAACTAAACAGACGGACTGATTCTCAAACGTCCCACGGCCCTGAATGCACCACCACCACGGAGCATTTAAAGACTCTCTGAATCAAAACCTGACGGAGGATCTAAAACCCGAACATTTCAAAGCGAAAACGAGTCGAAGCTGCAGATTAAAAAAAAACAAAAACACGTGAGCTGAAAGACGAAGGAGTGAAGCAGCCGAGTCTTTAGACAGTCAGTGAACGTCCAATCATTCATCATACGACAGCGTGACACGTCAGCGTCTCCACGGCGATCAGGTGCGCAGACAGGAAGTTTGTACAGCAGTCATAGGGTCCGTCCAGGCTCCGCCCCCCTCGTCCTGAACCACAGTGCTCGCCGTCGATCGACAAGTCGCCGCTTCACCGAGTCCCTGAAAAAAACACAAACACACGTTTGTACCTGTGAGTAAGCCCCGCCCCCTTTATCCGGCCAAATTATAATCATCATCATCATCACTATTTTTTTATTCGTTTAATTATTTATTAAATCAACATTTTTCCGTCCTGCAGTGAGCGGCTCTGACCAGCAGGTGGAGCTTTAAGGAGCTTCGACATCTGAGAGTAAGACCTGTTATTTTACTGATTTAGGGATCGCAGATGTAAATGAGAGGGAGTGTTTCCACATTTATTCTCTTTCAAATAAATCAAACTTACAAGAAAAGATTTTTTTATTCTTTAAAATAAAAACCTGAATTTTCTTTTAACTCTCATGAACTCTCAGACTTTTATTTACATTTTTATTATTTTACCTTTGTAACTAAAACCCTGAAACTGTTTCTGTCTTAAAATATTTTCTCTTTGACTTCATGCTGATGATGTTATAAGTGTATTTATTTGTTTTTAAGTGTTTTTATTTTATTTTTATTATTTTATTTTATTTTTATTATTTATTTTATTTTATAAATATTTAAATTTTATTTATATTATTTTATTTTTATTATTTATTTTATTTTATTTTATTATTTTCATTTTAGTTTTTATTTGTTTTTCTTCCTGTTTCCATGTTCCTGTTTGTTAAGATGTTCTCTGTGAATAAAGTCGGTTTGATTTCTTTCTTTCAGGGTTTTTTTTAAGCAGTTATTTCACTCAACATTTGAACCCCTGACTCTTTAAAACCTCCTGATTCAGTCTCAGAGTTTAACCGTCTGAGACTTAACAATCAGCTTTAAAGTTTCCAACAGAGATCAAATCATTTCAAAGATGAACTTCAGTAGAAACATTTCTGCCGTTTTAAACTGACATGATAAATGACTGACATCAGGTTTTTCTCAGGGTGTGACGACGCGTTCAGGTTCAACAGATTCTGCTGGTTTTCATTGTGTTGATTTACAGCTGTGTGTGTGTGCGTGTGTGTGTGTGTGTGTGTGTGTACTCACTCAGGTTATGAGACGCAGAGCGCTGCAGACGAGCAGCATCAGCGCAGGAATACCAGAGAGGGGCGCGGCGTCCGAAGAGGGGGTCGGTGTGGGGGGGTTCTGCTTCTGCTGGGTCTGCTGAGGAGCCTCCGAGTCCTCCTGTGTACACTTCAGACTGTAAACACACACACACACACACACACAGAGTTAACAGATCCACCTTCAAATATTTTCTGTCAGAATTCTGTCGTCGACTCGTCTCACGTAGACCCAGATGTTGGCGCTGAAGTTCTGGCGCTGTGAGAAGGACAGAGGTCAGTAGAGAGTTCGACAGCGAACAGGTGAAGGTTTGACTCACAGCTTTTTGTCCAGGAACTGCTTTCTGGACTCGCAGGCTCGGTTCTGACTCTGAGCGGCTAACATCTGGCTCTCGGCGGCCACCCTCAGACTGGCGCAGGCCTCGGTCTCGTGGGCGGCCTGTGTCACGTTCTGCTCCAGAGCGTCGATCTGATCTGAACACAGAAAAGAAACAGAACCTGAATCAGATTCACAGTTTGTAAATGCTCGGTATCTGGTCCAGGAGGGGGCGCTGCTGTCGTAACCTGACCCCTGAACGACACTCCTGAATACGGAGGACGTTTGCTGCGATCATCGCGGATCCTGGTGGAAGTGTTTTGGGTTTTATCTCAGGGATGGTGCGTGTCCGTTTAGCCGCCGTACGACGACAAGGAACCTGTGAGGAGGCGGGGTTGTTCAGATCGCTAACAGTCCGTTGGTTTGATGCAGATCTTGTTGATCTTGTTTTAATTTAAGGATATATTTAAATCTTGTTTTGACACAGAGACCGCAGCTCTGTTCGACAAACTCACTCCTGTTCTGATATTTGAGTCTACTGACTGTTGTGTGTGTGTGTGTGTGTGGGTTAATTTAGTAAACAAAGAGGCTCCGCCCACTTCTGGACTCAGTCTGGGTTATTGAAGCAGACCACGAGGTCCGGGTTGATATCTCTGGATAAAAAGGACCTTTTGTTCTGTTTGGGTTCGATATGAAGCTCTGATAATGTGGACTAAAAATTTGCCCAACATAGCAACAGTAACCAAGGGGGGGGGGTCTGGGAACACCACGTGGCCTGGGAAACAGCTGAAGTGTAGCGTCTCTAAATCGAGCAGATTTTGAACAGGGTTTGGTGCAGCTGAGCGTCTGTTTGAACTTATAAGGCAGCGTGGAGTCTTATCGGGGAGTTATGGGAGGAATGAGCTCGGCTGCCAGCTCCGTGTTTTCTGTTCTTCAGCTTGTTGTGAGCAGATCCTGGATCAGATTCAGACCCTGTGAGGTCACTGCCAACAACCTGAGAACCAGATCCTGAGTCTGACTCTCATTTAGAGGAGGGTCCAGTACAGTAAGAAGTAAGGGAAAGGTGAGACTCTGGAGTTCCTTCAGTCTAACCCTCAGTCTCCACCTTCATCCTGATCGTTTTTAGACGTCATTTCACCCCGATGACACCATGGATGAGGAGATGCTGATTCTAGAAGTCTAGAAGTAGATTTCCTCCTCTGGAAGGACACAATCTACTGCTTATATGTCTATGTGTCTGTCTTTAGAGAGACAACTTGTTATCGAGTGATTGATCGTGAATCTGCGGGTTCTTGTGATTCCTGCTGTCTGTGATCTCTTACGAAATTTGTGGTCTGAGGTCAGTTTGGAATCCTGGTCCACGCTAAACTCCTCAGTGAGATCTGGACCGCTCTGGTCCAGAAACCAGGGTGATCCAGATCCCAGCAGAGGGACGACTTTAAAGTCGGTTCAGCACTAACCAGATTTACGACCCGGATCAATCGTCCGTCGTAGATGTATGTGCATAGATCACACACACATAGGCAGAACTTCTCACTCTGTGTGGTTTTTGGCGCCCCCGGTGGACAAACTCAGGAGTGCTCGGCTGAATTTGGAGTCTTATATTCTGGATCTGGTTTGAAGGTTCATGCTTCTCCTCCACACAGCTGAACAGACAGGCGCCCCTATCAGCCAATCAGAGCAGGGTATCACCCGATCCTGGGCTGTTCTGTCTCGGCCCGGTTCTGTTCTTTCTTCTATCGTAGCGAACACAAACATGATCTAAGCCCCACTCTCGGTGGAGGTGTGGGTTCAGGAACACAATGCTTCTCTCATATCTGATTCATACAGGAATTCACCGCCTCACTCCACGCCTTCACAGCAGGAAGTCACCTCCATTATACGCTCCTTCCACTTCCCATCATGCCCCTGTTCCCGCCCTGCTGCTGCTACCGGAGAGGATTAGTCAGGGAAAATACCTCCTGAGATCGAACAAAGGATGTAAGTGCGTTCAAAACTCTGAGAATCAAAACATGAGCGGCTCGACCTCGGGGGGGCTGAGGACGGAAAACTCAGGAAAGTCGTTAAAATGAGAGAACGTTAATTTAGAGAGCGGGTCAAACAAGGAGAGAGAGAGAGAGAGAGAGAGGGAGACTTTGAACTGAAGATGTTCTGATGGTAGAAACTTTACAAACGGAGGTTCAGACCTTCAAACATCACAGGATCAGAAACCTGAATGTAGGGCTTGGCGACAAAACCAGAACGATATATATCAAAAATAATATCCCTCAATATAAAACACGATCAATATCCTTTTCAATAGTCGTCATTCTGACATGTTTTGGTCGACTATTCGAACAGCCAATGAAAAGGGGAGTTTCTCCGGGTCTGAACCAATCATGTTCTGAATCAGAACCAAGTATCAACCAACTGCAGCGTCGTAGCAGACAGCAGCTCCACCCAACCATAGCACTTTAACAGGTGAAGCCGACAGCACTGTTGGTGAGAAACAAAGAAAATGAGTGCTACCCCCGACAGAAATGACCATGAAGGCTCAACAGATGACCACATCAATGTCAACCACAACACTGGCGTTAGGAAAACGTCGGTGGTGTGGAGGTATTTTGGTTTTTGGAGGTCGGACATGAAGCAGAGTAATGTGGACCGTAAATTATGTCGAGTACATGTTCTCACAAAGTCGGGGAATACCTCAAATCTTTTTCACCACCTGAAGCAGCGCCACGCCGCAGAGCACGCGCAACGCAAAAGGTTACAAACCCTGAGAGGAGCGAGGAGCCCATGGCGCCTGAAACAGACGACCATCTAGTCGGCTTTCTCTAGAGCGACGCCTTACGACAAAACGCCAAAGAGACACAAAGACCTCACAGATGCAGGAGATTATTGTGTTGGAAAAGACATGAGACCAATAAACACTGTTAGATTTTTATATCCTGATATTGATCCATATCAGCTGATAGGAAAATAATATATCATGATAAACTTTTTCCCGTATCGCCCAGCCCTACTGACAGCGCCACACAGAGGAGATCCAGCCGGGACTCAAACCACCAACCTTCATGTCGGTCATTAAGTCCTTTCTTTAATGTCCAAAACAGATATAAACAAACACCGGTCTACGTTTAAAGTCCACATATGTCCTAAAGTCTACGTTTGTCCCTAAGTCCAGGTTCCGGGTCCAGTCCTGGTTTTTGAAAAACAGTCAGCAGCTCTTTTTGTCAGATCGTTTTTTTCTCATCTGAGCCCTCAGGTCTTCAGATTCTGGTCTTTAGATGGTTCCTTTAGTCCGAACAGTGAAGCTCAGACCTCTTTAGTGTTTTATCATCCTGTCCTGTGATGAATCCAGAGACCGGATCTGTCCCTGTTGTCCTCCATGATGAGGAAACACAGTTTAATAATTATCATAATGATGATGTATTTTTATCGTCTCATTTGCTGGTGTGTGTTTTTAAACAACATGATAAAGTTTATAGTCGTGGATATTTTCCTTTTTTCTGTCAGATGAAACATCAGAAGTTTTTAACTCGATACTGATCCACATGTCTTCACTTTAACTCATGATTTGATTTGAACTTTCTTTATTGGAGCAGAAATCGTCTCTCAGTTTGTCCTTATTTTCACTCTTTCTCCTGTTTGGTTCTTGGCACAGACTGGACCGACAAACCGCTCTTTGTTATTCCTTCATGATATCTCAGTATAAAAGTTTTTTTGTTTTTTTTTTTCCATCTGAAGTTTTATTTTCATCTCAAACTGTTTCTGAGGATCTGTTTGATATTTGTGGTTTCCCTCTGACATAATTAAAAGGAGACTGTCTCTCTCTCTCTGTTTTTCCCTCTCTCCATCTCCGACCAATGGCGTGTGTTGTTTATTGACGGTGACTCACAGGTCGTCATGGTAACATCGGAGGAAAATGCAGCTAAGAATACCCCGGCTCAGAGGGAGAAACTCTCCTTTCATGGCAGTGAGTGAGTTTTTTCCTACCTTCCTGCAGGCCGATCTGAGCGGTGAGGTTCGCCTCCGTCTGACGCAGCGCCTCGATGTTCTCCTGCAGGACGCTGACGTTCGCCTGCAAGACGAGCTGCAGGGCAAAAACAAACAGGCTGTTACTGAAGAGGACGCAGGTCAGAGAAACATGACACTCCCCCTCATCCTCCTCCTGCTGCTGACGCACGTTCTTCACATTTTCAGGTCAATAAAAACGAACACAGACGGTTTCTGAGAGACACAAACATCAGATGAGGTTTTAAAGTTACAATCACAATAATAATAATAATAATAATAATAATAATAATGACACAATATTATAATCAAGTTTTAAAGTTATAATAAAAAAATAAAATCAAGTTTTAAAGTTATAATAATAATAAAATAATAATATAATCAAGTTTTAAATTTATAATAATAAAAATACAATAAAGTTTCAAAGTTATAATAAAAATATAATATTAATCAAGTTTTAAAGTTATATTTATATTAGAAATAAAAATAATAACATAATATTATAATTAAGTTTTGAAGTTATAATAATAAAAATATAAAGTTTTAAAGTTATAATAACAATAAAAATATAATTATCAAGTTTTAAAGTTATAATATAATCAAGTTTTTAAGTTAAAATGATTATGAATTATTATAATAATCAAGTTTTAAAGTTATATTTATATTAGAAATAAAAATAATGATAACACAATATTATAATCAAGTTTAATATTTATAATAATAAAAATATAATCAACTTTTAAAGTTATAATAATAATAAAATAATATAATCAAGTTTTTAAAGTGATAATTATAATAATATAATAATTTAATAATCAAGTTTTAAAGTTATAATTAAAATAATATAATAATCAAGTTTTAAAGTTTTATTAAAAATAATAACATCATAATCAAGTTTTAACTTTATAATATAATAATGAAAATGATAATAACTTTTTAAAGTGAAGAAAATCTGTAACTGGACTCACAGCTTCACTAATAAAGGAGGCGGCTCCAAAGACTTTTATCTACATTTTATTATTTTTGTTCGGGGCGAAAACTCGTCAGGGTGTCGACATTTAATCTTTAAGTTTCCAGTATTGTTCCCGACATCGCCGGACTTCAAAGCTCCGACAATCTGATCCAGACGTTCCGATTTCTCAGAGGGTGAAAGATAAAAACAATCGAAGAAGTAAAAAAGGAAAATCAGAGGAGTCTGAAGGAAAACCTGACTCTGTGTGAAATAAACCCTCCATCATAAAGTCTGTGGTACAGAGGGGGGCCGGCCTCACAGCAGGCCGTTTAAGTTTGACTCCGCCCCTCGGCTCATTACCCGCCTCTCATCCCGGTCAAATCTACTGTCCTATTGTCAGAGAAAGGCAAATAAGACCCAGTTACTGACTCTGGATCCTAAAATCCTGCAGGAAACTTTAAACTGAGCACATGTGGACCGGCATGTGGACCGGCATGTGGACCAGCATGTGCATGGAGAACGTTCTCTGAAGGACCCTCAGACCAGACCAGACTGTCTGCTTTAGGCTGCTGATTAAAAGCAGGACCGACTCGCGCTGAGAGCTTTTAGTCACATTCCTTTCATCGAACGCAGACGTTTAAACTTAGATCAGCTCTTTAAACACAAGACGCCCGCGTTTATGTGGAGGGCACGCCGTGTACTCGCCATCATCATCATCACAGCGACCTACGGGAAATAAGACAGCATTTAAAATGATGAGTCTACCAGAACTTAGTGGTTTTCAAATCATCTAAAATTATCTAAAATAATCTAAAATAATGTAGAAACTTATAAAAAGTTTAAAAAACAGGTTCGAAAAGTTTGTACAGGAACAAGCAAACAAGTTCTTGTGAAGCAGTAAAACTGTTAAAAATCGAACATTTATCAAACTTGGACGCTCTTTTTGGAAACCATGGACTCCATGATCCTGCTCTGAGAAGGGGGACCTCATGGTTTGGACCTCAAAAACCAGAGTTCCTGATGGTACCGGGGTTCACAGGCGCTCTACAAGAACTCTTCAGGTTCATGAAAGACTCCCACAAATCTCTCAAGGACTCGGGTCATTTCTTCAAAGTTCCTCAAATACTCAAGGATCCCTGGAATATCATGAATATTTCCCAGGACCTCCTCTGGACTGACTGGAGGGACCCTCAAAACTTCTTCAGGTTCATGAAACTTTGATATTTTTCAAAGTGTCTCTTAAATTTCATCAAAATGGGAACCGGAGCATGGCGGATAAATTCAGCACAGATTAACCCGTGCTGGAAAGGAAGTCGGGCACAGACACAAAATAAAACATCCGGCTTCTTTTCAAAATAAAACACAACCTTTTGCTTGTTCGGACGGAGACGAACAAGTGAAAGGTTTTTAGACGTCATTTCACCCCGATGACACCATGGATGAGGAGATGCTGATTCTAGAAGTCTAGAAGTAGATTTCCTCCTCTGGAAGGACACAATCTACTGCTTATATGTCTATGTGTCTGTCTTTAGAGAGATGACTCGTTATCGTGTGATTGAACGTGAATCTGCGGGTTCTTGTGAGTTCTCGCGTCTGTAATCCGCCACGAAATTCACCTGACAAACCGGATCCTGTAGGAATCGGCAGACGTCAAAAATCGTACTGAATACTGAAGGACTCCTGATGTCTGACCCTTGAATAACCTTAAATATTTTCAAGGACCATGGGAAATTCCTGTTGTGGCAGACAGTTACAGAAGCTGATGTCCTCCTCCTCAGCTGAAGACACGCTGTGACCGACCAATCAGGACGGACGGAAACACAGATGAAAATGAATCAAACAGAGAAAACTCTCATGCGTGTCGACTTCTGCTTCCTCACCGTTTCACAACTTCCTCTGTCGTCACTCAGACGGGACTGTTAGAGCGTCGTCACCTCATGAACTTCCTCAAAGACTCTGAACATCCTTTATCCACCCGGATCTACTGGTGTGAAGATCTCAGTGAGCAGAGAGGAGTCAGAGGGCCAAATATTCAAGGACGGAGTTTATTCAAGTCAAGGATCTGTGAAAGAGACCAGAGGAGAATCTCCAAACATGCCTGGAATGTTTCCAGGACTCCTGGAATAAACTCCAGGGCCTTCCCAACCCTACCAACGCCCCCTTCAGCCCCTCAGAGCTCAGATGAACACAGAGACGGGGTGGACAGGATCTCTGCTCCTCCTCCTCCGTCTTTGACTCCAAGCTTCAAAAGTGCGTCGGGGGCGGAGCTGAGCGAGTTTTTCTGAGCCGAGCTGATGGACCTGAGATCAATGAGACAGACCCGGGTCACGCCGTGGACCCACGCCCCTAAAATGTCTCACAGCTCCTGCAAATACCACAGGAGCTTCAGATGTTTCACAGCTGAGAGCAGGAGGACCAGGCTGCTATCATCACCGACACGTTAACGGTGACGCACATTTACCCAGCATGCACCGCGTTAACTGAACCCAGCCGTGTCTGACCTCAGGTGGATTCAATCAGAGCTGCAGGTGGGAGCGGTTCCAGGGCGCCGCAGGAATGCAGCAGTGTGGCGGCTGATCACATGATCGAACACGCGCTGGTCATGTGACGTGACGGGTGAGGAAGAGCCCAGCAGATCCACAACCTGGAACATGTGACCGCTGGAACGAATTATCGGCTGGAATGAAGCGACGTCACGATCGAGTATCGAACATGAATCAGAATTTTTAGTCGTCAATAAAACTTTTGAATTGAATTTGAAATAATGTCAAAAATCGTCTCCATTTACGACATTTTTCCACGATAGTCTGAAATGCACATCGAATCTCGGTCAAGCTAATGCTAACATTAGCTTGTCGGAAGTCGTAAAGGTACGATTGGACACGTTATTGACAGGCTGTTAGCAGTGAGCCTGTCAATGAAGCAGAAGTGCGATGACTAAAGGTCCTCACACTCCGGGGCCGACGCCAAATTATGAAATATTCAGAGGCGAATTTTGATGCGCCTGACTACACACATCAAGCCCGACGCGATTTTGTGACTTTCCGGGGGGAAAGTCCCGCCTCCTTCGCCTCTGATTGGCTAGAAAAGCTGGAAACGTCATCACACGCTCAAGCCAAACGGTCAGCAGTTACAGCCAATCAGAGGCGATTAGATAAACACATGTAACCATGGTAACAACCGTCAGCTGACGTTCAAACAAAGACGTTTATCAAACTGTTAAAGCTCACAAACCATCGTCATCGGAGAAACCCGACACTATGACTCTCCACAAGTCGTCCTTCAGGTCGTTATCTTTGTAATGTTTGTGTAAACGATCATAAACTATCAGCCGGTCGGCCATGTTGGATTTACCGGTGAATAAAAACACAGAAAATCTCTGATTCATCGTCTCTGCAGACACAGACTGAGAATGAAGAGGTTAATCCTGATGATTCTGGGATTATATAAATTCATATTTTAGTCGAATTAACCTGAAATATTAAAGGTTGGCAGAAAAAACATAAAAAGAAGTTTGTAAAATTAATCAAATCTAGATTAATATCTAAACATGTGACTGTGGGCACTGATTTATTTATGAACTCGTTTATGGAGCAGCGGTTAAAAAGAGGGGTGTGGTTCTGCTGGACTCTCCGACCCTGCAGACCCCCCTACCCTCTCATCTGGGACAGTCAGGTTTTAGAGAGTCTGCGCCGTCTGACTGGAGGGGGTTTCCATGGAAACACCCCACAGCGTGTGTGTGCGTGTGTGGGGGGGGGATTTTGAGATTCTCGCTCCAGTTTCATTTCCTCATCAGAGGAACCGGTCTGACCTGTTTTATCGAGTCTGGGTACCTGTGCGGTCTCAGGTGTGTCTGGTTCTGTTGGAGGTTTCTGCCTGTTAGAGGAAGACGATGAACAAACACACAAAGAAGAGCAAGGCCTGTTGCATTCTGGGTCATGAAGTCAGTTTCTTCCTCTGCCTCGTGGTGAAATAACAGCTCCATCTTCATCAGGACGAAGACTCTGGTCGTCGTCTGAACTTTGACCCCTAAATCTGAACCCTGAGCTCAGACCGGCCGAGTTTCTCAAGAGCTCACGTGGAGGAATCCTGATTTCATAATGACACACAGAGTGACACAGCAGTGTGATTCAGGGGGATTCTGGGAATTGTGGTTCAAGTTGGCAAACAGTCCGAGCTTTTAACATTCCTGTCGGCGAGGAAACGTCACGAAAACGTCGCTGCGCACTCTCTGCTCCTACGAATAAACGAGATGTTCAGAGTTTCCCTTCAGGCAGAGAAGTTTTCTCAGGACGAGAGGAAAAAATCAAAAAAGGATTCGGGAGGGAGAGAGCGAGGGAGGAGGGAGGGAGGGGGAATGAGTCAGGAGGAACCACCAGAGGAGGAGGAGGAGGAGGGGAGCGAGGGCAAACACTCACTTTTTCCAACCAACAACTCTGAGAATCAGAAGCTGGAAATGTTGGAAGAAACCAAACATTTTACAGTCCGAAGAGTCAGCCTGCAGGGAGGGAGGGAACTATTCAGAGAGTCGACGACAGGAAAGAGAAAAAAAACACAAAACTGGGGAGAGAGTGGAAACAGTGAGGAGGAGAGAGAGAGAGAGAGCGATGATTTAACCCTGCTCTCCATCGATCTGAGAGACTCGACTGTTCAGGAGGACACATGGAAGCTGTTAGTGTTTTTGGCGAGGAGGGTGGGGCCGAAAAATAAGAGTCTATTTTCAGTATCAGTTTGGAGGAGAGCCCAGGGTCAGGGTTCGAGCTGAAAATAAAAACACAGGTCATTGAATCTGAAGTGGGTCTGACCTGGACTCTGAGTCCAGATTAAACAAACACACACAGAGTGTAAGTCTGAACTCTGGAGACACACGAGGCCGGGTTCAACAGGGGCGTGTCCAGACTTTACCTGACCGGGGGGCCGTGACGCGTCTGCGCACAAACACGAATAAACCTAAAAACAGCTTTAAAGCCCATTTACAAGATGAAAATCAATAATCAATAATCATTATTTTTCATGTCCTTTAGACAGTGACCCGGAGAACACCAGTGTCAGTCTGACTGGAGGAGAAAATCGAACCCTGACCTCGTTATCCAGGTATGTTAGCGCCGCCATGAGGAACTAGATTCACATGTACATGAGCGAGGTCAATAAATCAGGTTTGGATTCAGACCTCAAATCATCAGGACTTCATTAAAAAAAATGATTTCTTTTTTTTTTACCATTTGAGATATCGGCCCTGATAACTGGCTGCGGTCAATAATGAGGAAACACTGTTTGAATCTTATTCGAACCCTTGACCTTTGACCTAACTGAATAAGAGCTTCACTGAGACCCCTCTGTGACCCTGACCCTGCACTAAAACATCCCAAACTGTCATTTTCAGACTGAGATGATTATGAAGTCCTGCCTTTAATACAAGCCTGCCTCATATAAAGACCTGGTACCTGCAGGACTCCACAGTGCGACCGTTTCATTTACACTTCGACTAAAAATAGATTTGGGCGAATTTTAAAATGTATTTAGGGTCACATGTGCGAATAAAAAATCAACAAATGTTATTTTCCTGTAAATACAGCGGTGAAGTTAGTTTTAGGTTGGATGTTTTTTCCTGTAAATGCGGCGGTGAAGTTAGTTTCAGGTTGGATATATTTTCCTGTAAATACGGCGGTGAAGTTAGTTTCAGGTTGGATATATTTTCCTGTAAATACGGCGGTGAAGTTCGTTTCAGGTTGGATATATTTTCCTGTAAATACGGCGGTGAAGTTAGTTTCAGGTTGGATATATTTTCCTGTAAATACGGCGGTGAAGTTAGTTTCAGGTTGGATATATCTTCCTGTAAACACGGCGGTGAAGTTAGTTTTAGGTTGGATATATTTTCCTGTAAATACGGCGGTGAAGTTAGTTTCAGGTTGGATATATTTTCCTGTAAATATGGCGGTGAAGTTAGTTTTAGGTTGGATATATTTTCCTGTAAACACGGCGGTGAAGTTAGTTTTAGGTTGGATATATTTTCCTGTAAATACGGCGGTGAAGTTAGTTTCAGGTTGGATATCTGACGGACATTCTCTGAGGATCTACCGGTGTCTTCTCACTCTCCATAACCGGGAATAACAACAGCAGCGCGGTTAAATCTACTCGACACCCTCACTGTCAACGTCGGTGTTGAATAAGGGACCGTCAATAAATTACAGGTTGATGTTCTCAGAAAAGGCTGTTTTCCTTCAATAGCTTCACTGTCATGTGACCAAAAGACCTAAAATTGATTTCTAATAATAGTACTAAGGTTGACCAATAAGACAAACATTATTGATCAGTTTTTATTGATCCCCTAAAGTTCTTTGTGCTACTTTTTTAACTCAGGAGAACAGAGTTAGAGTCGAACCCTGACCTGGTACCTCTGTTCAGGACTGGACTACATTGATGGATTTACAGTAAATACAGTGAGACTGGACGGATGATAAAAGTGTAAATGACAGAGTAATGGTTTTTAAAGTCCCCCTCCCTCCTGACTGATGATTCATGTTTTTGTTTAAAGACCTCAGAGAGTGAACAGATTTAACCTCATTCAGTAAATCCACTTTTCTCCAGTTTTTACTTTGTTCTTGACTAACAGACGTTCCTCCTCCGACTCACTCGTCCAAACAGAAAAGTTTTAACAGTGTAGAGCCGAACCCTCAGACATAAACTCCCTCACTCACGTTCTCCTGACGACACTCCTCCAGCGTGTGGTTGGTGGCGTTGAGGTTTCCGAGCAGCATCAGGATCTCGGCCCTCTGCTTGTCCTGCTTCTCCCGCTCGGCCTCCACCTGCTCCTCCAGCGCCACCTTGTCCTTCCTGCACACCACCTTCACGCCCTCCAGCTTCTCTGTGGCGTCCTGCAGCTCGGTGCGGCACTGAGCCGAGCTCTTCAGGTCGGGGGACGTCGACCACACCACGATGACGATGAGCGAGATGATGGACCACAGCGACAGCAGGGCGATGACCACGTTCTTGGCCGTCTGCGAGGACTTGGCGGGGTCGGCCATGAGGAGGGCGGAGGTGGAGGTGAAGAGGATGGAGGATGATGAAGACGAGGAGCTGTGGAGCTGCTCTCAGTCGGTCTCTCTCAGGTCGGAGTGAGACGGACTTTCCCTGCAGGCGGGAACACAGGGAGGGGGGACAGGAGGACGGAAAACCTCAGCCACACCCCCTGCCTCACCCACTGCGCGCTCCCCCCCCACATCCACCACTCCCTAACCAACCCTCCTCCTCCTCCTCCTCCTCCTCCTCTCGGCATGTTGCTGCTCTGGAGCTCACAGAGGACGCCGTGCTGAACAGGAAAGTTACAACATCAGACTCTTCACACAGAAACGCAACTTTCCAGAGAGAGAGGGTGTGTGTGTGTGTGTGTGTGTGTGTGTGTGTGTGTGTGTGTGTGTGTGTGTGTGTGTGTGTGTGTGTGTGTGTGTGAACACTGAAGCTTTCTGTTTCTATTTCCCGGCCCGGCTGCCTGAGTGAACCTGGATGACCTCTGAACAGTAAATATGTGAGTCTGTTTGAGGAAACAGAAACAGAGGAGGACGATGAAACCTCCTTTTTTTAATCTCTCATTTCTCCTCAGCAGCACCAGCTCTCACTCTTTCCTGACCCACTGCCAGCAACTGGCATGCAGCTGGTTCAAGCCCCGCCCCCTGCCAGTCTGTCTGAGCTGTGATTGGCTGAAAGCGTGCTCAGGAACGAGGTAGCCGAGGTCTCTGGACTCCTGGAAACAGCCAAACAACATCTCTGTAAACATTTGAATTCCTGCAGAGAGCCAGAGTCCTGGACCCTGACTCACTCAGGGTTAACTCAGACCTCATCGAGACCACGCCCACATCACTCCGGACACACCCACCTCCTTCCCAGGACACACCTCCAACCACACCTCAACGGTTTCAAACTGGAATTTATTGTGGATGTGGTCAAAAGAAAACCGAAGACAGACTCTGAAAACTCTGAAACACGAGAGAAGAAGAGGGAAGGAAACGAGTCGGCCAAGAGTTCAGGAACTTTTTAATCCTGGACAGATATTTAGATGTCAGGACTGACTCTAACTTTGTTCACAAGTTCTCCTGAGTTCAAAAAATAACACAAAGAACTTTAGGGGATCAATGAAAACTGATCAATCATGTTTGTCTTATTGATCGACCTTAGTACTATTATTAGAAATCAATTTGAGGTCTTTTGGTCACATGACAGTGAAGCAGCCTTTTCTGAGAACATCAACCGGTAATTTATTGACGGTCCCTTATTCAACACCGACGTTGACAGTGAGGGTGTCGAGTAGATTTAACCGCGCTGCTGTTGTTATTCCCGGTTATGGAGAGTGAGAAGACACCGGTAGATCCTCAGATAATGTCCGTCAGATATCCAACCTGAAACTAACTTCACCGCCGTATTTACAGGAAAATATATCCAACCTGAAACTAACTTCACCGCCGTATTTACAGGAAAATATATCCAACCTAAAACTAACTTCACCGCCGTATTTACAGGAAAATATATCCAACCTAAAACTAACTTCACAGCTGTATTTACAGGGAAATATATCCAACCTGAAACTAACTTCACCGCCGTATTTACAGGAGAATATATCCAACCTGAAACTAACTTCACCGCGTATTTAGACACATAGAGAGAGAGATAGATAGATAGATAGATACAGTAAATATATATATAATGTATATATATATGTCTAAGAGAAATGAGCTACAGAGACTAAAACAGTTTTTTCTCCAGACTGTTCACATGTCTGCTCTGCTGTGAAGTTGGACATTTTAACATTGGGCTCTATGGGGACTGACTCACTGCAGGAGACAGCCTCTAGTGGACATTGGAGGAACTGCACTTTTCGGTGCTTCAGTTTCCTCTTCATGTTTTAACTCTGGAGTTCGCTGCTTGATTTTTTTTTTTTTTCATAAACTAAAAATATGAAGATGCTCATTTTTTGGCTCCAAATTAAAGTCATGTGACCTCTCCTGTCCTCACACACACACACACACACACACACACACACACACACACACACAGTCTGTTAGCATGCATGCAGCTGGTTTACTGCAGGAGCTGGAACACAGTAACTCTGATGAGATTCAGCTGTGCACCATCATGAACTATGTGCACCGCAGGCTAAAAAGCTGCAAACAAACCGACAACAAACCTGCAGAGAGCCAATCAGATTCAGCTCGACTGACAGGAGAGTCTTCATCAGCTTCATCATTAAAAACAAACCTCACACCTCTGAAGACTGAGGAGCAGTCAGCTGACCTCTGAACAAACACAGGAAGCTGAGCGTGGGGGGGGGGGACTCAGGAAGGAAATGATAAAGTGGGATAATCTAACAGGCTAACAACAGAGGGACCAGAGTCTGTCTCTGAGCAGGTGAAGGAATCTGCATTTGTCTCTTCAGACTCTCAAACAGAGACTCAGGATTATTCTCCACTGCAGCAGAGTCACAAGAATCTGCTGATCTGTTCCTGGAGGGTGTGTCAGATGATCTGATGATTCAAAATACAGACTACAGAGACGTCTGTCTGCACACTCAGCAGCGCCCCCACCAGGCAGGAACGCTCTGTCACAGACAGTTTCATCCCAGCATTTATCCTGCACATTGAAGTCAGATCAGAGACTTGTGACACACTGCCCCCTGCTGACGAGCCACACTTACTGCACAATCAGGAGCTCATTTAACCAAATACCTCAGAATATTAAAACAGGATTTTTGTCTTGGATAAAAATACAACAAAACCGACATAAAGAGTCTTTACACAAACCCTCTCACAGATAATCACACTTCTGTAAATAGATCATGAAAACCTGCAGTCTGAAGATATTTGAACTTCGATGACCCACAGAGCTGAAAAAAAGCAGATCCTCCAGTTTAATTCTGATCAAACGTCTAAAGAAATTCCACTAACTTTATAATAAACTCTGAAACGGTTTATTTTCTCCTTCAGCCTGTTCAACGTCAGACTTTTTTCAACTTTATTTTTATGGAAATTTTCAGACAAAAAATGTTCAAAGTTTCTCATAGAGACTGAAAACAACAATTCACAACAATAAAACCACACACAAAGAGACACAGAGTGAGAATTTTATATATATTTTTAAAGAGACACCGAGACTTTATATGAGGAAAGAGCGACCTTTAGGAAACACTGGAGATAAAAGATAAAATGTTAAAAAGAAAAAGTAAAACCTGATGGACTAAAACAAGAAGATAATATGAAATAAACAGAGAAGTAAAAGCTCTTTATCATGTAAAAGAAGTAAAAACCTCGAAGGCGAGAGTGAAGACAAAGACTAAGAACAGAGATAATTAAAAAAATGACATAAAACAAACATGAAGAACTTTGATTAAAATGAACATTTGCAACAAGAGAAATATAAAAAGGTCATTAAGAGTCTGGAGCCTCTTCTTAAAAACATCAACAGTCTCTGAGGTTCTCCATCAGACTGTTTCACGACCGGGGACCAGAGAGAAACTGAGCGCCGCCTCCCTCCCCGTGAGTTTTTGTTTTGACTTTGGGTTCAAAGGTTAAAGGGCCGTGAGGGTTGATGAAAGTAAGTCAGATAAATAAGAGGAGCGAAGACCATGAATACATCTAAAAACTAATAAAAGAAGAACTTGAAAATCATTCCTGAAACAGACGGGGAGCCCACGCAGCGACGCTAAAACTGGCGTGATATCCTCTCACCCCCTGACCCTCGTCTGAACTCCTCCAGCTGAATTCTGTCAAAGCTGAAGTTCATGTAAGTTGTTGTTGTTTTAACGTGTTCATCCTGCAGGTGTTCTGTGGTCACATTAACTGTCTGTGAGTCTCAGCTTCACAGCAGCTGCAAACACACAAACAGTCCAGTTTACACTCGACAGTTTTCAGGGAGTCAGAAGCTGCAGTTCCTTCAGTGTCCACCAGAGGCCGCCTCCTGCATGCACACAGTATTAACAGACTGATTATCACACTCTGGTCAAAAACATCTGAACACACACACACACACATATATGTGTTTGTCTAACGTGTGTTTACCTGACCTTTCTAACCTGGCGCTGCCTGTTCAGGTCCACATGTTCTCCATCTGATCACATGACATGCAAATCAGGCCGGTGGTGCAGCAGAGTCCAATAAGAGGCGGAGGAACGACCCCTGAAGGTTCCACTGGTGTGTCTGCAGACCCTGTGAGAGCAGAGAGGATCGGGTTCGAGGTCAAAACGCTTCGCTGGTTATCTGAGAGTCGGAGGACGATGAAGTCTGAGCTGATCTGTGTGATGGTCGTCTGTGTCTGCGGTGAGTCCCACTCATTCAGGTCAGTCCCAGAGGACCTCAGACAGACCAGAGAGCAGTTTGTGATTTTCTGAAGTTTTACTGTTCAAATAAAATTCCTCAAATTAAACACCGTGTTTGACGGATCGAAACATCTCTGAATGTTTTACGTTGTAAGCTACAAATCTACAGAAAGAGGGTCTGTCTGAAAATTCAAGAAATAACTCAATCGATTAGTTTTGAACAAAAAAATTATCAGGTTTTGTTTTTTCTTTAGTTTGTTGTTTTAATTTTCTTCATTAAAGACGGAGAAGTTTAGTGTTTCGGACAGCTCTCTGGATTTCCTCTCATGATTTAAAGTGTAAATTCTTGTATTTTTTTATTTTGAGGGTCGATTTTAGGGCCCCTGCTCTTTTCTTTATATTTGCTGCCCCTGGGATCCATCTTGAGAAAGCATGGCATTTCATTTCATTGTTACGCTGATGACAGTCAGATATATGTGCCACTTAACAAGAGAAATGCTTTCTCCCTCACTCCACTTCTGGCGTGTCTTGAAGACATCAAAGCCTGGATGGCTTTGAATTTCTTAAACTTCAATGAAAAAAAAACAGAAGTGATGGTCTTTGGTCCCAGTGGCCCTTGTGAAACCCCTCCTGTAAACTTGGGTATTTTAGCAGATTATTTAAAGCCAACCGTCTCAAATTTGGGTTTTAAGATGGACAGTGATTTTAAATTCGACAGGCAAATTAGCTCGGTAGTGAAATCCAGTTTTTATCATATTAGGCAGCTGGCGAAGGCAAAGCCTTTTCTTTCACATAAGCACTTTGAAACAGTAATCCATGCCTTTGTTACATCTCGGCTGGATTACTGTAACGCACTTTATTTTGGAGTCAGCCAGTCCTCCCTCTCACGTCTCCAGTTAGTTCAAAACGCAGCCGCCCGGCTCTTAACTGGAGTACGTAAGAGGGAGCACATTACTCCCATCCTGGCCTCCCTCCACTGGTTACCCGTGCATTTTAGAGTTCATTTTAAGATTCTTTTATTTGTTTTTAAATCTTTAAATGGTCTGGCTCCATCTTACCTCTCTGAGCTTCTCCACCCCTACACCCCAGCTCGGTGCCTCAGGTCAGCTGATCAGCTGCTCCTGGAGGTACCGAGGTCCAAACGGAAGCTCAGAGGGGATAGATCTTTTTCTGTTGCTGCCCCAATTTTATGGAACGAGCTACCCCTCCAAATTAGAGAAGCCCCCACACTGTCCATTTTTAAAACTCGTCTTAAAACCTATTTTTATTCATTGGCTTTTAACCCTCCATGAGACTCGGCTCCTGTTTTAGTGTTTTATGGTTTGTTTTTAGTTATTTGTTTCTATGTTTTTAAATTAGTTTTTAAAAACATTGAAGCTATATTTTATTATTAATTCTGCTTTTATTTTATCCATTGTTTTAATTGTTTTTTGATTGTTTTTTATCTTGTTGTTTTGTCTAGTTATGTACAGCACTTTGTACAGCTGTGGTTGTTTTAAAGTGCTTAACAAATAAAGTTGAGTTGAGTTGAGTATTATTCATCTCCTCTTTTTTCTGTATTTGCTCTGGAGTTACTGTGACTGAAGTCATTTCCTCCCGGGGATTATTAAAGTATTTCTGATTTATTTGCCTTCATAAAAGATCAAATCATCGGTGAGGTCGTGACACCTGTCCTCTTCCTGTCGTGTCACTTCCTGTCCACCTGTCAGGTGTTTGTTGGGAGCAGCATGTCTCCGACCCGCCAGCCTCCACTCTGCATGTGAGAGCCGGAGAGGATGTCACCCTACACTGCCCCCTGCTGGACGTCTTTAACGCCACCAACATCACCTCCACCACTTCTCCACCTGGCACCACCTCACCTGGCCCCGCCCCCTTTATGATCAGCTGGTACAGGAAGGTGCGAGGACAGAGACCTGAGCTGCTGCTGAGCTTCAGCTCCACAAACCACTCTGAAGTGAGGTTCAGCAAGACCCGGGTCAGGCTGCGTAAAGTCTCATGGGGGTCTGACGGCTCGCTGAGGCTGCACGCCTCTCAGCGCAGCGATGAGGCGGTTTATTACTGCGGGATCAGTCAGAAGGAGGGGATGGAGAAAGGGCGCGCAGAGACCTCAGATCTGATGTGGACTGAGCAGGTTCAAGTTTGACTTCCTGTCAGATGTTCCTCCTCTGAGCTTTGAATCGATTCCAGAGCGGCCAAGCGTCACGCAATCTGACCCGTTCTCACGCCACACTTGACATTTCTCTCTTTCTTCTCCCTGTTCGATACTCTGTATTGATTTTTTTCATGATTATAAACTCGGCTCGCCGTAGTTCGAGGAACTCTGATTGACTGACCGAGATAATCAATCCCAGACCGGTCCATCAGTCCTCTGTGCCGAACGCTGCGTTCGAGTTTCCTCAGGAGTCAGAAGTCGGAGCTGAAAATGACGTCACACCCGAGTTCCCAGCGTTTCATTTACCAAGTCAGAAAAAAGCTAAATCAGAGGCGTGAAGCAAGATGGCGACATCTACGAAGGTTATATTAGCGTTTGTCTTGACTGAATATAAGGCAAGCACTAAAATAACTTTCGTAGATGTCGCCATCTTGTTTCCACCTGACTGAGTTATTTTGGGTCTTGGCGTCTCTACCAATTTTTAGCACACAACAGCGCCAACATTTAGAAACCTACTCGACGTCACGCGATTTGGACAAATAAATGTATTTTATCAAATTCTTGTTATGATTTTAATTTCTGGTTAATTAAGACGAGCGTTAGGGAGAGCGGCTGGCGTGGAGGTGAGGACGTCAGTCTGAAGGTAGAAATCGACACTAAAAAAGGTTAAAAAAGTTTCACCGATGGCCGAACACATCGGACCGCTGAAGTCTCACTCTTGTCATTTTCTTAAACTTGGCAGTCCTGTGATTCTGATGACTTTAACTTCATATCCTGTTTTTTCCTGAGTAAACAAATAAATACAGTCACAAATAATAACAGTGTTTTTTTTAACCTTCTTATGGACAGTAGAGAGTGTTTTTTTTTTAACCTGTAGGTTTTTAGTCCCTTTATTTCACATCTTACTCTGAATTTTGGTTCCTCCTTGTATTTGCTCCCTGTCCTTCAGTCACTGCAGACTAATGTCCTCTGCTTCTTTATTGTATGTTGGGTTAATAAACTCTTTAAAGTGACTCTGATCTTCTCATGTTGTTTTTTCTTTGATTTATTCTGAAAATACCTGAACATGCTGAGAGAAAGGGGATGAATGAGAACGGGTTTGACAGGAATCCTGGTCCTCCCGTTTGTGAGGCGCCATTTTGTCTGTTGTCAGAACCGCTCCCTTTCCCGCGTCTTCCCCGTCTTCCTCGTCATGCTAGCTAATAGCATTAGCAGCTAAAGGAAAACAAGCTAACTCCTGCAGTGGTAAGAGCCTCAAACTTCGTCTTATTCTCTGTCGGAGTCAAACGTACTTTAGTTCTCCTCCATCTGTGTCGTCCTGTGACTTTAAACCCTCACTTTTCTTTACTTTGACTTTTGTTTAACGATCGCCCGTCCGTTTGGCTGCAATACCGCCTCTCACCACCCACACTTAACTAAGTTTAAGGTTTACAGTATAGAGGGCGCTGTTTCACCCCTTAAAGGAGTCCGCCTGTGTTCAGAGAAGACATTTCCATCTCATATTTTACTAAATTCAGTTGTTTAAATAAGAAAAGACAAACTGTAGGACCACAGTAACTTCAAACATTCATATCATCAGTAAAACATGACTGTTTTTATGTTTTGTCTTTAAAGTGGCAGAAATTTACCTCTTTGTCCTTTTAAACAGAAACATATTCTGCTCATTTAGTTCTCTTATGTTTGTATTTTGTCCTGTATTTTCATGGTAATCTGAAAAATAGTAGTTAGAGTTAATCTGTATTCTCACTTAAAACAGAATCAACAGAATATCAGATGAAGTTATAAAGATATTTTTTCATTATCTGTCTGTTTTTGATTTTAACAGACTTTAATTTCCCCTGTAGAATGACACGTTCTGACTGTATTCTGTTTGGTGTTTGTGGGGAATCTGACAGTTTGGAAAATATATATTTTTACTACGGGGACCAACAGATGAGGCAACAGCCGAGAGAGAAAAGTTCCTGTTTTTCTGTCGTTCACCAACCGTCTGAACCAACCGTTGGTCTGATCCTGAGGCGGTTTGTCTCCTCTGGAGACCTCTGCTGTTCTGCTCAGACGGTTTTCATGTTTCTGTTTCCCACAAAGTCTGCAGGATCACAAACAACAGAGACCTGCAGGATTCACAGAGAACAGAGACCTGCAGGATTCACAGAGAACAGAGACCTGCAGGACTCACAGACGGTGAGGCAGAGTCTGCAGACACTGAAGGTAAGTGCATTTTAAAACTCCTTAAAGGTTTGATTCAGGTGACTTTAGTTAAAATTCTGACCTCTTTATTTTTAAATTAGAGGTTTTTTTTAAGTTCAGATCCTGAAATAAAGAGCTGCTTATTTCTAACCATGACCCTGACCCAGACTCCACATGTACACCTGTCCTAGAATTAAAGCTACTGTGAGGAATTTTCACCCACTTATGAAACAGATGGGTGTTTATATTATTACTTTTTATTTATCAGTTATTAGAGGAATTATTGCTGATTAGTTATTGTTATTAACTGTTAGTGGAGGTAGGTGACATGTGTTTCCATGGTAACAGTTTCTGTGGAGTGTTTATTTTAAGGAAAGTTTATTGTTATGGTAATTTAAACTTTAAGAGTTATTAAAAAGCCTCTAGAAGAATGTTTTTGTAATAATCTGTTATATAACCTGACCTGGTCTGTGGTTACAGGTGAGGCTGAGCCGATGGAGCGTAAAGACTCCAGGATGAGAACTTTGCTGACGCTCCTCCTCCTCCTCCTGCTGTGGGTCCCTGTTAACACTTCAGATCTCAACATTGAATTTAGTTTTTCCTCCAGAGGATTTAAAAACTTTTTCATCTGCTGCAGGTGTGGGAGTGTTCGGTCTCTGCCCAGAGGACAGCCCGCCTCCTTCTCGGTGCTCTTCAGTGAAGGAACTCTGCTGCTGGTGGACGAGGGTGAGGAAGCTGCCGACCACGATGAAGAGGGTCCTTCTCAACGCCAAAACACGAGAACATGTACGTCTTCACCGTGGTTTGGTTGGATTTTCTTTTTAAGTCATAATGATCTGAAACCTCTCAGATCGGATCCTAATGAGACTTCTTTGAATAAATACGTTTTTTTTTCTCACAGTATAAAAAAACATCTCAGTCCTAACAACGTTCAAACGTAACCATGGTGATATTCTGACCGTAGTCTGGAAAACATCGGCTTCAAATAGATCGACACGTTTTCTGATCACTGTTAGTCGTTTCGACCTCCCGGGGCGCTTTAACCGAAATACTGCTCTGTGTGATGTGTGTGTAAATGTTTGTGTGTATAATTGTGTGTAAATGTTTGTGTGTATAATTGTGTGTATGTGTGTAAATGTTTGTGTGAATAAATGTGTATTATTGTGTGTAAATGTTTGTGTGTATAATTGTGTGTATGTGTGTAAATGTTTGTGTGTATAATTGTGTATTATTGTGTGTAAATGTTTGTGTGTATAAATGTGTATTATTGTGTGTAAATGTTTGTGTGTATAATTGTGTGTATGTGTGTGTAAATGTTTGTGTGTATAAATGTGTATTATTGTGTGTAAATGTTTGTGTGTATAATTGTGTGTATGTGTGTGTAAATGTTTGTGTGTATAAATGTGTATTATTGTGTGTAAATGTTTGTGTGTATAAATGTGTATTATTGTGTGTAAATGTTTGTGTGTATAATTGTGTATTATTGTGTGTAAATGTTTGTGTGTATAAATGTGTATTATTGTGTGTAAATGTTTGTGTGTATAAATGTGTATTATTGTGTGTAAATGTTTGTGCGTTTAATTGTGTTTATGTGTGTGAATGTTTGTGTGTATAATTGTGTATTATTGTGTGTAAATGTTTGTGCGTTTAATTGTGTTTATGTGTGTAAATGTTTGTGTGTATAATTGTGTATTATTGTGTGTAAATGTTTGTGTGTTTGTGCAGGTTCGGCTCCGTCCATCCAGCTCCTCTCATCTCTGGCGCCCCCTCATGATCCAGGTTCGCCTCACCTGCTGGTCTGCCTCATTACGGGGTTACTCTCGCCTCAGCAGGACGTCCTGTGGTGGGTCAATGACACACTGGTGATGTCATCAGAATCTCAGGTGTCATGGGTGATGTCAGAGGAGGGCGGGGCCCACAGCGCCACCTCCGTGTTGGAGGTGTCAGCGGCGGAGTGGAGGTCCAGATCCTCGTACTGGTGCGGGACAATCCAGGGGACACAAGTCTACAGAGAGAGACTCTGCTGAGGGGACTGATGGAGACCCGATGGAGGTTCAGGGTTCGATTCCGAGACACACAATGAAGAACCGAACAGATCAGCTGGACCCTCAATTCTGACTTTTTCAGGTAGACGTCACCAGCGGGGTCATGAACTCGTATCTCTAGAACTCCTCAGAACAGAGTGATGCTGTTTAGAAAGTCAAAGAGAAAGTGAGAATCTATGTGAAGATCTACAAATAAGATCTATACCACAGAGAGGATCATCCAAACATGAACTGATTTAGACTCTTCATCAAAATATACGAGCTGATCGAATTAATCCAAACAACATGGTTCTCCAACCCTCTGTAGACCTGAGTGAACCCAGCAGACCAGGTTCTGTAGACCTCAGTGAACCCAGCAGACCAGGTTCTGTAGACCTCAGTGAGCCCAGCAGACCAGGTTCTGTAGACCTCAGTGAACCCAGCGGACCAGGTTCTGGAGTCTGACAGTGAAATGCTGTCCCAGTTTCTTAGCAGGACTCTTCTACTACAGAGTCATGCTGTTGTAATCTCAGGTCCAGAGAGGTCTCCGGTGGTTCTGGATCCTGGTTCTATCTGGTCTCCTCTGTCATGGTCCAGTCTGAACCTCATTAGTAGATGCAGTGATGATCACAGTCAGTGGTTTTTGAACTGGTTCTGAGTCCATGTGGAGATTTCCACTCCAGAGTCCTGTCTGTTTTTAATGTCCTGAAGATCAGGACCATCCAGTCCTGGTTCTGGTCCTGGTCCCTTTAGTACAGAGATTTGTCCAGATCCTCTAATTTTTTTTATGGTATGATGTTCTGTAGACGATGAAATCCACTCAAGAACTTCATTCTGAGACTGTTGAGATGTTCGCTCACGCGGTCTCTCACAGAGTCCTGAACCTCCTCCAATTTTTCTATTGAGGGCCTCAGCCTCTCTGAAGGTCCGCCTTAGACCCAGTCATGTGACTAACCTGTTGGAGATGTTCCTCCAGCTGTTTTTGTAGCATTATAATTTGGACCTGTTTGGTTGTCCCTCCTCCTGGACTCACATTGAGCAGCTTTTCTCTCACTGACTCGAGTTTGAACTAAAACTATGACATGAAAAATGAAAGTCACACGTTGGTTGCAGAAATAATTTCTCAGACTTCTGTTTCTTCTTTTCACTTTTTTATTAAAGATTTTCTCTTTGAATAATTTTTTCTCATTATAATATCAATAACTTTGACATCGTGTTCCTCTAATATACGCAGGTTAGTAAATTTAAGAAATAGAATAGTTATCTCTCATCATGTTTATAAAGCAGTCCATGTGAACAGGCATTCAGATTTCTCGATGTAAAATAAGAGGTCATCAACAGAAGCGCATTCACAGATACAGTAATCATATGAAGGTCAATAATTCAGGTGAGTTTTCTGTCAGAAAAGAACCTGAAGCTGTGAGCGCTGCTTCGTTAACTGTTCGATATAAATCCGTCCACGCTCAGACTGAACTCAGATCAGCTGCAGGATTCAGAGTCCTTCATCTGATATGTGGTCAGCAGAAAGTAAAGAATACATGCAGAGAGATTCACGTCCGTCTGTATGTCAACCTTCAAGATAAAAAAGGTACAAGTTCACTCAGCAAACACAAAACAAACACCATTAACAGGTTAGCCCCGCCCACCTCAAACTACCCCAAACAATCCCCAGAGGTCGAGATAAATAGAAGCAAAATATTCATGTTTCCACAGAAGAGTATAGATGTAAATCAAATCTACAGAGTTCATGCTGTTTACCAGGACAGAAAGTCATCCAGTGTTTTATTTGGCAAGAAGGTGGGAACACCTGTGCACAGGTAAACACGCTGCGCCCAGGAGCAGACCTCAGATCAGTCAAACAGAGGACAGGTCATCTTCAGAAACAGGTTCTTTAAAGAGGAACCAAACGCACCTACACCTGTGGGTCACTGGTCACTCTAACTGTTGGTCTGTTCGTGGGGAGTCCCAGTTTTACTGTAGGAAATGAGTCACACAGAGCTTCCTCCCTGACGTACTTCTCATCTTTGTTGGCGAGTCCCAGTTTTAAGGTCAAAGGTCAAAGGTCAGTGACACAGAAGCCTCTGTATGATTTACAAATTGGCAAGTCTCAGTTTCACTGAAGATATTAAGTTACATTGAGACCTAACCCTGGCCCACTACCTCTCTTCTTAGGGGGGAGTCCCAGTTTTACAGTAAAAAGTGAGTTTCACAGAGGCCTCTGAATGGCTTGCAAATTAGTGAGTCTCAGTTTCATTGTAGAAAGTTATAGAGTCTTCACCGCGGCATACAACTCATCTTCTTCAGTGAGTCCCAGTTTTCCTGTAGCTCGTGAGTTTCACAGAGTGGTCTGCAGTGAGTCTCAGCTTCATGTTAACAGATACAATAAGGTTTCTCTAATGTTCATCTTTAATCTGAGTCGCAGTTTCACTGTAATACTTAATATCATTAGCTGCGTTTCCATTACATTTTTTCGCAAAATAAAAGCGATGTTTATCAAATTTCGACAAAGTACAATTGCGATTTGCGGGTGTTTCCATTGAATGGTGTTCAGTGCATAAGCGAGCCGTCTGCCTCTCGCGAGCCGTGTTTAAATGGCCGTTGCCTAGCAACGAGGTAAACTTCCTGCCCGTGCGACCTCGTATTCCTTAAGCCTTTTTGCACACCGACATGGACGAGACACAAAACATTTTTCGTTTTGGAGCAGCTATTTCTGTGACCATTAATGCTGTTGCCGCTGCTGTCATCAGAAGACGAAGGCAGCGGGTGATAATTCAAAGGCAAAGCTCGTATGTATGGGAGCGAACACGGAGGAGCGATTTCTGGGAGAGGATCGTTAATGAGGAATTCACAGACGAATTGTGGATTCAAAACTTCAGAAAAATACAAATACAATTCAAAACTTCAGAAATAACTCCGTCTCCTCCCCCGTCCACATATACCGTGCCATCTACGCTTGAAATGAACTGGTCACTTGACCCGCTACGTCACGTCCGGTGACAGAGAATTGCGAGAAAAGTGTTTCCATTACACTTTTGCGATATACTTCTACATCGACACTTCTGAAAAACCACCTCATGAGAGCGTAAAAACGTTTTAGCGATATTTGGGAGGTTTTTCGAAATGTAGGTGTTTCCATTACCAGTTTTCTATTGCGATATTAACGTTTTGCGCAAATCTATGGGTAATGGAAACGCAGCTATTGATATTAGCTTCAGTCTTTCTCATGACATGAAACATCCTCTCAGGAGCTTTTATTGACGAGAATCAAATATTTGATCCTGTTGGTCTGAGTTTGTGATCGTTTAACGCTGCATGATGGTGAAATACTGATAAAAAACTGACGTTTTTGTCTAGGTTTGGTTCCTCTTTAAAGTAAAAACACTTAAAGATGCTCGTGTTCCTCTTCAATGTTAGGTTACTGTTGTACGGTGGCTGGGACATCCAAAGAGGACGACAGGCGGAGGAAAACCAGACACCAGAGATCGCTTTGTCGGTCTCGAGCCACTCTGTGTCCAATCTCTCAAACTGTGGTCCAGTTTGGACTGTCCCAGCCACCGTAGAATTACAGGTTTTCATGGTCCACCTGCTGGACTCCTTCAGAGTTTCTCTCCAGACACGTCTGCATCATCGTTTGTGGTTTAGGAAGCCCCTGTACAGAGAGAGGTAGAACGTGTGGTTTCAGATCAGATCCAAGTTTCATTCCCAACAAAAGTCCAATCTGATAATGTTTTTGGGGGTCTGAACACCAAACGTGTCTCTGCAGAGTGTGAGGATGTGGGTCATGATCGTTTTCAAACCAAACTATGTACAGTGCAAACAGGAGATCATCGTCACTGCTGATCGAGTGGAAACAACACAACGTTTTACGAGAAGCTCACAAACACAGCACGTCACTCACCTGAACACTACCACTGATCTATCTACTCAAACAGCTGCTGCATGGAGTCAGCGGGTCCACAGGGAAGAGTAGAAAGGATAAAAAAACTCAAAGCAGGAAGTCTCCGACCGGAAAACTTCCTGGTCCTCCTCCGAGTTTTACAACGAGAAGGTCTGAAGCAGCAAACACATGCTCCGAAAACAAAGGGATGCAGAAGAAGAAAAACCGGAGCGAGACGAAGCTGCTCGCCATCCTCATCCTTTACATCAGAGTGTCCATGCAGACGTGCACCGTGTTTCATAAAGGTCAATAAAGTATGACAAAATACAATCAATCAGCCGCGCCCAGACCGTCCGATCAAAGCTTCTGTATTCAGAGAAGAGGAAGAAAAGCAGAGAGGAAGTCTCTGCTCGTCCCAAATCAGAACCAGCGTGTAGATGTAGTAAACTGCTGATTAATCAATTAATATCATCAATCAATTCACCTTTTTAGGAAAGAAGAGAGTAAAGACAGAGCTGGGGAAGTGTCAGCGCCGGAGGTCTGATCAGGTCTGAGACTGAAGTGTTACGACTTTGACACAAAGTTCTCAAGTGTCACGACTTAAAAGAATAAAGTTCAATGAAAATCCTTCTGAAGAAAACGTCACTGATGTTCCGGAATGAACCGGTTTTGTCATTGATGTAAGAAAGTCATTGATGTTCTAGAACAGAGTCGTTATCTTCTAGATTAAAGTATGATGTCATGAGAATGAGGTCGTTATGATGGAGGATGAAGTGGGTTTGTTCTAAATCTGCCGTCAGATGTCGGGAGAATAAATACAGTTTGTAAAGTGGATCAAGTTTTTTAGACAAAAGAAAGCAGCAACCTTCGTGGATTTAAAGGGGGGAAGACTGCAGTTCCTCAAGTGTCCACTGGAGGCTGTTTGCTGGAGCCCATAAAGCCACATACACACTCAAACAAAGAGCCAAATTTTAGAGTAAAATCAACACATTTACAGCCCGGTTCAGAAACAGTCCGGGCGCCGTCTGTACAGGAAGTGAACTGTTCTGTGACGAGTTTGTGTCAAAGATATTGTGAGGTTAGCCAATCAGAGGAACAGCTTTGACTTTAAGGTGCCTTCGAGTGACCGCGGGAGTCAGATGTTGGAGCTGAAAATGACGTCACACCCGAGTTCCCAGTGTTTCAGTTACAACGTCGGAATTGGAGGCCTGAAACAAGATGGCTACGTCTACAAAAGTTATTTTAGCGCTTGGCTCATATTTGTACAAGGCAAGCGCTAAAACAACTTTGGTAGATGTCGCCATCTTGTTTCAGGCCTCCAATTCCGACGTTGTAACTGAAACACTGGGAACTCAGGTGTGACGTCATTTTCAGCTCGGACCTCTGACTTCTGAGGAAACTCGAACGCAGCGTTATTCTCCGAACATTATGACCTCACTCTCCTTATAATCGACTGCTCAGACCTCATTCTTCCTGGTGACACTTTGACCTCCGATAATTACGACTTTACTGTGACGTCACTAATTTACTTGTTCTTTCCACTCTGTCCTGAAGATTGTCTTGGAGTAAAACTTTGGTGGGTTTGAAAAGGTTTCAGGTTTCAGGTTGTTTTTGGTGCTCTGGAGCAGGAGCAGAGGATCTCTTCAGGTTCTGATTTGGGACTCAGTCCTCTGGATCGTCTCCGGCCCTCAGACTGAAAGCAGCTCGACAGTAAAATCAGGAAATCTGTTGAAGCTGCAGGAAACCTGGACGTGCCCTCAGCTGTTAGCATGTTAGCAGAGTTGGAAGTAGCTGTGGGGTTGGACTTTAGCTCCGGATGAAGGTTTGATGGATTTGGTCTCGGTGATGATGGAGGACCTTGTTGAAGAGCTGATGGGAGTTCTGGAGGTTTTCATGAATCTGAAGCAGAGCGGGGGTCTCAGCTGTTTGTCAGGTGATCACTGGCAGTGGGTGGTCTTACTTGGTGGACCCGCCCCTGGTGCAAAGCCATTGATGAGGCTGTTGGGACTTGGAGGTGTGGCCACTGTGGGTGTGGCTTCGACCCTGGAGGCGGGCTCTACCACAGAGCAGCTTTTCTGTGGCGGTCGGGGCTGAGCCGGGACTGTTTTGGGGATCACTGAGGCCTGTCGAAGACCGTCAGCTCGCAAAGGTGGTCTGACGGGGGCGGGGCCTGTGGGCGTGATGTCAGAGGTCGGTGGTTTAGGGCTGCATGGCGAGGACGGGCTGGGAGCATTCTGGTCAAGGGATTTGGATTCTCCTTCCTGTGGCGTCTGTTGATCTGAGGGTGGGGACTCTTTATCTGAAGGGGCGGGGCTTGAAGATTCAGGAGGCGGGTCCTGCTGCATGCTGCTCTGCCTGGACGTCCCCGAGCCTGGGATCTCACAGCTGTCGGTGCGACGCCGTGAGCCTTCATGCATCCGACTGGTGGCTACGACAGCCTTCATGGCGGCCTGTGAACAAACAGACATGACGGCGTCAGTTTTTGAACCCTTTGACTTTTCGCGCGGCAGTTTGCACCGACGGTTCACCTTAAGTTTGCGCCGAGCGTTGAACTCCTGCAGCTTCCTCTGGGTGGTGTCCATGTGGGAGAAGCGAGCAGCCTTGCCGAGCACCCAGGGGTGCTGCAGAGCCTCTCTTACGCTGAGGCGCTTATGGGGGTCGAGGACGATCAGCTTACTGACCTGCAGAGGGCCGACAGAGACCGGTTCAAGATCAGAACAGCTGACCAGGAAGAACCCCCTCTGCATGGAACACACAGGGAGCAACAGAGGCACTCACCAGATCCTTGGCATTGAGGGAGACCTCGTCCCACCACGGAGACACAAACTCGTAGTCGCAGTTCAGGATGCGGCTGTACATGTACTGGTCCCCCCTGGGGTCGAAGAAGGGCTCGAACCCACAGAGGCTGGAGGACAGGACAGAGACGAAATCAGCAAAGATACAGAAGAATCAGAGCGAAGTCTTCAGCACTCTGAGGGTCCAAAGCAGAGGGATTTATTATGTCCCATCAGGCTTTGCTAGTTTAGCAGCGCACAATCTGGACACAACACGACATTCACAAACGACACGTCAGACACTGAAGCTCGATAAGGACCAGAGTCTTTGAAATGATGTTTGATTTAAAAAAAAGAAAAATCAAATAAGTCTGACAGCAGAACTCCGATTAAGACACCCAGATAAGACGATTGGAATTCGATTTTCTCGACCATGTGACCAGCGTAGTCGGAGTATGATCGGACGATGCATGTGAGCGTGCGCCCTGGAACAAAACCCCCAGAGTAGAGTTGTTGTTGACGATTGTATGGGGTTTGGAAGTCGGATTAAACTGTGACTGTAAACGACCTGAGTGATGACAGTCATTATCAAACCCACTTAAAGACGCCACTAGAGGGTCTGAGACAAACAGATAAACAGGAAGTAGAGGTTCACGTCCTGTCGGCGCTTTACCGTCGCTACGAGACAGACGAGGAAAATAAAACATGAAACCAGAGAAGAAATCCACACTGACAGGACTGAGTCACACCGCACACACTCAGACCGGTCAGCAGGTGTTAATGGACTCACAGGATGTAGAGGATGACGCCCACCGACCACATGTCCACCTCGGGGCCGTAGGCATTTCCCCGCAGGATCTCTGGAGCTGCAGGAAGAAGAACCGGTTAACAGAAGCTCTGAGCGCCATAACTGTCAAATCCTACAGAGCAGCTGCTGCAGTGAACGCACCACAGCCTACTACCAGATATCAGGGCAGCACAGGTCAGTGAACACATCATCTCCAAAAAAGTACCACCTACAGCAGCGTCTACTGAAACAGCGTTTACTCATCCCCCGAGGTCGACTCTGGAACAGACTGTGAGAGCGTGAACTGAGATAAGAGCGAACCGCCTCAGCTCCGAACTCCACAGACATGACGATCACAGAGAGTCTGCAAAAACCAGTCCGTGTTCAGGGCTCTGACCATACCACGCCTCGGTATTTTGGTGCATTTTAGTCTTTTGCTGCATTTAAGTTTTTTGAGTCGGTGCAAACAGAGAAATGTAGTTTTTTGTGTTCATTCAGACACAAAATCAAACGTTTTGGAAGACGCCAACCTCAGAGCTTTAACCTGTGCAAGACAGCTGTTTTTTGATTGATTGATTGATTGATTGATTGATTGATTGATTGATTGATTGATTGATCATCTGTTTCGCAGTCAGGACTAAGTGAAGCTCCTCTTTATTGTTTGACAGACTGGTTACACATCATCGCCACCTGCTGGTCTGAGACTAGGCCTGTCGCGATAATCAATAAATCGCCTTATCGCTCGGTAAATAAAAACGAGGTCGATAACTTTGCCAGCCGCGATAATTGACGTGCGTTTGTTTTCCTCCCCTCTCACTACCAAACACGCTGGATGAGAGAAGAGGTCTCACTCTGCGCATTGTTCTCGGCACCTGGGGGCGTTGGCTCTATAGCGGAATGAACGGAGTTAGTGAACCCTCCTGTCAGTCATTCAGTGTCTTTGTCACGAGGGGCGCGCACAGGCACACAGACACAGACTTTTGGATACAGTGCTGCAAGTGAGTGAAAAGCAAGCAAACAGAATGAACACGACAGCTTTGGTGTCTAAACCGAACGCAACAGCCCAAGTGTGGGAATATTTCGGCTTGAAACCAAATGAAAGAGGTGAGCCCACAAATACAGACGAGCCGATATGTCGTATTTGTTCCAAAGTTGTGGTGACAAAGAAGGGGAATACGACGAACATGCATGCGCACCTCAAGCACAATCATCCCCTCCATTTTTCCCAACTGAGCAAAAAAAGTTCCGCCGGAGGTGCTGCGGAGCTATCGTCCCGACAGGTACCGTTTGGTAAGCAAAGCAAATATAAACAAAACAGTGCAAAATGGTGACAGACAGCGGAAATTAAAGTTTATCACTTTTGACACGGTGTACTCGCATTATTATGCCATATATTATCATTTTCTATAATTTAAAAAACGGTGTCAATAATATCGTTTATCGGCAATAATTTGTAGCATAATTATCGTCCAGCAAAATTTGTTATCGTGACAGGCCTATCTGAGACGCTTTAGTGAGTATTTTTAATTGCTCTGATTGATCGCTCCTGTTCACACGGTAACCGTCTTCAGGTCACTGAAGGTCAACGCTGAGACGGCAGGTTCCCAGTTTGTTTAAATCTGCTAGTTTAAAGAGAACGTTCAGGAGTAAACTTTGTGGTTTTCTTCATCGTACTGCGGCGCAGGGGGAGTAAATAATGACGGGCATTAGGGGTCAGGAACCCTTCGTAAACCCTCCTCTTTGGACGGCGTGTCCGGTAGGTTCTCATCCATCCACGTCATGGTTCTCTGAGGTACTGCCTACGGCCAAACTTCTTCAGGAACCTCAAATAAATCCTGGCCCACATGAGGACCCGGCCTCAGTTTGGTGGTTTAACACTCAATCATTTCTAGACCACGGTGGTGTCACATGATCCACAACCACTTCCTGCTTCACCGTCTTCGACTGTCTGTAACTACAACAACACTTTCTTCTGCTGCCTGGACACCACCAGCTCCTGCTGCAGAACCATCTGACTTTATCACTGCAGTTACATCATCTCCTCCATCCAAACGCCACCCACCCTCGTGTTTTGGCGATAAACTCACCGCAGTATCCCGGCGTGCCACAGACGGTCTTCATGGTCACCTGGTCGTCGATGATTTTGGACAGACCGAAGTCGGCTGTGAGAGAGGAGAACATTTGAACACATGGGTGATTGTTGGAGAGTTTCCTGTTGTTGTCCTGGTGTGTGTGTGTGTGTGTGTGTGTGTGTGTGTGTGTGTGTGTGTGTGTGTGTGTGTGTGTGTGTGCAGTTTCATGTTTCTATTTCAAGTGAAGGAGGGGGTGGAGCCGTGGTAGGTGGAGGTAGAGGAGAACGTGTCTCTGAACCAAAGGAAGGTGTTGGCGGTGAGGAGGCTGACGGAGAGCTTCCTCCATCTGTGACTGTTAGCCGGAGGCCCAGCAGCCATCTGGAGGCCCACACACACACACACACACACACACACACACACACACACACACACACACACACTGAGCTGTACCAGCCTGGATGAAAGAACCCAACACTGAGCCCCATCCTCTCTTTTACATCCAGACTCAGTGTGCTGCTCCAACCGGAGGCGAGGAACCAGGGCCGCTTTCAGGCGCTGTCCAAAAATCAATATTATAAATTTAGCGTTTGGACGGTCTGAGGCGGGGGGGAGGAGCACTGATATGGTCCTCGGTTTTTTAGGAGTACCAGTCTTCACTCATCATCTTTAAAGTGATTTACTGACATGTTTTAATTTGTCTGCTACAGTTGGATAAGCCACACCCACTTTTGATCTAATCACTGCTCTTTTTGTTTGGTTACGGCTCAGTCCTTATCTGGTTGAAGCTCGAAGTCGTGTGTGAGCATGAATTCAAGAGAGCGCATGGAGAAGAGCTCGACGAGGGTCTCAGGCGGCAGGTTTTGGCCCTGGTATCATCAGGGTAGGACTAAAAGGTCGTATCCTCCGATCGTAGCTGATCGTAACCGTTCAAGTTAACGTGTCAATTTACACCGACTTCTTTCCGTTCCTCTGCGGATCGCCGGACTCCTCAGCTGATCACAAGAGTTCTATTTTTTCTGGACGCCGGAGCATGGCGGATAAATTCAGCACAGATTAACCCGTGCTGGAAAGGAAGTCGGGCACAGACACAAAATAAAACATCCGGCTTCTTTTCAAAATAAAACACTCCGTGTTTCAGGAGGATCGTATTTCACACCATGCAAACGGGCGGAGACGAACAAGTGAAAGGTTTTTAGACGTCATTTCACCCCGATGACACCATGGATGAGGAGATGCTGATTCTAGAAGTCTAGAAGTAGATTTCCTCCTCTGGAAGGACACAATCTACTGCTTATATGTCTATGTGTCTGTCTTTAGAGAGACAACTCGTTATCGAGTGATTGAACGTGAATCTGCAGGTTCTTCTGAGTTCTCATGATTCCTGCTGTCTGTAATCCGCCACGAAATTCGCCTCACAAACGGATCTGGTAGGAATTAGCGTGGTGAGGGTGCCCTCTTCTTCTGGGCACCTGTGATCAGTCCTGTTCATGGGGACAGAGAGGAAAAACTCACATCCTCTGTCCCTCTGTCCCACTCTGTTACAATCTACCAGACAGCTCACAGATATGAAGACATAGATGTCTGACATAGATGCCCCTGTCCTGATAACGAGTCCTTGAAATATGAAGAAAGTACAGCAGGTTCAGACTTCAGCTCTCTGCTGGTCTGAAACACTTTGGTGTTCTGATCCCCGTAAAACTCTCTCTGCTGCCCCCTAGTGGACACTTGATGTCATGAGTGAGAACTTAGGTTCCTGTTTTCTCTTATGTTGGTCTTTGGTTTCAGGAGAAGATTTGATGTGTTGGTGTTGTGTTGTGGTGTTAACATGTTCAGATGTGTGTTAGTGTTGTGTTGTTGTGTTAACATGTTCAGATGTGTGTTGGTGTTGTGTTGTTGTGTTGTTGTGTTGTTGTGTTGTAATGTTGTTCAGATGTGTGTTGGTGTTGTGTTGTTGTGTTGTTGTGTTGTTGTGTTGACATGTTCAGATGTGTGTTGGTGTTGTGTTGTTGTGTTGTTGTGTTGTTGTGTTGTTCTATTGTTGTGTTGTTGTGTTATAATGTTGTTCAGATGTGTGTTGGTGTTGTGTTGTTGTGTTAACATGTTCAGATGTGTGTTGGTGTTGTGTTGTTGTGTTGTTGTGTTGTTGTGTTGTAATGTTGTTCAGATGTGTGTTGGTGTTGTGTTGTTGTGTTGTTGTGTTAACATGTTCAGATGTGTGTTGGTGTTGTGTTGTTGTGTTGTTGTGTTATCATGTTCAGATGTGTGTTGGTGTTGTGTTGTTGTGTTGTTGTGTTGTAATGTTGTTCAGATGTGTTGTGTTGTTGTGTTGTTGTGTTGTTCTATTGTTGTGTTGTTGTGTTATAATGTTGTTCAGATGTGTGTTGGTGTTGTGTTGTTGTGTTAACATGTTCAGATGTGTGTTGGTGTTGTGTTGTTGTGTTGTTGTGTTAACATGTTCAGATGTGTGTTGGTGTTGTGTTGTTGTGTTGTTGTGTTGTAATGTTGTTCAGATGTGTGTTGGTGTTGTGTTGTTGTGTTGTTGTGTTCTGTCAGTCGTCAGAAAAGCCACCGTCCCCCAGGTTACAGTTTTATCGGCGTTCTTCCTGCCGGAGCTACAGTTGGGTTTTATTTGAGACCTCGTAGAGTTTTTGTTACCGATCTTCAGCGGAGCGTCCAGGGACAGGTCGGCGTACAGCAGGTTCTCTGGTTTCAGGTCACGGTGCACGACGCCGTTCTCATGAAGATACTGAAACACACAAACACAAGATGGAGGGAAGTTTTTATAAAGTCCTCTCAGCGCCCCCTACAGGCAGCCACCAGACTCATGTTGCTGACAGGACAATGAAAGGGTTTTAATGATGCCTTCAGGTGAGGCGGCGGCGGTGGCGGCGGCGGCCGTGTGGGGTTAGAGGCTTTGTAGAGGATTTGGCAAGCCAGCCTGACAGATGGCCTCTTCCTTCAGCTCCCAGCATCCCCTGCTGCTCTCTGAACACTCACTTCCTGAACTCAAACTAGCATCTTGTGGACTTTCCACCGTCCCCGGGTCGGAGCGTCTCTATTTCAGCCTCTTTCTCTGTAAACGTCTCACACCGCTTCGAGTCCTGAACCCTCATCTACCCGAGGAAACACAAACACCACAGAGACCCTCACCGCTGTAGACCTGGTCTAGATAATCCCAGCTCTGAAAAGGTCTTTATGTGTCTCTAGACCTGTTCAGGGTCCGACCCGCAGGTTCAGAGACGTTCAGGGAAAAAGGACGATGTGTTCAAAGGCTGCAGGATGTTTCTGCGCTGAAGATTAACACGACACACCAACATCTAAAACAGCAAATACAACTGTAGTGTTTCCTCACACACACACACACACACACACACACACACACACACACACACACACACACACACACACACACACACACACACACATGGGCGTATGTTCATCTGCATAGTGGATGTAGGTCAGCTGTTGACAGTGTGTTTATGTGTTTTTCTGCCTCTGTGTGTGTGTGTGTGTGTGTGTGTGTGTGTGTGTGTGTGTGTGTGTGTGTGTGTGTGTGTTAATCCTCTCCAGTTTTAATCTGTTCAGCAGCAGGATGGAAGCTGCTGTTGCATAAGACGCCTGCAGCTGCTACATGTTGCCATCATGTGCAGCAACACTTTGCCAGAAACACCTGCAACCAGCTGCAACTGCAACTCACCGCAGAACCTGCTGCTAACATCTGCACCAACAACACAACTACTACTCATCACTGACAACTAATGCAACTAATGTCGACAACTGCACCAACCGGGAACCACTGAAACAAAGCATGACACCCTTCATAATCTAACAACGTTCACTGACGTCCAACAAACCCAAAACTTCTACAGCGACAACCTTCTGACATCTGCAACGACAACTACTCATCACTGACAGATAACAACCACAGCAGCTGGAGCTGACGTCTGTCTTAAACACGTGTAAACAACCAACTTTAGTAAAGAGTTCTGCAACAAGCTGCTGCTGCCAGAACCAAAACCACCTCTGCAGTCCACATGGATGGATCTCCAAAGACCTCAGTACCTTCAAACCAGATAAAACCAACGACTGCAACAAACCTGTCGACCAGAACAACAGGCAACCACAGCAGCACGAACATCAGCAACCACCGCTGGGAACGACAGAAACACCTGCAGCTAAAAACTGGAACTATAAAAAGAGCTGCGATCAACGCCAACAACCTCAATAACACCTCCGACCACTTCCTGCAGAAACGACAGTCAGAGCAGAGCCAGGAATCTGTCAGAGTCTGCTCCGGTGGTCTTCAGCTTCATTCCTCTCAATGTCTCATTTATGAACCTTCGACAGGACCAACGCTAAAAGCATCAATCTTACCGCCACGGCCTCCAGGATCTGTTTGATGACGTGAGCGGCGTCTCTCTCGCTGTAGTAACCGCGCTCCACGATCCTGGAGACGAACACATCGAGGAAACATCATGAGAAGATTAAAGATGACATTTCTGATCATTTGGTTAAAAAAAGAGCTTTTGTTGCTGAAAACATCTGACTGCGTTGGATCTCAGGAAGTATCGCTGTATTTGTTTATTCCATGCAGACAAACATAGATGTGGTTCATCCTGCAGCTTTGAGACCTGCTGCAGATCTGCACAAGCTGTTGATCACTGTGCCGTCAGAGCGGCGCTCTCACGGCGAGCTCACAGTGACACTCCGGTGAGGAATCAGAGACTGAAACAGTTAACAGAGAGATCCAGCTGTTCCTGCTGCGGAGGTGTGAGCGAGTCGGAGCTGCAGAATCACCGAGAAAAACCCTCCTGTCTGCACGTACCACTGCAGTTCAGTTATTGATCCGTTTATTTCTTATATTTCAATACCTCCAGTTTGTGTCTGAGGTCCTCAGCAGCAGATCTGATGGAGTCTGAGTCTGAGATGAACCTCAGAAATGATTTCGAGAAGATGAGCTAAATAACTCTGGACAGGAGATGGAGAAGCTCTCCTCAGGTTTTAAAAACACTCCAGGGTGAATAATGATGGGAACCTGACAGCCAATCAGAGAGCAGGAATGACGTGTGTGTGTGTGTGTGTGTGTGTACCTGTCAAACAGCTCTCCTCCTGTCACCAGCTCCAGCACCAGAGCGATGTCGGTGTCGGTCTCAAAGATCTCCTTCAGCTGAATCTGCAGAGAAAATCTGAATCCTTCATGTCGTCATAGAAACCTCAGGATGAGAGCTGACGGACTCGGACCCCTGAAACAGACCTCCAGTCTGTCTGCAGGGGCCTCCTCAGAGTCCTGAGCCGAGTACAGTCTGAGCAGACTGGAGCTCCTCAACTCCTTTTTACTCAAATATCATCAGAAACAAGAACCGCTGACTGGGGGGTCAGGGTTAGGGATGCATTAGAGCACCCGGGGTACCTGCCTGGACTAGCTCCCAGGCTTCACTCCACAGCGCTATTAAAGACAGTATGAGAAAACAGACTCACAATGTTGGGGTGTGACAGTCGCAGCAGCACGCCGATTTCCGTGCGAACGATTTTCTTGTCGATCTGCAACAGAATAAAAAACTCTGGTCAGGTCAACAGATCGCACCGCGAGTTGCTCCAAGTTTCTGAGAGGAGTTCCGGCTTTAGGGGGCGGTCCCGGTTCCTGGTATCTGACAGGCATCTGGGAACTTTCAACTTTAGCAATCAAATAAAACCACTAGAGGGCGCTATTAGAAAATGAGCCGAGAACTAGTTTGGAGCTCCTTCTGGATCAGTCTTATCTTTGGGGACTTTTAAATCAGAATACGACACACCAGTCTCTGGAGGCGGGCTAAAGGTTTCCTGGACTCGTTCAGGACCTGGATGTGATTTTTATTGTAGGATGGTAGGGGAAGGTCCCGCCTACTTTGTCTCTGATTGGTTGTGAAACATCATCACACGCTCACGCCGAGCGCGGGTTGTCGGCTCTGAACATCGAACAGAACATCGTCGTATTTCTGAATCTCCTAACCCGACAGACGATGACGTTTCACAGCCATAAGGAATAATAATAAGGAGCCCAGCACTTCTAGCCAATCAGAGGCGAAGGAGGACGGGACCTTCCCCTACATCCTCCTGCGACCTGGACTTCCTCCATCATGGCCGAACACTCACCGTTTTCTTGAGGACTTTGAGGGCGTAGGGTTTCTGAGTCTGTTTCTCCTCACAGCGATACACGATGGACGTCGCTCCTCTGTAACAAACACACAACAACAGTGTTACACACAAACACACATATATGTGTGTGTGTGTGTGTGTGTTTGTGTGTGTGTGCGCACATGGGGGATCTGTTATTCGGCCAGGACAGATGGAGGAAACAGATCCATTTGAAAAGCAACCAAACGCTCACACACACACACACATACACACACACACCCACACACAGTCCTGGCTGGTCTCCATGGCAACAGGACACCTGGTTACAGAGCTGGTGGTGGCCCGCTCACACGTCTCTGAATTTAGTGCTGACATCATTTCAGTGTTTCCACGGAGCTGTTTGTGTTATTACGGTGACACAACAACAACAAACAACACCCACAAACACACTGAGAGTAAACACTCACACACTGTCAACACACTCCTCAGGGTAAACACACACTGAGCACTGAAAACACACACTGCTGATAGTAAACACACTGTAAAAAGACACTTCACGCTGCAAACACATGATTCACACGGGAACACACCAAGTACACACTGTAAACAACTGCACAACAACACAATCCAGCATGGAGAGTTGAACATTTAACATGGGGCTCTATGGAGACCGACTCACTGTAGGACACGGTCTCCAGTGGACAAGAGAGGAACTGCAGATTTTGACTCTTCTGCAGTTCCTTCATTTTTACCCACCTCAAGCTTCATTTGAAGACAAATGTTAGCATGGAGCTCGAAGCACAGCTGAATATGACAGCAGCTAGCATTAGCATTGTGTCGTTCATGAACGATTCGTTCAAAAGAACTGAACTGCTGAGTGAACAACATGAACTGAATCACTCTGAGACACGATTTGTTCCTTTCTCAGTTCAGTTGAGCTCAGCCGCGAGCCTGGTGTGTCGGTCAGGAGTGGAACTGCAGCCGCGAATGACACACAGCCAGCGGGTGGGCGGAGTCTCATGATTTGCTCACAGCGGATGAACGTTATGTATCAGTCAGACTGTGAACGAAATGAACGACTTCTGAACGACTTGATTCAGGCAGAGGAGGGAGGGGTGTAGCGCCGTTCGAAAATGCCGAGCAGCGGTTGGTTGACTGAGGCTCAGATAAAACAGGTCATTATGGCGCCTTTACATTAAAACATGTGTTTAAACTTTCCTGTAAGAAGATTTAATTTCAGACGATTTATAGAAATACGATATTTGATATCTTTAAATGTATCTGAATCCTCGCTACAGCTGACATCTTTATTTATTTTTAATCTCGCCACTTTTCCGACATATAAAAGAACGACGACTCGCGCTCGGTTAGCCGCTGTGTCACTCACTGGTGTACTGCACCGGCAGGACAGGGCTCCAAAGCACTGACTGATTCAGTGAACAAAACATTTATGAACGACTCATTTTAATGAACGAATTCTAATGGTTCAGTACAGTCAAAAGAACGGTTCTTCCATCACAAGAACAGTTCACAAACTGACGCTCACATGCTAGCGCCACATACAGGGTTATTTATGATGCAAGATGATCGTAGACGGTCAATGACATTAAGAGATTAAGAACCTGTTAAAGCCCATCACGTGTCTGTTATGTCAGTCGCAGGTCAGTTCTGCTGTTGTCTGTAGTTCAGGAGGTCAGAGTGCGGGACTAGCTGTTAGCTGCTTCTGTTAGCGGTGCTACACGGATGTACCACTCCATAAAAGCATGATTATTCTCAGACTAAACTCCGATTTCTGTTTTAATTGACTTTGACCTCACTGAGATCTCTGTCAGAATTCTGTAGCACTCACAATTTAGGGACCACATATCCAGACCTGGTGACTCAGGTCCAGACATGGTGTCAGCCCTTGGAGTAGAGATGTGGGCACGCTAGTATTACCTAGACTGTCAGCGTCTTTGTTCGGAAAAAATAACTGCAGTTCCTGTCATGTCCACTAGAGGTTGTCTCTGAAAGTGAGTCAGTCCCCACAGGCCTGACTTGGCTGACAGGTGGCCACAGCCTCAGCTCCACCTCTTTGTCTCCTGAGAGGCTGTCCAGAAGTTAGGATGAGTTAGCATTTCCAATATGGCGGACAATGTTGACGAGCTTCAGACTTTGGATGTCACTGAGTCTACGTTTTATTCAGTCTGAGGTTTGGACAGAGAGGCGAAGGAGGAAGTACTATGGCCCGACCCAAAAGTGGAACATGCAGAGCGACCAGAAATAACAGCCAGTAATCAACGTGAAGAATTTAAGTGGGAGACTCGCTCACTGCTCTGACCCAGTTCTTAGACTTCTATCCTTTGGGATGACGCCACCTGGTTTGTTGGATCGCCAGGGACCACATTTTTTCTAGATCCATTTCTAGAGTTTGAGTGTGTGATGTTAACACTTTTTACAAACTAGCCTGAAGCGTTTTAGCATCGCATGACTCTTCTAACTGTTAGATAACCATTGGTTGATTGTAAAAACACCATTTTTAGTGTGTATGATAATCATATTTGTGGTGTAAAGTAATCATTCCTAGTGTCTGTGTTCTCAATTCAAATGTTCTCATTTCTTACATCCTTTTTTAAATGTACAACGTAACCATCGCTGCTTTTTAACCAAGACCAATGTACGTGTTAGACTTCACTAACTTAACGCGTGCCGACATCATTTTTAGGTGGGAACAAAACTCTTTAACTGTGTATTGTTGCTGTTCTTAGTCTGTGGCGTAGATGTTACTATTATAAGTGAAGTATTTAACAGGTAACCACGGTCTGTGACCTTTTACTGAGAGGCTGTTTTTAACCATTTCAGCTGTCTTAACAGACAACACTTCCTGTCCACCTGTAACCATTTAGATTTTTTTATTGTGTTCTATAACCATGAGGTGAACGATCACCGAGTCCCACGGAAAATTTATGATCATTACTTCAGGGGCGGAAGAACTACCGCGTCTGCAGTACACATACAAGATACACAAGAACTCTGCCTCGAGCTGCGAAACTCTGCTGCACTCGGTGATCGACTCGTCAGGTCTCCATACAAACAAGCGTCTGCTGGAAGAGAGTAGGTGAGTTGTGTTTAGTCTCTTTGCTAAAGAAATGAGTCAAAGTTAAAAAGATGTTTGGTGTCTAGTACTATGGCTGTGGCCCTGTATGTCCTGTTGATGAAGTTAGGTGCTGTTCTGAGCATTATTTGTGGCTATAGAGTGGACTTTTGGTTGGGGGCGTGTCTCTCTGTATTTCTATCCTGCGGTCGTTACTAAAGTTGGTATAACTAGAGAAGCAAGCGGTCGACAACATTCATCTCTGGAGGGGGGGTCTAACTCTGTGTTACGGTGGGGTGCAGAATTATGACGCTCTATCGGAACACCACGAAACCCGGCGTCATAATTCCAGATTCCTTAGCTCCTCTTCCTCTGGGTTTTTACCCCACCCCCTCACCCACCCATCCCAGTCGATAGTCTAGGACAGAGGAGACAAGGAAAGAAGCAGAGGGTGTACCAACTGTTAAATAAGACAGAGTAAAAAAAAACAATCTGCCTGCTGTACAGTCTCAGGGTCTGCCCACAGCGCCCTCTACTGTGCGGAGCGTGATCATATGACCGGAGCTTGGACACTGTGACATGAAGCTGATGTGTAAGGTATGTCGGCGGTCGGTGCCTCAAAAACCGTCAACACAACAGATCTGAAAACATGAAAATGTGGGCGGAGTCTGTACAGCCTGTCACCACTGATGGTACAAGTAGCATTAGCAGTTTAGCTACAACTAGCGGTGCATCCACCAGACCAAAGAAATCAATCATATTATCTACATTTACATTATCTAATGTTGACATTTTAAGGCGTCTTCATGATCTCTGAGGGGACGTTTGTTTATTTGGGGTCTATCATTCCTGCAGAAACACTCAGGACTGTAAACTAGTTCACTGTATTATTGAGTATTCATCTATATTTGTTGTTCTGTTGAGTTAAATGTTTTCATATTTTTCTAAGTTGATCTTATTTAATTTTCTTTATTTACTTTGTATATTAATAAAATGTTGAACTAATCTCTAGTTTCTTTAGTTTTTAGTACAGATGCTTTAAAACTGGCAGTTTAAAAAAATCGTGATATAATCCAGATCGGACGATATGACGAAATATATCGTGATATTTATTTATTTATATTTTTTACCAAATCGCCCAGACCTACTCTGTTTTAGAGGATCTTTAAATCAGACCCTGATACCGGGTCTAAGAGGTCATCATTGCTGCAGGTCCTCATGTGAGGTCTGGACCCACATCAGACTCTGATCAGGACTACAGCTGAAACTGAACCGGATCTCAGGGACCCCTCATCCATGTGAACTCATATGAACTCATGTGAACTAAGGAGGAGGTCCAGACCTGCCCAGCTCAGAGCTCAGATTGTAGAACTCCTCCACAGTACCGTCCCGTCTCGACCCGTCCACCCAGAACTCCACCGGCTCCGAACCGGGCCGGGACGTCGGCATGACGGCAGCGTACCAACCAACCACAAACCGAGACCGTGTCTAAGACCACAGCAAAATGTGGACCGGTTCAGACCGGGTCAGGTATGACCCGATCAAAACCAGGAGCAGAGTAATCCCGATCAGATCTGAGATTTAAATCCAGCTCGGTAAAACCCGGATTAGAGGAGCGGAGGCAGGATGATTCATGATCCTGATGGGCTTTAATCCAGACTAACAGGAGGAGGAGGAGGAGGAGGAGGATCCGCCTTCGTCCTCAAACTCTCATCAGTCCGTATTCGAGAGGAAGGCGAAAAACTGAAACAGAAGGGTCCAATCTAATCCAGACTACAGCAAGAACCGGGATCCAGACACTCCAGCTCCGAGTCTGTCGCAGCTCCCATCGGGCCTTTAAACCCTCTCAGATGTGGGATCACCTCAGTCCATCACCCCCTCCCTCAAGCTTTTATTCCTATTTCCGTGTTTGTTTTTCGCCGGCAGAGACCCTCCGTCTGTCTCCCGGAGCGCAGCAGCCTCACGGCGGACAGATGCAGCCCGGAGAGCCGTCACAGCAGCACCGGAGCCCGGCTGCGGTTTGACCGGGGAACGGAGAGCGAGACCCGGCGGGCTGTGCGCGGGGTGTCCGCTCGGAGATCGGAGGTTTGATTCCCGGGCAGGGCTGCTCCAGATGTCCGCTGGATCCGCAGAAAGGGATGCTGCTGTAATCTCACAGCCCCGCCCCCTGTCACCGTGCCGACCAATCACAGCCCTGTAAGGGGGGCAAGCCGTACTCTGGTTGGCCGTCGGGCCTGTCAGTCACCTCAGCCTCAGTCAGCAACCTAAATACAGAAATAACCTAAATACATAAATGTACATTAGCGTGACATCTGGAGGCTTTGATCCCGCGGGATTCAAACCCGCAACTCTGACACCCAAACACGTGACCTGCTCTTCAAAATCACACCTCCGAGACACGTGACCCTGTCCGTTACAACGTCATCTCAGCTTTTAGTTTTTACATCGAATAGATTCTTTATGACGTAGAGACTTCAAAGAGGTTCTGACAGATTCATCAGAACACGAAACACACACACACACACACACACACACACACACACACACACACACACACACACACATTGTGAGCAGAGGAAGAATGTTCTGGAGAAACCCGGAGAGTCTCAGCGGTCCTGGAGACTGAAAAAGACGAAGGAAAAATATCAGGACACTATATCTGGAAAAGTTCCTGTGATTATACATATATATATATATATATATATATATATGGCTCCTTCACTGAATATAGTGTTGGACAGTGATCTTTGTAAAGTGAGGTGAAGGAGGAGTTTGTGTAGTGACAACACAATCACACTGTGTGCAAAAAGAAAAACCAAATATTCATATTTATTGTGGTGTGAGAAGAGGAGTGCTCATCTGTAGTTTGTTAGTGTAACCAGCAGGTGGAGCTGCTGCATTAACAATAAACTGAGACTCAAACAAACAAGTTCCTGTTTTTACTGAACTTTTTTTTATTCGGACTCAGGAGAGGAAGATTACTGTACTTAAAAGATGATGAAAAACTGTCAGTAAATGAGGAGAAGAATCTGTGATCTGGTGGTTTAGGTTTCAGTGAAAACAGTCTCTGTGAAAGTGAAAGTAAGTGAGCTGAAAAACAGACTCCATTTTGAGAAACGAAGAGAGCGGAGAGGACGAGGAGACAGGGTGAGTGTTTACTCTGTTTTAGTTTTAATGTCAAACTCTTTATCTGTTTTATCTGTTAATGAAAAATGATTAACTGACTAAAACACTTAAAAACTGTAAAACAAAGAAACCTGAGCAGACAAAGAGCTGGATCAGTTCTTCATACAGGAAACTGTGTACGTGCAGTTCTTCCTCTTTTTTTTAGACTTGTCTTTGTGGTAAAAACTGAAATCTGAATCTTTTTAGCCTCTCATTTCAACTTTAATCCAGTCTCCTTAAGTTTTTATGAGAGTTCAGGGACCTCACAGCTGATTTTGTTTGGACCATGAATCAGACAAGGATCAGAGAGAGGCCCTGCAGGGTGGGGAGACATCAGAAGGTCTTGGATATTAAACCCATAGACATATATAAGAAAGGTTTATATACATATATCTATGATTAAACCTGTATAACTCTTAAAGAGGGGGATGAAGCTGTTTTCAGACTCTCTACTTCCTTTCTGATTCCTCTTTTATTTCTGAACTCTCTCTTCCTGTTTGTGTCTCACCTGTTTGTCTACTTTGTCCTCAGGTTGTAGAACTTGATTTCATCTTCCATAAATAAACACCAGATGGAGAAGATGAGTGACTGTGTCGAGGAAGAGGAGGGCAGAGCAACGTCTGTAATGGCCGACTGTCAGTCTATGAAGAGTGACGGGTCTAAAGATAATCCTCTGAACTTCAGTAGAGAACCAGGACCATCAGATTCACAGTAAGAGAAACACTTTTCACCCTCCAAACTCTCAAACAACAACAGCTGATGTTTCAAAATCTGAACTTTAAATCCTGACCCCTCTGTTTTCTCCTCTGCTCTGAAAACGCTGATTTTCCTCTTTAACCTCCAACCTGGAGAAAGTAAAGAAAAAGTCACTGAGCTCAGATTTACTTATTATTCCTGATGTTGATAAAAATGAAGGTGGTATAAAACAGCATTAGAAAAGGATCCTGACCTCTTGTATTTTCTGATTTGGTTCCTGTGTTTGGGACGTTTTGAGCCTGTTAGTCTTTGGACTGTGGTGTATAGACCCCAGAAAACAGTCTGTGGGTCAGAAAATACCAGAAGACCAAAGAAGAAATAAATCCTGAGAAATAAAAACTCATTCAGAGCATCTGTCTGTTATTAGACCTTTAGATCTGATTGTTAAAAAATGTTTGAAACTGTCAGAGAAAATCTCTCGACCTTCAAAAATCACAGTTGAGTTTTTTCTCCTGTCTCCACACTTTGAGGCAGCAGCAGCTGAATATTTTACTGTTTTATGTTAGAGAAAAGAGAAACTCTGGTTTAATAAATGTTTCTTATTCTGAATCTTTCAAACATGAAATAATAAAGAAAATAAATGTTCTTTATTTCCACAGAGAGACACAGAGATTTGGCTTGAGGAAGGCGCTCAGATACTTAAGCTCTGATCAAAGTAAGTCTGAACATCTGTCCTTTAAACCTTAAATTACTCAATTTCCACCTGGATTATTTTGCTTATTTTAGCTGTAATATTGTCAGAAAATGTCCTATGAGTGAGTGCTTTTACCTATTTTTCCAGAACACTTTAAACTTTAAATATCTGTCTGTCATTTACAGTTTACTGTCTGTTAAAAGAGTGCTTTAATATTTTGAGATAAAGAAAAACACAAAAACAAAATAAGATTTTTTGAGTTTTAATGGTAAAAAATATTCATGAACAACAGATTTTTCTTTTGAAATCAGAAATTTGAAGAGTATCAAACATATTTACAACAAAAACTTTGGAGTACTGTCTCTCAACGTACAAAAACAGGTTAAATAAATACAACCATGTCCAGGCTCTTTTCTCCTCTCTCACTCAGAGGTCTTTGTTGAACTGTCAGAAGCTGTTCCTCTCTGTCTGCAGACACAGACACACGTCACACTTCCAGGCAGTTCTCCTTATGACAGTTTGCAGGCAATATTTTTTTTTTTTTTGTGGGATGGTAGGGGAGGGTCCCGCCTCCTTCGCCTCTGATTGGCTACAAAAGCTGGAAACATCATCACACGCTCAAGCCAAATGCCGTCTGTCTGCTCTGTACATCGAACAGAACGTTTCCGCAACTCTGAGTCTCCTAACCCGAACCGGACAAACAATGATGTTTCATAGCCATAAGGAATAACCAATTGGAGCCCAGCACTTCTAGCCAATCAGAGGTGAAGGAGGGCGGGACCTTCCCCTACTATTTTACACAAAAAAAATTGCGAGAGGAGGAGAGGGAATGGAGAGACAGATTTTCTCACTTCTCTAAACAGCAGGAGTGAAATTACCATAATAATCGAATATTGTCTGTGTGGTGAAACTTCTCAGCTTCCAGAAACCGTTGGAGTTTTTCTGATAGAACAAACTATCACAAAGTTACGGTAATTTAAAGAGTGTCTGTGTAAAGGTGTCGGCGCCGACAGACTGTGAGGAAAAGTCTGTGTGGATGAAAACTCAGCTGACTGATTTTCACAAAGACGTTTCAGTTTGAGAAGTTTGGTTCATTTTATTTTTCTCCTCTTTCAGACAATCGCGTTCTGCAGGAGGCTTTAAATAAACATAAGATCAGTCTGAAGAGGAGATGTGAACGTGTGAATGAAGGAAGTGATGAAACAGGAAGTAGTCAAACCCTCCTCAACAGGATCTTCACTGAGCTCTACATCACAGAGGGACTGAGTGAAGAGGTGAACACCCAACATGAGGTGAGACAGCTGGAGACAGCTTCAAAGATGAAGACCCTCCATGACGAACCCATCAGGTGTCATGAGATCTTTCAAACCTTACCTGACCAACAGGAGAAGGTCATCAGAGTGGTTCTGACCAACGGCGTGGCTGGTGTTGGAAAAACCTTCTCAGTGCAGAAGTTCACTCTGGACTGGGCAGAGGGTTTGGAGAACCAAGACCTCCATCTGGTGGTCCTGCTTTCATTCAGGGAGCTGAACCTGATCAGAAAGAAGCGCTTCAGTCTTCTGAGTCTGCTCCATGTTTTCCATCCAACACTAGAGAAGGTCACAGCAGAGAGGCTGGCTGTCTGTAAACTTCTGTTCATCTTTGACGGTCTGGATGAAAGCAGACTGTCTCTGGATTTCACAGACTCTGAGGTGGTGTCTGACGTCACACAGACGTCTTCACTGAACGTTCTGTTAACAAACCTCATCAAGGGGAACCTGCTCCCCTCAGCTCTCATCTGGATAACTTCTCGACCTGCAGCAGCCAATCAGATCCCTCCTTCACGTGTGGACAGGGTAACAGAAGTACGAGGCTTCACTGACGCCCAGAAGGACGAGTACTTCAGGAAGAGGTTCAGAGATGAAGATCTGTCCAGAAGAATCATCAAACACATCAAGTCCTCCAGGAGCCTCCACATCATGTGTCAGATCCCGGTCTTCTGCTGGATCACTGCTACAGTTCTGGAGGACATGATGATCAGAGAGCAGAGAGGAGAACTGCCCAAGACCCTGACTGACATGTACTCACACTTCCTGCTGGTCCAGACTAAGAGGAAGAAGCAGAAGTATAAAGGAGGACATGAGACAAGTCCTCAGGAGCTGACTGAGGCTGACAGTGAAGTCCTCCTGAAGCTGGGGAGGCTGGCCTTTGAACATCTGGAGAAAGGAGACATCATGTTCTACCAAGAAGACCTGGAGCGGTGTGGTCTGGATGTCTCAGAGGCCTCGGTGTTCTCAGGAGTTTGTACAGAGATCTTCAGAAGAGAGAGTGTGATCTTCCAGAAAACTGTTTACTGTTTCGTTCATCTGAGCGTTCAGGAGTTTCTGTCTGCAGTCTACATGATCCACAGTTTCACAAACAGGAACACAGAAGCTCTGAAGACTTTCCTAAGAGGCAACAAAAACCTGGATGACTGTTTCTCATCTCTGGATGTCTTCCTGAAGAGTGTCATGGAGAAATCCCTTCTCAGTAAAAACGGTCACCTGGACCTGTTTGTTCGCTTCCTTCATGGACTCTCTCTGGAGTCAAACCAGAGACTCTTAGGAGGTCTGCTGGGTCACACAGACAACAGTCCAATAATGATCCAAAGAGTCATCAAGAACCTGAAGAAGATGAACAGTGATCGTTTCTCTCCTGACAGAAGCATCAACATCTTCCACTGTCTGATGGAGATGAACGATCTGTCAGTTCATCAGGAGATCCAAGAGCTCCTGAAGTCAGAGAACAGATTTAAGGAACTCTCAGAGATCCACTGCTCTGCTCTGGCCTACATGCTGCAGATGTCAGAGGAGGTTCTGGATGAGTTGAACTTATATAGTTATAACACATCAAACCAGGGACGACTGAGACTGATCCCAGCTGTGAGGAACTGCAGAAAGGCTGAGTAAGTCCAGGTTTTATTCTCAGAATAGTGTAAATGATCCCTGTAGTTCTTCTAATGTCCACGTTACTGATGATGTTCTTCTTCAAATAGAAATCCACTCAAATATCAGGGAGGGGGTTTCTTTAGCAGAAACATGATCCTGGTGTCTAAAGTCCTGTTAGTCCAGGATGAGGTCTACCTGTGGACCCCTGAGAACTTGTCCTGATTGTGGAGGACCTCTTTGTTTTGAATCGTGTCTGTAATGAATAAAGTGGAACTTTGAGGACAAATCAGCGACCATATCTGAGGACACACAGAGGTCTTCTGATGATGGTATCAGTCCAGATCAACATCTCAGTCAGTTGTGGTGAACTTGAGTTTGAAGAAGGTGTCTGCAGCTTCTTCCTGCTGGTTTTCAGGTTGGAAATGATGAATCTGTTGTAAATGAGGGTGTTGACAGCATTGATGGTGAAAATAGAACTGGATCATTTTCTACACAGTGGCAGAACTGTCTCTGTACCATCATGTTCATCATTCAGTATTCATAATCAATACAACCATGAAAACTAACATCATTTTCCACCACTCACTGGAGATTATCTGCTGGACTAGAACATATGAATGATGAGAACACAGGAGGTATTTGGACAGCAGCTCCATGAGTCTGAAAACAATGGTGGAGATAGGATGTTAATGTCTCTCTCTCTCTCTCTCTCTCTCTCTTCCCTCGGTGCTGCAGGTTGGCACTAACACTAGTCTGCCTCATAACACCTCACAGCATGTGGAAACAGCCGTGCTCTTCCACTGTATTTATGGTCACTATGGGCTCTATTTTCGTGCCCACCGGCGGCGCGGCGGAGGGTGGTGCACCCTGCGCAGTGGTATTTTTGTCCGGTGCAGCTCGGCGCACTGCCAGTTTGGTATTTTAGTAGACTGAGGTCCGCCAAGGTCCGCCACGGTGGCGCGGTAGGGGGAGGTGTCGACAGAATCAGCTGGCGCAGTCACATTTTTGTGCTCACCGAAGGTGTGGAATGTGCGCTGAAATCTCGCCAAATCAAACCTGGTCATCTTTCAGCGCAGGCGAAGCTCAGCTGGTCTAGTGGTATTTTGGTAGACCAGCGGCGTAGTGCGCATACGTCACCGATGCCTCACCGGCAGGTTTCCACAGTGTCGGAACATTTCAGGGAAATAAATAATCAACAATAACTAATATTCAGTGTGACTATCTGAGTCAGCACTTATACATTTAGATTTATATCGATTTATCCTGATTTATATCTGCTCTGATGAGCGAGTTTGGCACTCGTTTGGACACTCAATCTGACCGCATTAACACAGCTGAAACTGCATTAAATTAAATATCCTGTATAAAGTCACAAATGATGACGTTAACAAGATATTTAATTCGTCTCCCCCCTTTTCTCTCTCCCTCTTCCTCTTCTTTCTCTCGCAGCTCGACTTAAGACATGTCTCCGTGTCCTCTCCCTGCTGCTGCGGCGGCTGATCAGATGATTTATTTCAGTGATCAAAAGAGTTATTCACTTAAAAAATAAAAGAAACTTTTATTCAAAATTAACCGTTTATCTGATGTTTTCACATCCTTCAAATTCAGTTTTCTGAGCCAAGTTTGTTCTATATGCCAACATCTATGAAAGAAAGAACCAGGACACGGAGCGCAATACGTCCTTTATGCACAGATGGTTCTGATTTTAATGCCATTATTGGAATTTATGTCATCTGTGCGCACAACCCACCTTTGTCATGTGAGGTTTAAATATGTGCAACTTTATGAGAGTGTTTTAATTAGTGGAAAAGGGTGTTTGTCTTACCAGTGGGTCCAACATTACACACACCAAATCCCTCTGTGCTTATTTGAGAGAGTGTCCTCAGTGTCGACACTTCTTAAGGAGCTGCCTTCTGTCGCCATCTTGTGGTATTGCTGTCCTCAGCCATCTCTTGATCTCTTCGACTACTTCACAATTTAAAGGTGAGGAGAGAAGCTGATGTGATTGGTGAAAACAGGACTCTGCTGTGTTAAACCCACTCCACGCCTTATCCCCTCCCTCTCTACTACTTATGCTGCTTAGAGGAGCTGAGTTAGGGAGGGGGGGTACTTACGCCGGGCTGCGCTGCTCACCAGTATACCAAAGTGTGCTTGGGCACGCCTTACTGGCGCGGTGGACCTGACCCTGCGCCATGCTGCTAGCAAGACACGAAAATAGAGCCCATGGAGTCATTTGTCTTGAACATCTGAACAGTTTTTATTTTCGTCTAAACTTTGACTTCCTGTCTTCTCTCATGGCTGTGGTCCTGATATTAGTATCTGTCTGGTTAAAAACAGGCCGTCTGTCAAACCAAAGATCATGTTTGTTTTTGGTGAAGAGAAACATCAAATTACCCTTTAATGAAATATTGTTGATATTCATGTTGTTACAGATTTTCTAACTGTGGACTCTCAGAGACTCACTGTGAAGTTGTGGCCTCAGCTCTGAAGTCCAACCCCTCCCATCTGAGACATCTGGACCTGAGTCACAACAATCTGCAGGATTCAGGAGTGAAGCTTCTCTCTGCAGGACTGGAGAGTCCAAACTGCAGACTGGAGACTCTGAGGTGAGACACCATTTCCTTCTGATCTAACAATAAGATGTGACAGCTGCTGTCTTAGATTTTTCTCTGTGGTTTTTCCATCAACTTTGGTCGAGCAGTTTGAATTTGTCGTTGTAAAACTTCAACACAGGAAGAAAAATCCGACATTTCAGAGTTGACTTTGAGGAGAACGATGGATGTAGAAAGGAAGCAGGAGAAAATCAGTCCCACAAATATTACACATGCTTGTAGAGGGCAGGAGCAGCACAGACTAAAGGCTGATACTGAACTGATCCACAGTTAATGTGATCACTAATGAATGAATGAAGTGTCAGAGAAATGATGAGCTGCAGATTGAAACCTGAAGAACAAAGTTAATCCAACTCTGGAGATTTCATTTGGAAACTCTTGAAAACTTGAATTTCTTCTTTGCTCAGTCGTGTTCAAATGTAAAAACAAGATCCAGATTTTTCTGCAGTTTTCACTTCAGTTTGTTGAACATGAACATCATCTTGTCCAGTTGGTCCATAAAAACCTCTCTGATCAATGATCTGTTGGTTTATTTAAGAGTAGTTTGGCAGTTGTTGACAGCAGACGGACAGACCCCTGAATAAACTCCTGACGTCTGGTTCACACTGGAAGCGCCGCGCGCGGAACGGAAGCGCCGCGCACAGAGTTTCAGATCGGCGCCCATGTTAACCTATGAGACTGTTCACACAGCACGCGCGCGGCGCTTCCGCGCGCGGAACGGCTCGCGCTCTGGAGCGCGGCTGCTCCGCTTCTCTCTATTTTTGGCGCGAGCCGCGCGCGCCGATGTAAAGCTCAACAGAGCAGATCGGACCAGACAGGAAGTCAGGAAGGAGATGCGAGAGAATCCGGTCAATTTTCAAAATAAAGTAAATTTCAATAAATTAGAAAAAGATTGACTGTGTTGCTTGTCGGTCTATTTTTTTTTTTTTTACCGATGAACACACACACACACACACACACACACACACACGGAGGGAGAGCTGCAGAGATTCAGTGATGTTATTGAGACAAAGGGGGGGGGGACTTTATTACGATACAGTCAATAGCCTCGAGCTAACAAGGCTATACATACAACGGAGTCAACAGACTCCCCAATTTATTCGTCGTTTACCCCTATATAATAATTTAAAACAATACTTGAAGATGCTGTCAATATTTAATTCATGTATGACGAAATAAAAACGTAAATAAATAGTGATTTACCCATTTTTAAAGCGCTCGTAAGTGTGGAAAACTGAGGGCAGACGGAAACGGCCGAGCACTACCGGGCTCAGTCGATGTCTGACCGGCATGTCAGAGCGCAGCAGAAAGCGCTTCCTGTGTGAACAGCCAAGCGCGAGCCGGCGCTGCGCGAGCCGGCGCTGCGCGAGCCGGCGCTGCGCGCGCGCGGCGCTTCCATTCCGCGCGCGGCGCTTCCAGTGTGAACCAGACGTGACTGTTTTAATATCAATGAACTCTGTGACTTTCTGCAGAGTCCAAACTGTAAACTGGAGACTCTGGAGTAAGTTTAGTCTTTGTCTGTTTCTGTTGTCGATTTTTATGTTTATTCAGTTTTTTTAACCCAGTTCAAATGTTCATAGAATTCTTTAATATTTCCAGAACTTTCTTCTTTCTCACATAAATTCATAGTTTTTTTTTATTGAATCATCAGTCAGATACAGATGGAGGAAAACTGTGAGTTATTTTGTTGATTGAATGTTGATGATTTTTGATCAATGGTTCAGATGATCACTGCAGTGATGTTGACGGGTTTACTTCCTCGGTCTCTAAATCAGTCAAATGTTCAAGGATGCAGTGAACTCACTATCCATGCAGCTCAGGAACACAGCTCATCTTTTTCATACAGGAAACTTTGTCAACAACAAAGGTGTGTTAAAGTCCCATCAGTCAGCAGCTTCAGTCAGAAACCTCGCTGTCAGAGCTCCGTCATTTCAACCCTCTGTATAACTCCTCAGCACAGACCAGACCCTGTGAGCACATCCTCACAACATGCTGCTTTAGGTACAACAACAACAATCAGCTGTTAGCAGAGATTTCATCCAAACAGTCCAGGATACAAACTTTGAAGTGGTTGGAAAATTCAGGTGTCCACCGCTCATGCAGAGTTGACTCATGTTGATGTTGATGATGTTTTCATGTCTAGAGGACATGCTGGAGTGAATTCAACCAAACCTCCTGAGAAAAAGACAGCGGTGGCAGACATTAGATCAGGCTTCATGACGTCTGTGCGTCCCTTTATTCAACCAGATCAGCAGTCCCAGAGTTTTCCCTCATCTCTTCAGATTTGATGGTTTTTGTGATTTTGATGTTTCCACACAAACTTTAAATTGTTGAAACTGAATTTAGTTTGTCATGATAATGTGACAGCTGTTTTTTTAAATAAACTTTTAGATTTGGAGTTTTAGTCTTTAAATTTCAGAGACATTTTGAACATATTCATGAGTTAATATTCATGAATTACAACCATATCATACTGATATCACACAGGAGTGTGACAGGTGTTTATTAGTCTTTTTGACACGTTACAATAATGAGGAGAAAGTCATGGACTAAACTTGGGCTCCCAGTTTCCTTGTTGTTGTTGTTTCTTCAGCTAGCATCATTGTTTTCATCACAGTTATTAAAGTAATAATGATGCTTCATAAATTCAGAGTCACAAAAAAACACCAAACAAACCAAATCTGAAAAAAATCCACTTTTTCATCAAATGAGTTTAATCGGTCAGAACATGAGGTTTGAGTTTTCATGAGGAGGAAACGAGAAAGATCTGCTCTGACAGTGAGAAACACAGACGCCTGAATTTACACTGACAGACACACAAACACAGACAGAGAGACACAGACAGACAGAGAAACAGACAGAGAGACACAGACACACAAACACAGACAGAGACACAGACACACAAACACAAACACAGACACACAAACACAAACACAGACACACAAACACAGACACACAGAGATGTTCCTCTTCGTCTCTTTGCTGTGATGACTGAAGTCACAAAAACAAAGTTTTCTTCGTCACTTTTATGATTGAACCAAATAAGTTAAAGAACCAAACTCTCAGATTTTCTTCTTCTCAATATTATTTGAATCATTTTGATTTTTCTCCTGATCAATATTCAATGATCAAATTGATTAGGTTCCTGTTTTGGCTCCACTGCCTCTTTTCTGCAGCTCAATAACTGCTCATATGGTTTGAAAGGTTCCTGCAGTAAAACCCGATTAGAGAGTGGACTAAATGAAATGTGAGTGAACTCAGCCATCAGTGAATCAATGACAAAGTGAGAGGAAGAGTGGATCTGTCTGCTGTCTGACCTTGTTGATCCTGATGAAGGTGAGGGAGAAGAGTAAAGCAGTAAAGGTGATGTTGTTGCAGACAGAGTCAGCTGACCTGTCTCATCAGAGTCTCATCCATTCTCTGTTTGGCAGAGCGCTGATGTTACAGTCTGAGAGCACATTCAGGTTCAGCTTCACATGGGCTGGATCTGCTCAATACAAACTCTTGAGACCAGCCTGGTTGAGGGAGGTGGGCTCAGTGTCCTGGGTGACTCTCTCTGAGCTCTTCTTGGTTGAGAGTATTTCTGGTTTGTCTCTGACTTCCATGAACTCAGATCTGGAGGATTGCTGGCTGGTCCGGTCCAGTTCTGACAGCAGAGACAACACAGTCTGTTATTCTGGGTTGAGTGTTCTTGTTGAAGATCAGTGTACAGTGAGGGATGAAGGCAGACAAAGATCCTCCTGTTTCCTCCATGTCACAGTTCAAGTTCATTTTGAAGACTTTGATTGATCCGAGCGCTGAAGAGGAACAGGAAACGAGGAGTAGAGAGTGAGGGAGGACTTACAGCAAAGGATCATGGGAGTCCAACCAGCAACTGCTGCAACAAGGACTCCACCTTCTGATCATCTGAACCTCTAATCCAAACCAGTGCTCCATCACATCTGATGTCTTGTCTGTTATTTTACATGGAGGGTCAGAGCAGACCAGATCATGAGCTCTGACAGACTGGATCTGGTCCAAAGGTCTCCTGTTGGAGTTCTCTAAGCTCCATATTTTAAACCTGAACACCTGAAGTTTGATTATTAATTATTTTTATCTTCATTCTCTTTCCTTTTTTCAGACTGTGGAGCTGCAGGTTGTCAGAGATCAGCTGTTCTTCTCTGGCCTCAGCTCTGAAGTCCAACCCCTCCCATCTGAGACATCTGGACCTGAGTAACAACAAGCTGCAGGATTCAGGAGTGAAACTGCTGTGTGACTTTCTGCAGAGTCCAAACTGTAAACTGGAGACTCTGAGGTCAGACTTTTTTCCTCCATTCAAACATTCTCATGATTTGTTTGTGATGATGACACTAAACTGCTGACTCAGGACTGAAATACTGACCCAGACTGAACACCTTCAGTCCAGAGTAGATTTTCTGCATCAGTGGATTATTTGATTGACTCCAGTTAGATCACTGCTGAGCTCCAGTGAATTAAAACCTGAACCCAAGAAGAAAACTCTTTGTAGAGTTCACAGTGAGAAGCTCATTCAGACAGAAAACAGAAGCAGGGGGAGATTTGTCAGACGAGAACCATTCAAACTTTAGTTCAGGACAAGATCAGGGAATAGAAAAAACTCAGAGTTTAGTTTCTGACTCTGATGAAAGTCCAGCTCTGTTACTTTGAATTTTGTTTTTGAATCTTTGTGTGAAAATCTGAATTTTCTGGTTTATCTGCACTTTTCTGAAGCCTTGCTGTGTTTAGACTGAAATATTTACCTCTCAAAGACGTGATATTTTTGGTTCAACAAAGTGAAAATATTCTGAACATCCTTTGTTTCCCATCCGTCCTGAAGTCGCTGACATTTTCTGAAAATATTGATCTGCATCTACAATCAGTAAAAAAGTCTCTGAGTTTTTTATTTCACTATTTCATGTGTTTTTGAATTCACTGTTTCAAACTGACTTCCTGTTTGGTTCAGCTCTTTGGAGCGTCACTTTTCTCTGATTCATACTTTCCAAACCTTTCCCCTGAACTCTACACATTTAAGACATCAGGTTTCAAACTGGATCATTTTTCTCTAAAATCTCATTATTTCCTCTTTATTTAGGTTGAATAACTGCAGTTTGACAAAGATCAGCTGTTCTTCTCTGGCCTCAGCTCTGACGTCGAACCCCTCCCATCTGAAAACTCTGTGGCTGTTTGGAAACAATCTGCAGGATTCAGACGTGAAGCTGCTGCGTGATCTTCAGAAGAGTCCAGACTACAGACTGGAGACTCTGATGTCAGTATAGAGTTGGAGTTAGTCTGTGCTGATCTCTCCTGTTCCTCTCCACACAGTATCACAGCAGATATTCAGTATTTCCTGCTGACTCTTCGACCCTCTCAGAGGATTCTTTCTTTAGTGAAGCTGTGAGAACAGAAATCATCAAACCAGGAGTGTAAGAGTGTCAGTGATGAAAAAAGTGTCTCCTCGTCTCTATATTTCAGATCAAATGTAGAAATGAGACATAATGAAACAGAAATGTTCAGTTTCTGCTCTGAAGTCCAGTTTATAGTTCTCTGTATTCAACACAGACTTTATTTCTCTGCTAACTTGTTGATTTTGAGCTCTAAGTCTGAAAACAGACAGCTGTTCTTTATACTTGTTATTTTCACAGCAGGTTTGTTCGATCAGCTTTAACACATTTGACAGGAAGGATTTCTTTATTTTGATGATGTTGGTTTATTTGTGAGGAAACCTGCTGCTTTACACCATCACTTCTGCTCTGAGCAGGACTGAGACCTGCTGGTCTGTAAACTGGATGTTCTTCAGTCCAGCTGATGAAGTGAGTCTCAGAGTTGAAACACTGATCGTCTGTTTTTCTCTCCTCAGATGGAGGTTAGAGTGATTAAGAAGAGGATCATGTGTTTCCTGACGATCAGAGAGGTGGAGGCAGCACCAGTGAGGGTGAGGTGAGTCTCTGACTGAGAGACTGACTGACCAATCACAGCGGGCGGAGAGGACTCTGGGAGCTGCACTTTGACCTGCTCTGAGATCAGCTCAGGACCTGGACTCTGGAGATTTGATCTTTTCCCTCATATTCTGGGATCAAACAGTCTGAACAGTGTAGAAATTTGAATTTATAATAAATGTCCTAAAATATTCAGATTAAATTATGACATTTATGGATCGTTAAAACGGGCACCACTAGGGTTGGACATCGAGTCTCGAGCATCGATGGAGACTGAGACTAACATTCAGATTCTCCAGGAATCGTTCGAATTTTATAATTTGAACGACGAGAAAGACACCACTTAACACCAACGAAGAAGAAGCCGCCGAACACCAACAAGGACGAAGCGAAAATCAAACGATACCCAACCCGAGGCACCACCCACCCTTACCGGTGGGAAAAATAAAGAAAACAAAGTTTAGCTGATTAATCAAACGTTGAATCAGTTTTAAACAGATTTAAATCAATCTCACATCTGAGGCGGGAACTCTCATTTCAGGGACTTCACTTCTGGAAGGACCACTAAGAGACGACAACTTAAAATTAAACAGGTACTTTATTGACAAATGCTGATAACATAAATTCAATAAATGATGATCAGATAATGAGGAAAATAAAAGAACACCTAACAGGTAAATGGAGGAATGGTTTGAAGTGAGCGAAGACTGGAGGTTAATGATCGTGAATAAGGACAAATTTAACCAACGTTAACGGGGTTACGAGGATAAATCTGGAAGAGGAATTTGGAGAAACTAAACTATAATTAAGAATATATTAAGACTGTTTCACTGCTGATGTGATGTACAGATGGAAAATCCTGACCAAGTGTCCATTACAGACCACCAGGAGGACAGGGTTTGGGGTTTTCAGAAAAATCTGAAGATTTATTCTTTTACTTGATTATTTTTGTTCATCTGTTTTCATTTTCTGAAATGATTGTAAATATTGACTGGAGGTAAATTGACCTTATTTTATATAATTAGACATTATTTTCCGTCTCTTTACATGTTTTTGTTCTCAGATCATCTTTGTGTTCATCAATAATCGATTCCCTCCAGTTTGGATGAACAAACACAATTATGAAACCATAAATGAGACCTGAGAGTAAAATGTGTGAAATATAATCAGTCAAAGGAAAGATTCTAGAACGAAAACAAAAACATTATTTTTACTTGATTATGACGGAGAAGTTTTCCTCTGACAGACAAAAATAACCGTATTGACTGGAAAAAGTGAGATCAGCATCTATTCAGGGTGAAGTCATTAACGTGGTCGATGCTGTTTTATAAACTCAGTGTTGTTGATTACAATCTCAGCTTCATAAATTGATGCTACAGTGGAGTGACTTCCTGTAAAATCCACTGGCTTTGTGAGACCGTCAGCTTTCAGGAGATCAGTTTGTGTTTCTGTGACACTCCAAAGCTTTTCTATCCCACAGAGAAGATCGGTGTGTTTTCAGAGACCTTCCTGATCCCATCCCTCCAAAATGAAAATAATCTGATGGTTTATGGATTCATTTCAGTCACAAAGTGTCATTTCTGTTGTTAGCCAATCAGAGGCTGTATCTGCCATCAGACAACCTGTAGTGGTCCAATCAAAAGCCAGGACAGTAACAACAGGAAACATAGAACTATTGTGAACAGATCTGTCCTCTTCAGTTTATCTAGTATCAATAGATCTATGCTCTGTCTGTGTAACACTATGTTGGTTCTTCATTTACACCAGATCATTTTTGATTTCATTTCACTGTAACAATGTCATTTAAAGACAATAAAAACTTTATTTGAACCAAAACATGTTAAAATCATAAACTCAGCTTGTTTCAGTCACTGTGTCCAGTTGATTATTATTATTTTTCATTCAAACAAAAACTAGATTTGGTCTTTAAAAAGTCCTCAAAGTGAGTCTGAAAAGTGGAGGAAGGTTTTCTCATCAAGGTGCTCCTATATTCAGGTCAATACGGTAGTGGATCATAGAGACTCAAAGCCTTGATTCAGCTGAGGCTGGAGGACGCTGCGTGAAGGAAAGTCGGTGTGTTTAGTTGGTCTTAGTTTCTATTAAACAGGAACTTTGATTTGATCGTCTTTTCTTGGAAATCAAACTTCCTGTTGGACTCAAAGATAAAGTCTGTGATCCCCGTCAGGTTTGAAGACTTTAGTCTCACAGCAGAGTGATTGTGGCTCTGAGGTGTTTGGACATGTTGAAATTGAAGCTTTTCTTTGAGAAAAACAAACTGAATCATGCAGCACAGTTGATTCACGTGTTTTTATTGGTGATATTCTCTCTAAGGTTATTGTTCATTCAAAGTATGTGGAGGACAAATCCACACATCTAACAAAAAAAGGTCAAAAATGAAGATAGGAGATTTCTGCAGGACATCAACGATATTCTAGATTTAGTTTTCTAAACAACAGGTGGTCGTCTCTTAGACTTTGATCCAGAAATCTGAAAAATGGGTTATTAAAGCAAAAGGAGAAAAACACACATGTATACTGTATATATAGATAGATATCTCACAGAACAGATATACAGAAAGGCAACAAGAGAAAGATATTTATATTGAAAATGAATACAGATATGTTGATGTTATATGTTATTAGTTATCATTTAATAGAAATATTACTCATATAACATACATTGAATAATTAAATGTTTTATAAAAAATGTAATATTATACCTTGTGTGTGTAGACCTATAGCTATTACTCTACCTGTTTAATGTTTATTTATGAAAATCCATGGTTAAAGTTATTCCGGAGTATGCAGGAACATAATGAAAACCGTTTAAAAATCAGTTTAAAATTAATCAATCTATGGTTATTTAAATGTTACATGGACTGTAGACTTTAATGTCATAACTGAGCGAGCTGCCTGTGGCAAGATGGCCGTCATGCGAGGATGTTGGTCTTCGCTGGTAGTGGGGTAAGATGATCCATGTTTGGGATCTCTACATCAAGTCAATCCTAGTTTTGTCTCTAACTCGTGTCTCTGCAGATATTTCAGGATGTTGTTCATCCCTGAAAACCAACAGAATGAGTGTAAACAGAACTGTCATCTTCAGAATACAGCAGGACAAAAAAAAGGGTCTCCTTTGGTCAACTTACCCCGTGTATGTTTGGGCTAAGTTGAAAAATTCATTGTTTTGTTTCGGGACTGATCTTGATGAAGAGATCTGAGAAAAAAAAGTTTAATAAAATTTCTCTGAAATGTTTTTACAGCAGCTAAAATTAGAGGACAAAAACAGCCAGAAGAGGGCGACAGGGAGTAAAATACGAAGGGAACACAGGTGATTGAGAACATCACATATAATTTTGCCACATGATCAATTTCTTTGACCATTTACAAGAAACAGGGGTGGCTCAACTTACCCCACTCCCCCCTACTCTGTTATCCTGCCTCTGCTTTGACTTCGGTAAGGGTTGAGTTAAACCCTCAGTTTAGTCTCGCAGGTCCTCGGACTCTATGATTGGCTGTACCTGAAACCTCACCAGTCAAGCGCAGGGAGGACTTGGCGCTTCGTGCCTCTGACGTCATCCGTAGGTGGTTGTGAACTTCCTAGTTTGGACTCACTTTTATGTCAACAAAGCAGCGGGGTCCGGCTAACGCGACGTGGACCTGAATCCCCCTCGTTCCTCCGCCTCTCTGTTCTTCTTCGGTTCCGTTTGAGTGTTCGTGGATCTTCAAAATGACTTTTCAGGGAGTTCTCTCGGCGGTTCTGGTCACCCTCTGTTGGCTGGTTGTGTCCCTGGCGGGGGATGTGCCCGATCCCGCAGCTGCCGCCGTAGTCACCACTGCGGTGCCCAGACCTGCGGTGACGAACTCCAGCGGGGTGAACTCGACCCACTCGAGCGACGGGAACGGCTCCAGAGGACTGTTTAACGGCCTCAACGTAGACAGCTCCATGATCCAGCGGGCCCTGTATGTCCTGATCGGCATCACCATGATCGGAGTCCTCTACTTCCTCATCCGAGCCGTGCGGTGAGTTCGCACCAAACTCCGATCACATATGAGGGGATTTAGTCAAGCACCGAAAACGCATAATAAAACACCAACAACACGGAAAACAGCCTCTCTCAAACTTTTCTGTGCTGGACATTTTAATTTCCCAAAGTGAAACAGCTGTCGGAGAGGAAACATAAATTCACTGTTTTCTGAATGAGGTTTGGTGTAGTAACTGTGCCCATGCCACGAAACAGAAGGTTGTAAGGTTATTTTCTGGGCTAAGTCAGTTTTTTGGGCATATATTGGGTCGGTTTTATGCCCAACAAATTAAGAGAAATCTTGTAAGTAATACAGATGTAATTAAGTCAGGAGAGCGGTGTGTTAAATGACGCCTAACCAAACCTGGTTCGTAAGTCTAGCAGTTAGTGCAATTTTGCTTCATCTGCGCATTTATATCGGTTACCACAGCATATTGATTAGCCTTTTCAATTTAAAGGAGGCCAGTCTTCAATTCGGCGTCTATTACATAAACTTAAACAAGAAGTACTTGGTAAAGTATTGACCTACCAATTCTTACAAAAGTTGTGCAGCAGTTTGAGAAGTCACCTCCTCATTCTGTGAGGTTAGAATAACCACAATCCTACTTGGTGGTGGCAGCACAACTTTATCAGGTGACTACATATTTAGGTCATGCTGCAAGATGGGAAACATCTCATAGAACGTGGGAGCTCCTTCAGATCATATAGAAATGTTGGAAATAAAGAGTGTAAAATTCGTAGTTTTCTGAAAGGGGTTTGGTGTAACGTCCTCTACATTAGAAGATTGACAGGATAGGGACTTGTTCATGGGGTAATTTCAGTTTTGTCTCGGCTTGTTCAGAGTACAAAAGAGCATTGCCTAGTAATTATAAATTTACATGACAAAGCACCAAACCCCATTTAAATATATATCAATTTAACACTCCCTTTCCAGTCAGCAGAGGGATAAATGCTGAAAGATACACTGAATGCACTCAGGTGAGGTTTAGTGAAATACTCCTAAATTCTGTTTGAATTTCACCTGCTTTATAGCGAGTGATTCACCAATTAGCTAAACCTAACTTCTGCATAGCTCTATATATGTGCTAAAAACAACTTAAATACATTGAGTCCTGGGTATATGTCTAAGGCCTGCACGCCAACAGATGTCACACCAAATTCCATTCAAAGTTGAGTAATTTTATGCTTTATCTCTGTGTGTAATATGTGAGTCATGTGTTTTTCTCATGCAGCTGGATACTCCCTTCAGTTCTGCTTTAGCTAATCTTATTATGGATTTTGTGTTTGTGGCTGACTTCAGCCCAATAAACTTTGGACAACCTGATAACCGTGAAACAATTCTTTCATTACTTAAACACAGGAACCTCTGTCACACCAAATCCCATTCATAAGTGTCATAATTTAATACTTTATCTCCTATCAGCCGCTGTACATAAACTATAAAACATCATTCAGGTGTTTTTATGGAGCTACTTGTTCCTCTTTTGAGTTTGGCTTCTTTCTGATCCACCAAACTTTATTTTCAGGCTGAAGAGACCAGCTCAGAGGAAAAAGTATGGTCTGCTGTCAAACTATGATGACTCTGTGGAGATGGATGGGATGGAGAGCGAAGAGGACGACACGCTGTACGAGGCTCGCAGCCTCCGCAGGTCAGAGTTCAACAACATGTCACTGTGGTGCTTTTTATCTCAGAGACAGGCTTCATTTTTTTATCTGTTTGTGGACGCAGAAATCTCCAAATATTGAGCAATATTTTCTTTTTTATCTAAATGGACAAATAAAGTGAGGAATAAAGACAAACCTGCTTCGTTAAATTCATCAGATTTGACCCTGAATCTGTTTAAAGCTCAGGACAAACTTGATATGAAATGTAGATTCATTCAGATGGGGATAATACTGTAGATGTGTACCAATAAATTATTAATTTGTTTTTTTCTGAGTGAGGTTTGTATATGGAGCAACAGGAAGGTCGAATAAACCTGTAAAATAAAAATAAAATGACAATAAATAATTAAAACTGAAGGTTGGAATTACATTAAAGTTATAAATCACGGTCTTTAACCTGACAGAAATATTTGAATACACTTTAGTGTGATTGAAACTTAACGGTTATATGGAAGGAGGTAATTAGATGAAGATTTTGAGAATAAAGATGTAATATCACCAGAATTAAGTCATAATAACATGAGAATAAAGTCACCAGAAAATAAAGTTGTTTTATAAGTATACTCAAATCAAGTCGTCTGTCTTCCCCTGGCACGGCTACAGGACTTACGTGTCCCTGGTGTCTCCGTCATCTCCCCCGTCTCTATGTTCGACTCTGTGTTTAACTTAACCGACGCCTCCCCCGTCTCCCTCACCTCCACTTTTTCCGTCGCTATCACCTAGCTAAAAATTCGTCTCAGATTGTAAGTCATGAATTAAATTGAAAAAAAGAGTCCGATGCTGCATTCGAGTTTCCTCAGAAGTCAGAAGTCCGAGCTGAAAATGATGTCTCACCTGAGTTCCCAGCGTTTCAGTTTCAAAGTTGGAATAAAGCTAAATCGGAGGCGGGAACAAGCTAGCTACATCTACGAAAGTTATTTTAGCGCTTGCCTTTTATTCGGACAAGGCGAGTGCTAACTGGAATTTACGGAGAGTCCATGGGAACTTTTAAGGCGTCAGTGGTTGTGATTTTTAAAACGGCGCTGATAGTGAGTACTTACGCTGTGAGACAGATCGGGCAGCTCCATTTCTTCTTCTTCGTTTGTTTTGTGCGCTCAGGAGTGTGCGGTAATTCACAAGATACCCAACGGTGCCCCCCCACACTATGATGGTGAAAACGCGAATTGACAGAAATTCTTGTCAATGGAAAAAAAAAATTACTTTTTTCATAGGATGGTAGGGAAAGGTCCCGCCTCCTTCGCCTCTGATTGGCTAGAAGTGCTGGGCTCTGATTGGTTATTCCTTATGGCTTTGAAACGTTGTCGTCTGTCGGGTTAGAGTTAGGAGATTCAGAATTGCGATAATGTTCCGTTCAATGTACAGAGCCGTGTGATGATGTTTCCAGCTTTTCTAGCCAATCAGAGGTGAAGGAGGCGGGACCTTCCCCGAACCATCCTAAAAAAATATATTGCACAGGGGAAACAGTTAAGACTGTCAGACAGAAGGATGTGAAGTAAAATACTGACATTTTCTTCAGAGTTAGATCTTGGTGTGTTTTTCTGTGTAACGTGTTCATGAATGAATCGTAGAAGCGATGGAGCGACTTTATCATCAGGCAGCTGAAGTTACAGAGACGTCATCTGTGTCTGCTGCATCATCTGAACTCTGCTCTCCTGTCGTAACTCCTGATGAATGTATTGATCATGTGATTGATCAGTTTTATCTGTTTGTGTGTGTTCAGATGAGGGGTGTCTGCATCGTCTCCTCCTGGTGGATCAGACGGGGAGATCAGCTGATATTGATTCTGGATCGGAGAGAGGGGATGAGCCAATGACTGCTGAGGAGAAAAACGGACCAAACAGTTCTAGAGGAAAATTGCCAAAGCTGCTGGAGGAGCTCGAGCAGGATAATCCTTATTTTTGAAGATGGGAGCGGACGTGACGGTTCTGTGGATCATTTCCTCTCTTTGTTATTATTATTATTATTATTAATATTATTATTATTATTTCAGAGACTCTCTCTCTTCTCTGCGTTTCACCCTGAGCGCCTCTCGGCTCTGACTCTGTGCTTTAACTACTGTAAACTGACTCCAGAGCAGCTCATAAACTCAGTCTGATCAGGACTCTGACCCTCCACATCGCTCAGACCTGAACCTCCGACCCCCCCGGTGCCTGAGTGATCTGCTCAAACATGGTGTTTCAAAAAGAAGGGTTTCTTTTTTTCACCCTGCAGTGTTTCTCATAAACTCCTCTGACTTCACTCTTCTGTTGTCGGGATTCGAAGAAACGAGGACTCTCCAGAAACCCCCTTTAAGGTCCTCTCTAATCCGGTTTAGTCTGAGTGATCCTGTTTAAGGTAATATTCAATCAAAGCGCCGCGTCCACGCCTCACTGAGAGCGAGGAACTTTCAGAGGAACTCCAGAACTTTCAAACCTGGGCTCTGATTTTACACATCTGCTGAAATCCCTAAATGCATTTTTACGCTCGTCCCAGTGTGAGGGGTCGACGCCAAGAAAACCTCTTCGATGGGCGCCGACATGACGGGGATGGATCTGAGACACGCTCAGGAGCCTCATTGGTCCACAGAGCTGTCAATCATGGGGTTACAACCCTTTTTACTTCATCCAATAACCAATTAAAACTGAAAACCACAACATTTGGACAAAAATCAGCCTGATAGAACGATAACGACAGAAACATTTGTATGACCTTTGACCCTTTACATGACGGTGACAGGCTTTTGCTGCGTTCGAGTTTCCTCGGTGAGCAGATGTCGGAGCTGAAAATGACGCGAGTTCCCGGCGTTTCAGTTACCGTCATAAATACGCAAAATCGGAGGCTGAAACAAAATGGCTACATCTGCAAAAGTTATTGTAGCGCTTGTCTTATATTCGGACGAGGTAGGCGCTAAAATAACTTTCGTAGATGTAGCCATCTTGTTTCAGCCTTCGATTTAGCTTTTTTTAACTTGGTAACTGAAACGCCGGGAACTCTGGGAACCAATCAGCAGAGGGAGCTCTAACTCTTTAGTTTGACAGTCAGTGAAGGTGGTCTCCTTGATGGTGTCGGTCCCGAACTCCAGAGTCTCACAGAAGGTCGACTCCTGTACCCTGTGAGTGACAGGTCCTGTTCTCTCAGCGTAGTCGGGTCTGTTTGTGAGGAGCGGTGAAAGAGCTGATCGTGGTTTAAAGTCATCTTCTCCGTCTGAGTGTGTCAGCGACTGTTGGATCAGGATTAGGTCGCAGACATGACAGACAGGATGAGCTCATCCTCCGCAGACTCTCCTGTGGAGCTGTTAGTCACGACCCCAAATCCTCTAAAAAAGCCAGTTTTCAGTTTTCAGCCCCGCCCCTTAAAGCTCAGGTCACACCATCTATGAGGGATTAAAGCTCCTGTGAGGAACTCTCCACTTTGGCGCCACCCTCTGGACAAAGCTGTACCTCATTACTCAGATTTGTCCTAAACATGTGTAAGTGGTGTTGGTTTATCACTCAGCTAAAATCTCTGCCATAAAAAATGTAAAAAGGCTGTTCCAGTTAATCAACCTACCCCCTGTCAGCAGTGTTCGACACTGAAATGACCAAACAGGAAAGTTGAACCCTCTCACAGATCATCTTGTTTGTTTTTGTTCGTCATAAAGATGCACCAACATGAATTTTAGTCTGTTCAGTAAGCAAATAAAACTCACCACAGGAGCTTTAATGTTATAAAAACTCCTCACAGGAGCTTTAATGTTATTAAAAACTCCTCACAGGAGCTTTAATGTTATAAAAACTCCTCACAGGAGCTTTAATGTGATTAAAATTCCTCACAGGAGCTTTAATGTCATAAAGACTCCTCTTATAAAAACTCCTCACAGGAGCTTTAATGTGATTAATATTCCGAAAATGAGCTTTAATGTGATTAAAAACTCCTCACAGGAGCTTTAATGTCTCAAAAATTACTCACAGGAGCTTTAATGTTGTTAAAAGTCTTCACAGGAGCTTTAATGTCATAAAGACTCCTAACATGAGCTTTAATGTGATTAAAAACTCCTCACAGGAGCTTTAATGTCATAAAGACTCCTCTTATAAAAACTCCTCACAGGAGCTTTAATGTCATAAAAAGTCCTCACAGGAGCTTTAATGTCATAAAGACTCCTCTTATAAAAACTCCACAGGAGCTTTAATGTCTTAAAAATTACTCACAGGAGCTTTAATGTTGTTAAAAATCTTCACAGGAGCTTCATTGTTATTAAAACCCCTTACAGGAGCTTTAAGGATGCCTTCCAGCTCTTAACTGAGACTTTCTTCGTGTTATTATTCTGGAGCATAACTCCCGTTTACAGCAGTTGGTGCCGCTGTATTAAAGTGAGTCTATTTCAGTGGAGAAAGTGCTGCCCAACAGAGACTACAGTTTATTTCACTCTCTATGATGGAATCTAGTGTTACTGGTTTAATGCTGAGCGCCCTCATGCCTTGGTTATCGTGTGTTAGTGCATCATTAATAACTCTGATTTGCTTTGATACAGAATTTTATCCTGTAAATAAGAACTGTTAAGGAACTGGATAAGGTAAATTAAGGCCCGGGTTAATATTTGAGGATTAATGTGTAAAACCAGGAGCCAGGTTTGAAAGTGACAGAAGTGCCCTTTAACATGGACCCAGGATCTACCATCACGTTGATCAGCTGGTTTATCACTTGGTGCCGTCATCCTCTCGCGGTTTCACTGAAGGTTTTGTAGAAATAAGAGTAACCATAGAAACGAGGTCACACTGAGAGACAGACACACTTTTCATGACGTGACAGTTTGAGTTGTTTCCTGCTGCAGTTTTCTTTACACTTAATTTGAATAAATTGTACAAAATGTATAAACTGATTCTATTTTCCTCAAATACAACATGTGTCAGTCTCTTTTATTTTTAACACAAATAGAGAGTTTTTCAACATCCAACTTTGAGTTCATCTCCGTACAAAGACAGGAGAGTTAAAAAAACAGATTATTATGGAGGGACAACCGTACGTGCCGTGATCCGAGTCCTCAGTGAGAGTCTGCAGGGTGATTTTTTCCCACAGTTCAGTCTGCCAGGATCACTGATATCATTCATAAACACTGATAGGAAGGTTATGAGGTCAGAAAGGGGCGTGGCCTGTCACTGTAACAAGCCAATGATGAGTGGGTGTGGAGCTGATGACTGATAAACATCTCAGCCAATCAGACGCCCCAAGAGAGAGGACAACAACAGCAACAGGTCCCAGAGGAGAGAGAGGGGCGTGTTTCAATTAGAGAGAGGGGATCTGTGTGTGTGTGTGTGTGTGTGTGTGATCAGATGAAACAGCAGACAGAGGTGGGAACTGAAGCTGGAGCATCATCTCAGACGCTCTCAGACTGTTATGACGGCGGTCTGACGTCCCTCTGAGAGTTACAAAAGTCAATCAGACCGACGGCGACAGGATCGACCTCCTATCACGTCGTTGTTGATACCAGAACAGATTTCTGAAGGGGAGGTGCAAAGTGACGTGATCCACAGCCTTATTCAATAAAATATCAGAGAGCCACGCCCCCAACCAAAACACCACTCTATAGCCACAAATAATGCTCAGAACAGCACCTAACTTCATCAACAGGACATATAGGGTCACAGACATAGTACTAGACACCAAACATCTTTTTAACTTTGACTCATTTCTTTAGCAAAGAGACTAAACACAACTCACCTACTCTCTTCCAGCAGACGCTTGTTTGTAGAGAGACCTCAGGCCAGTCCATTACAGACTACAGCGGGGTGCCGCAGCTCAAGGAAGAACATTTATGATCATTTCTTTATCATTTCCTTGAAGTAATAATCACCATATTGATCATTTTACAGACGCGGTAGTTCTTCTGCTTTAAGCTCCTTTCACGTTTTTTCCTGCGATTATTTCTAACGTCAATATTTTTTTTTCGAATCTGTATCCTGTCCATACAAGCGTTCACATCAGCGACGTTTTCCCGTCCTGCGATATTGCGGCTTTTTTTTTTTTGGATCACGGCCGATTTTCCTAAAGTTTCTCAGACTGTGTGTCCACTTCTGACCAATCAGATTGCATGTTGTTGCTACGTCAGATTCACCGGTAAATCCAACATGGCCGACCGGCTGATTGTTTCCGTGTCGGAGAACAGAGTGATTCTTGATAAAAGACACAAACATTACAAAGATAACGACCTGAAGGACGACTTGTGGAGAGTCATAGTGTCGGATTTCTCATCTGACGATGGTTTGTGAACTTTAACAGTTTGATAAACGTCTTTGTTTGAACTTTCATCTGTGCTAACGTAAGCTAACGGTTGTTACCATGGTTACATGTGTTTATCTGGTACTGACCCCGACTCAGTCCATGCTATCATGACAGACAGACATCTCAACACTAGAGTCTAATCAGAACTGAAAACACTCAGTCTGTTGTTGGCTCAGTTTTCTCACTTCCGACCGGGACGCGTCTTTTTCCCCCTGAAAGTCCCAAAATCGTATTGATGTGTAAAGTCAGGCGCAACAAAATTTGCCTCCGAATATTTCATAATTTTGTGTCGTATATTTGCGTCGTTCCCGGTGTGTAAGGACCTTTAGCGTCTCGGTCTGATTGTATTTCCATGAAGAAATGATCATAAATGTTCTTCCTTGAGCTGCGGCACCCCGCTGTAGTGGACTGGTCTGAGGTCTCTCTACAAACGAGCGTCTGTCCTTCTAACATTTTAAGGACAAAGTGAAAAGAAAGGAGGAGCAGAAGTTCTGATCACCTAACCAACGTGAACGTAGTTTATTCTGAGGCCTTTACTGACATCATCACCTGCTCGCACTTCTGCGTTTCTGTTGACCACGCTGTGTATCACGGGTTTGGTTCATGTCTACCTTTGAGGGATCCATCCTGGTTACCATGGTGATGTAACTGATAAAGCTGAATACCTCATTAACCTTTGTGTGTCTGATCAGATGAAACAGCAGACAGAGGTGGGAACTGAAGCTGGAGCATCATCACACACACACACACACACACACACACACACACACACACACACACAGATCCCCTCTCTCTAATTGAAACACGCCCCTCTCTCTCCTCTGGGACCTGTTGCTGTTGTTGTCCTCTCTCTTGGGGCGTCTGATTGGCTGAGATGTTTATCAGTCATCAGCTCCACACCCACTCATCATTGGCTTGTTACAGTGACAGGCCACGCCCCTTTCTGACCTCATAACCTTCCTATCAGTGTTTATGAATGATATCAGTGATCCTGGCAGACTGAACTGTGGGAAAAATCACCCTGAAGACTCTCACTGAGGACTCGGATCACGGCACGGATCAGGGATGCTGGTTTTGGACCGTCCCTCTCCTATCTGTGTGATTTATTAGATTTAAAAAAGCAGATGTTTTTCACAAACACACCAGCTGTTTCAGTTCCAACTTTGAATTATTTTAAATCCTTAAAGTCTTTTTAAAGGATCTCAAACCTTAAAATTGAGTTTTTATCCATTTTCAGGGTTTCCCATTTTTGTAAAAGTTTGTGGCGTTTACGTCTGTGATCGTTCGGACATTTAAACTTATTAAATAAAAAAAAGCACACATTAAAGTTGAAGATATCATAAAATAATTTTAAAAATGTCAGTATATTGTGATAAAATTTCACAGTAGAGTATTTTTTAGAAAAGAATCATATTTTAGGATGATAAAAAAGAGATTGTATAGTATGACAAAAATATCATAGTATGATAAAAATGTCAGTACAGTATGATATCATAGTAGAGTATTTTTTTAAAAATTATATTTTAGGATGATAAAAGTGTCACTGTATAGTATGTTATAAATGTCATATAAAAGTATTATAAAAATGGTTTTGTATAAAGGTCTTGCAGACAGCTGAGTGGGTTAAAGAGCATCTATGGGAACCACAGAACTCACAACAGTCAAGGGTTCAAATCCAACTCCAACCATGTCTACCTTCCCCATTCAAATCTATCCTATCAATACAAGAAAAAAATACTTCAAAAAAGGAATAAAATAGTATGATAAAGAAAAAATCATGTCATATTATAGTACGATAAAAATATAAAATTTAAGTATGATAAAAATTTCACATTTTAGTGGATAAAAATGTAATTAAATGATGTGATAATTTAATATGCTAGTATGAAAAAAATCATATTTCAGTATGAACAAAAATTTTATAGTATTTCAAATTTTAAGATAAAAAATATTTGACTATGAGCAAAAAGTTAAAGTTTAATAAAAATTTGATAGTAAAGTATGTAAAAATTTCATATTTTAGTACAAAAAATTCCATAGTATAGTATGATAAAAATATCATGGTATAGTATGATAAAGTTTCATACTATTGTATGTTAAAGATATTATATTTTAGTATGAAAAAAATGTATTTCACTATGAGCAAAAAGTATAGTATGATAAAAAAAAGACATAGTATTGTTTGTTAAAATTTCAAATTTTATTTTGAAGAAAATTTTCATATTCTATAATGAAAACAAAGTCATTGTACAGTACGATTAAGTTGAGGACATTTTAAAATACTTTTATTTTTCATCAGGACACAAACATTTGTGCTCATGATAAAAATGATCAGAGAGACAAACATTTCCTCCAAACATCACCAACTGTTCCTTTAAATTCAAAGAAACTGAATCTGGTTACTGATCCACCTGCTGAGAGCGCAGATACACACTCTAAAACACACACACACACACACACACACACACACACACACAGCATCGTCTCATTTTCCCTCAGAGAAGATCAAAATTAACTCGTCACATTAATCTGCCGTAAAAAAAAACCGACATTCACATTCTTCTTCTTCTTCTTCTTCTTCTGCTGGACGAGTAACCATGAGTTCTTCTTCTCTGGTGGAACTAAAGCAGAAACGTACAGACTCACTGGAGTCTGATAAATGTGAATATCACATGACCTTTGACCTCCGAAACATCAACATGTGTTTTTGAAGGACCAAACTGTTTTCGACAATCCCGGACTCTTCTGGAGCCAACACTGTGGACCAGAACCACAGTCCTGGTCCTGCTGGTCCACCTGTACTCAGGTGAAGCTCAGGTGTAGAGATCCTCCACAGTCAGAGTCTCCATCACTCTCACAGCTGGAGTTTGGTGACAGCGCCCCCTGCAGTCTGTCCTCCTGCTCGTCACTCCCCTCTGGGCTCCAGGGGGCGCCGCCGAGCTCCTGGTCTAACAGGACCCCATCCAGGAAGTTGATGTACCTGAGGGCCAGGCGCAGGATCTCGTTCTTGCTGAGTTTCCTGTCGGGGGGGTGCGTGGGGATGAGGCGCCGCAGCTCGGCGAACGCCCCGTTAACGTTCTGCTGCCGCCAGCGCTCACGACTGTTGGTGGAGATCTGACGGGCGAGCCGGGGCCAAGACCCTGAGGGGGGAGGAGAGAGAGGAGGGGGTGAGGAGAAACCAGGTCTGAGGACCCCTGTCGGCCCCCCAGGAACATGATCTATTTACTAATTGATTAAACCTCATTAATATTCACGTTTCTATCATGCTCTGTCCTTTTAAATTCAATTGAAGTCATTTCTATTCAATTTTCATTTTTCCTTTTATTTTTATAAATTACGTTATATTTATTTATTTTCTTTATATGAATATTTAAATCTTGATTATATTAATTTAAGTTATTGTATTTTTATCTTAAATCCTATGTATTTAAATTCTTTTGTTTAAACAATTTTCTGTATTAAGTTTAAAAATGACTTATTTATCTATTTGATGTCATTCATTTTCATTACTTATTGTATTTTTTTAAATCATATTCATTTATATTTAAGTTTTATTGTTTATTGCAATACAAACATTTATCAATTTCCATTAGTTTTATGTATTTTATTTTATTCATTTATTTTTTGTTTTTTTAATGCTTTATTAATCTTATCTTCTATTATTTAATTCTATTTATTTATTCATTTTTTTATTTAATTGTGTTTATTTTTACCAGTTATATATTTTTAAATTCTTCTTTTATTTTTTAATGTATTTTTTTATTTTGTTTATATAAATATATAATCATTGATTATATTAATTTAAGTTTTTGTATTTTTATCTTAAAACTTATGATTTAAATTCTTTTCTCTCTTGTTTAAACAATTTTCTGTTTTTAATTTGAAATGACCTATTTATCCATGTGATTTCATTTATTTTCATTACTTATTGTTTTATATTTTTAAATCATTTTCATCAACATTTATGTTCATTTTTTCCAGTTATTTATTTTTAATTCTTCGTGTTCTGTTCTTATCTTTGTCATTTTTATTTATTATTGTTATTTTATTTCATAATTATCACTGTTGTTTTTTTCATATTGATTTATGTTTTTATCATTTATTTTATTTTTTGATTTAATTTGATTTGATCTAAAAACAAAAACCTCGGACTGTTTCTTTAAATGTTTGAGTTCAGTTTAATCTTCTCTTACCGTCACTGAGCTTCATTTTGTACCGAGAAGATCTTTGGGTCATCACCGGACATCCATCTGGATCACTACACACACACACACACACACACACAGGTCAGTGGGTTTATCGACAGTAAATGTTCTTGGTCTACCTGTCAGTGACGAAACTCAGAAAAGTGGAGCTTCATCCGGGTTCTTTTCTCACCTGTTGAAGGTGTGGAGGTTCAGAGGGGCCTCGTGCAGCATCTCAGCAAAGTTCGGTTCCTAATCTCAGGGTCCGGTGTTGTGTTCAGGGTCCGGTGCTGTGCTCAGGTCTGTCTCTGTCTCGTCTTTTATACCGTCCCGCGTGCCTCTCTTGGCGTGTCGTGACGCCTCGTTTCCATGGAGACCGCATTAACAGCGACAGTCCCATTGGAGCAGACGTCCAGGGGTTCCAGGAAGCTGCACCCCAGGGACCTGCAGGCTCCAGCGGGACCCGCCTCCCCGCACCCCGCCCCCCGCTTCAGGAGTCGTATTTTCCGGCGTCAGATCCTCCCTCGTCACGACCCGGAGCTCCGTGATCCTCCGTGATCCTCCGGACAGGAACTCAAACAGGTTTGGAGGAAACCTTCAGGACAGAAAGGAAACAGAAGAAAAGCTGTTAAAGAAAACAGACATGCTCAGGTTTTCTTTTTGTATTTCTGTGTTTAAAGTTTGTAATAATTTCAATTATTTATATTTAATCAAACTCTGAAGTCACTCAGTAGGATTCATCTGTAGTTTTTTTTTCAAATTACATTTAAAAACTGTAAATTATTCTGTTTTTTAAGGAGTCAGAAAACTGAAACAAACCAAAATAAAACCAGATTTGAAAAAACTCGAGAGGAGGCCAGATGCAGCGCAAGATGGCGGACCCAAAGACCAAAAACCGCAACAAAAAACCGCCATAAGTTTCCGCATTACCTCAGATTGGCGGAAAAACAATTACTTCCGGTGGAAAGGCTTTCTCGTTGGCGGACTTCCGGCGCCGAAATACTTCAGGTAGTCGGATTTAGTCGCCGGATCCTTTTTTTTTTGCTCCGTTCATTCCATAAGAATCGAATTAAATTTATTATTGAGCTAAAAATCAAAATCAAAATAAAACGTTTATGTATTAAGTATGTTATGTATTGTTATGTATCATGACTACTGTTTTGTTCTGATTTAATTCTGAAGTTTACAGTAATATGTATATATAGCCTGATGTCCTCATATTCTGATAATTTGTCAGAATAGGTAAATGTATGTAGAAGTTATCATCTTACTCAAATTCTTTTGTAAGAGTTTGCTACAAGTATGGACTGTTTTAACCTCTCGTTACACATCATATAACAGTGTTTTCTAACTTTTCTCTCCAATAGCTTTATTACACAGCACATCAATGTTTCTTAACTTCTCTGTGACCTTGTTTCTCCACTCCTATTAGGACCTCGTTTAATGTCAACAATGTTGCCCTGACCCTCACATATTTTCTGTTGTTCATAATTATGTTTTATGAGAGTGCTTATGTTGCTGCACAAATTTACTCCCCCCATCCTTTAGTAACATTGTGTAACCAGGGACATCATTTATGAAATGGTGTGCTTCCTGGTGAACCTCTTCAGGATTGCTTGACTGTGCAAAATCCAAGTATACAATAGTTGTAGAGACACAAGTCACATGATCTCTTTAAGGTTCAGAAGAGCCATATAGCAAAAACAATTGAATAGCGATATCATTACAGACTGTGTAAAGAAATGGGAAATTGTCATACAACTGCTTTGAAGATTTCTTTAATATTTTCCAAACAAAATTGTGAACAGTAAAAAAAAATATATATATATACAAAATTCAGCACTGCCGTCGGTGTGGTGGGGGGCTTAAAACACGTTGCCACAGGCCATCATCAGCTCTGCTCTGAACCGGTTGATGCCATGCTCCTTCAGTGCTTTGATCAAAAGCTGAAAAACAGTCAAATAATGTGAACAATTGAAGTTATGCAGTATGGGTTAATTGTTGTTCTTGAGCTTTCCAAATGAATAAGAACAACCTCTTAACAATATCATCAATTTTCAAAGCAAGCTATATAGTTTGATCTACTCACCTCTGGGAGCATGACGTCAAAAACGAAATCAAGCAGATGAATCTCGCCTCTCTTTATTTTTTTAGCAATGTTTGTTGCCACCTCAATGAACCGCAGGAGCTCGAACATCTATTGAAGAAAAACACAGAAAGTAAACACCTTTCAAATGTAACACCCCTGAGAGTAAAAATACTCATGATGGATGGCATTTTTACTTACGCGCTGCTCACTCCAACTTAATGTCTTTATCTTGAGGTGCTGCTTGAGTCGGAGTGAGGTGGCGGGATTCCTCCAAAGGAACATTCGGTTTGAGCGGAGCTTTCCGGACAGGAGATCATCATGTAATGTCTGAAACCAAAGAGCAAGAGACAAAAATGTAATCATCTGAAAAAGAAACGGTGGCTTTAACAACTGATAGTGCATTCAAAAGCAACCTTGATCTGTGTCTTAGAAAAGACAGCATGAATTCTTCCACTGTCGACAGCATCCTTGATCCTGCAGAGAAATAAGAAAAGAGCAAGCCCTCATTTTTTCATCCTTTGAGCCTCGTATTTTTGACTGATACTATGTTTCCTTGATAAATTATGTTATACCGAGGATGCTCAATGGAGTCCTCGCACCCGCAGTCAAACGGCTCCATTTCAATCCCAGCACAATCCTGATGCAGCCAGCCCCTGCACGTCTTGCACTGGACCCATTTGATCAATTTTACCTCAGGGTAAAGCAATCTTATCAAATGAGAGACAAACATAATATTAAACAAACACGCTGTCCAATTGATTATACCTCTGCAGCACATTTGAATGTATAAATAATTTTCCTGCATGATTCGTGCATTTAAACTATATGTAAAAGTGGTCACTTCATGGAAAATCACTGAATAGGCCCCGATAATTGCATTTATTAAATTGAGTCTGCAACACACCTCTCTCCTGTGTTGTTCGATGTCTGGTAGACACAGAATTGCATCGACTCTGCCATGCACATTCTTCGGACATCCGATGCCGTCTGCGTCATGGTTTCCTTAACAAGTCAATTTGAAAAGTAACATCAATTACCAAATACATCGAGACAATGTTGATCCATACAACTATGTGCATTTTGAAGGACTCCCACTGAGATAATACTGTTTTTACAAGGCAATTTTCTAACCTCTATGTCCTGCTGCTCTGCCTTCCTCTTTAGACTGAAGACCGGAGTATGCTTTCCAGCAATGAGCTCTTGACATTCTTTGGTCCAGTGGGCGAAGATTTTCCCACAACTGTAATGACAATATGTCTTTAAGTACAATATATTGATTGTCTTCCAGTTAATTAGGACATCTAGTTTACTTAAACTGTCTACCTGTTCAAAGAATTGTTCTCCAGGAGCAACAGGCACCACCATCGCCGCCAAACAGGCATGTCATGCTGAAATTGTTGTTTGTATTTCATTTTAGTGCACAATACAAAATACAATCTTGAGGATGACACTGCGTGTTGAAAAGTACTTACAACTGAGTAGTCAAACTGTGACTCCATAACGATGTACATGGCAGACTTAAAAAAAAAATTATGAGACAGCATGTGAGATAACTTTAAAAAAGTCCATGTTGGAAAGTTATTCTAGATACAATATTTGTGCATTACAGCTCGTTATGACCTACCGTCAACATGAAGATTCCACAGTCTGAGCCAAAGTCCTGGATGGGGAAGCCCTGATTAAAATAATATAAAATAATATTTTCCTTACCGTTGTTTCGCTGTACAAATGCGCATTGTAAGGTGTGTGCTCCTGTAACGACGTCGATTGAGTTCTTCTTCTTCTGTAAATTTTGCCGTCAGAAAGTGTAGGTACATACCGCCACCTACTGTTCTGGCATCGCAAAGCAGAAGTTCAAAGTTCATGTTTTGGGTCCGCCAATCGGAGGTAATGCGGAAACTTGTGGCGGTTTTTTGTTGCGGTTTTTGGTCTTTGGGTCCGCCATCTTGCGCTGCATCTGGGTACTCTTGAAAAACTCTGAGTGGTTTGAAAGATCTTTAACTCAAACAGCAGACTTAGTTTTTTTTTTAATTTTATTTATTGCAAACATATAACAAGACATGCAAAGGAGTGAAATGCAACATGAATAATCTTAGAAACAAGAAAAAACAAGAAATAAAAAAAAACAACAACAACAACACCAACGAAAACAATAACAAGAGACAAAAACCAATAAAAAAACAAAAACAAAGAAAGATAATGGTACATCAGCAAAAAAGGCAAGAAGAGCAAAAGTACACAGCGGTTCAGAATGTATGGTAAGGAATATTGTCTCTTGATTGTGTGGATGAGTTCAATGTATGTAGTTCAGGGGCAAAACATTATGTTAAAATATATATATATAAAGATAAAGAAAAACTAATAAGCAATAGGACATGAAAGAAAATAATAATAAAATAATAATAATGATAAAAAATATATATTTTAGTATGAAGATAATGTCAGTATAGTTTTTTAAAATTGTCATATTATAGTTTGTCAAAAATTTCATATTTGAGTATGGAAAACATTTCATAGTAAATTATGAAAAAAAGTAAAGGATTTTAATTTATTTTAAAATAAAAAAAAATCATATTTTAGAATAAAAACAATATGTACTAGCATAGTATGATTGAAAATTCATATTTTAGTATGAAACTTTTACATTTTTTTGATAAAATAAATGTCATAGTACAGCATGATAAAAATAACATAGTATAGTATGATAAAAATATCACAGTATGGTTCGTTACAAAAAATTATATTTTAGTATGAAAATTAATGTCTCAGAATAGTATGATAAAAATTTAATATTAGTTTGAAAAAATTCATACTGTGGTATGATTAAAAATGTCAAAGTACAGTTTGATAAAAATTTCATATTTTAGTATGAAAGAAAATGTCTCAGTATTGTATGATAGAAATGTCACAGTATAGTATTTTAAAACTTTTATATTTTAGTATGAACAATTATTTCATAGAAGAGAATAATAAAAATGTTATATGTTAAGTTTGAAAAAATTCATATTGTGGTATGATAAAAATGTCAAAGTATAGTATGTTAAAATTTTCAATTTTAGTGTGAAGAAAATGTCATACTATAGCATGACAAAACTGTCAGTTTTTAAAAAGTTCATATTTTTGTTTAAAAAAGTGTCCTAGTTAAGTATGTTTAAAATGTAAGGGATAGTTTGTTAGAACTTTGATATTTTATTACAAAAAACATATTTTTGTGTTACTCATGTGATACAAATGTCATAGTATAGTCTGTGAAAAATTTCATATTTTAGTATGAGAAAAATGTCATAGTAAAGTGTGATAGAAAATGTCATGGTATTGTATGTTATAAATTTATTTTAGTGTGAAAAAAAATATATTATAGTAAGTAAAAAATGTCATATTTTAGTATGAAAAAGAGTTTTGCATGTCATAATCAAGCTCTCAGGCTGTTACAAAATCGGGAGGCGTGCTGACGTAGACTGCAGTCAAGAAACAATTTATTGCAACAAAACACAGAGGAAATATGACAATTATGACAAGTCAGTTTTCCCAACAACGAAGCCATTGGCCTTTCCGTGTTGGACGCTCGGATATGTTGCACTATAATAGAGAGAGAGAGAGAGAGAGAGAGAGAGAGAGAGAGAGAGAGAGAGAGACTGAACTCAGGAGGAGGATTTAAAGCTGAGGACTACACCGGGGCCTGATCTCCTGATGCGGATGACCCTGTTTCCACCTGACCCTGAAACTGAGCACACAAGAACACAGAAAGCAGCAAACCAGACAAACAGGAGCACCTAGTGGTAGGGAGCAGTCACTGCACATATCTCAGTATGAAGAAAATGTCATTATATCGTGTGTAAAAAATTCAAATCTATTCTATCAATAAAGTGAAAAAAAATCTTTTATAAAAAGTCATAGTATACGATGAAAAAAATGTCATAGTATAGTATGAGAAAAATGATTTTGCATAAAAAGCTTGCAGATGGCTCAGTTGGCTAGCGGGCATGCATGGGGACTATAGAACCCACAGCAGCCACGGGTTCAAATTCAACCCCCACCGTGTTCTGCATGTCCTCACCCATCTCTCTTATTCACATCTATCCTGTCAGTATGGGATACCTCCACGTAACTATTGAAAAAATAATAAAAATATAAAGTGTGATAAAGAAATTCAAATCATAGTATGGTTTGATAAAAATATCAAACTGAAGACTGATAAATATTTCACATTCAAGTGTGAAAAAATGTCATAGTATGGTATATAAAAAATGTAATATTTTAGAATGAAAAAAGTCATAGGAAAGTATGATAAAAATATCGTATTTAAGTTTAAAAAATAGTATTTTAGCATGAGAAAACATGTCATGGTATAGTATGATTGAAATGTCACAGTATAGTTTGTTAAAAAAATTATTTAAGTGTGGAAAAAAAAAATCATAGTATAGCATGATAAAATGTCATGGTGTGTATGTGAAAAATTTCAAATTCAACTGTGAATAAAAATCATATTTCTGTATGAAAAAAATGTCATAGTAAAGTTTGTTTAAAAAATGTCATATTTTAGTGTAAAAAAAAATTAGTATAAAAAAATTCAAATTCAAGTATGAAAAAAATGTCATAGTATAGCATGTTATAAAATTTTATAGTTATGTGTGGAAAAAAAAATCATATTTTAGTTAAGAGAAATGTCACAAAAAAGTATGATGAAAATTCATATTTTTGTGTGAAAAAAAGTTCATTTCCAAGTATAAAAAAATGTCATAGTACAATATTATAAAAACATCATATTTAAAATAGGAAAATATTTTTCTTATTTAAGTGTAAAAAAAAAGTAATAGTATAATATATTAAAAATGTCATATTTTAGTGGGGAAAAAAAATCATATTTTAGTAAAAAAAAATTGCATAGCAAAAATGATAAAATGTTATAGTATACCATTTAAAAAATTTCCAATTCTAGATATTTAAAAAATATTATTACATAGCATTTTTAAAAAGTCAAAATATAGAATGTTTAAACGTCTTTTTTTTTATATGAAAAAAAGTTACAAAATAGTATGATAAAAATGGCGTGGCAACTAGCAAGTATAAAAATATGACACTTTAGTATGTGACAAATGTCATAGTATATTTAACTAAAGTGTCATAATATAGTATGTAAAAAATTTCATATTTAGGAATGAGAAAATATATCTTCAATCAAAAAGTGTCATAGGATAGTATGACAATAATGTCTAAGTATAGTATGAAAAAACATATTTTAGAAATTTCATAGTATCATGTAATAAAAATGTCATATTATCGTATAATTAAAAATGTCAAAGTATAGTATACAAAAACATATTTAAGTATAAAAAATTGTCTCAGTATAGTATGATACAAATGTCAGAGTATAGTATTTTAAAAATGTCATAGTATAGTATCTTAAAAATTGCCAATTTTAGTGTACATTTTTTAATATGTTTGTATAAAAAAATGTCCTATTTAGTATGAAAAAAACATGCCATATTTTAGTATGGACAAAAAAGTTATAGTATGTTATGATATAAATGTCAAAGTTTAGTTTGATAACAATTTCATAGTATAGTATGTTAAAAATTGCCAATTTTTATGTCAAAAATGTTTTTCTATGTTTGTATAAAAAATGTCAAATCTCCTTGTAGTATGACAAGAATTTCATAGTACAGTATAAATAAATGTCATAATTCAGTATAAAAAATGTTATAGTACAGTAAGATAAAAATTTCATACTACAGAATGCATATCATAGTTAAGTTTGAAAAACAATGTCATAATATTGTATGATAAAAAGTCATTGTACAGTATATCAAATATTTTATATTTTGTTATTAAAAAATATCATAATATCACATGATAATGATGTCACAGTATAGTATGATTAAAATATCATAATATAGTATGTTTAAAAATTAGTGTTAAGTATGACAAACAAAATATCAAAGTATTGCATTTTTAAAATATCATAGTACAGCATAAAAAAGTAGTATAATAGTATAGTACAATGAAAATGTCATAAAACAGTTTAAGAATTAAACGATATGAAATGATTTGATAAGAATGTCATCGTGTATTATGATAAAAAATATCATATTTTAGTATTAAAAAATGTCATAGTATTGTATGATTAAAATGTTATAGTACAGTTTGTTAAAAATGTCACAGTATAGTTCAATAAACATGTTATAGTACAGTATGATAAAAATATAATATAATGTGATAAAAATGTCACAGTGTGGTTGTTAAAAATAACATAACATAGTATTATAAATGTATTATATTATAAAATAAATCTATGTTAAGTATGATGAAAATATTATGGTATAGTATGTTAAAATATTACAATATAGTACAATAAAGATGTCAAAGTATAGCAAGATAAAAAATATCATATTATAGTATAAAAAAATGTCATAGTATTGTATGATAAAAGTGTGTGATGGTGAGATGAAGCCTCCTGAAGGACTCATGGGCTGAAGCTTCATTGTGCTTAATTTGTTCTCCTGCGCCATCAAGTGGACAATAAATATAAAACAGGCAGAGTGATTATCAAAGACACCCGAGGCTTCATTCATTTAACCAATGAATGAATATGATGCCAGGTGTTTGTGATACCAATACAGAAACGATGAAGTTATTGATCTGGTGTCTGTCTTTACGATGATGGTTGGGGGTTGTGATGTGAATGTGCTTGTGTTACTTTGTTTGTGACTGTGCTTCTGTTATTGGGACAACATAGAACATGTAAACATTTCAAACATTTTTATTCAACAACAACAACTTCTCAACAAGTCTCAAGTCTACGCATTACAATTCGCTGCCCCTTAAATTTCGATCCGCCAAACCCACAAAACCAGTTCCTGGATCAGTCACCGAGTACGGCCACCCTGAGAGGCTTCGATCGTCATCAACACAAGCTTCGATACGCGCTTCACGGAAATTTTCTAGGATTGCTCGACACACACTCTGAAGCCTCGACACTGAAGGACACTACATTTTTTTATTTTGGGGGTGATTTTATCAGGTAGGCTGAACTAGCTTAGCTCGAGCGCAACTGTGCCTCATTGTTGCAGCCTCCGTCTCAGTGACACTGTGTAACGCTCAGACGATAAAAAACGGTTCAAAAACATTTTAAATTAAATATTTTGATATCGTGGTGCACACTGACAAAGACTAAAACAACAGAGAGGTGTTTTCAAATGTTTTTACATTTTGGGGGCATTTAAAAGAAACTTGAAATAAAAAATCAATCAATCAATCAAAAGTTGCGAGAGGAAACTGTAGAGGGCAGCACTGAGTGTTGATTTGCTGCTTAATCTAGATCACATGACAAGCAATAGTGGCGCAATTAGAATTTGTAGTTTTATTGATACTTCTACTATCATCATGGTTATGTATGAAATTTTATATTTGGTCATACATTATTCTTATCCATTTTATTTCATGATAAATATAATGAAATAATAATCTTTATTTGTAAAGATAAAAAAATATATTTAAATCCATATTGAAATACAACAAAATGTTAAATATAAAAAAATAATCATAGCAGTGATAGAAATGATCAAATAAAAACATTTTTAATAGTTAGGTAATATTACACTGATTGATTATGATAATAACTACCGCCACACGGGGCACCGACGGGCCTGAGCGGTGTCGCGCCGCTCCCTCTGTAAACCACCACCCCCTGCTCTCCACAGCAGCCCTCACCTTTAAGATGGCGGGTACTTCCACTGCCTTTGAGGGTTGTAGGTCATTTACTGCGAAAGCACCTAAAAATGGCCTCCTTTAAATCAAACCATTTACAGTTTTGATGTTACAGACCGAGGACTCTGATGGTTCCTCTTTTCCAGAAGGTTCTGTGTGATCTATCATGGAAATGTACTCCATCACATGTATTTATGTGAGCATTAAAAGAGTGAAAATAATGAGGCATTTAAAAACTGTGAGTGATGAAACGAAACGGAACAAACAGAATAAAAGAAACTGCAAAGCTGACAGCAACTGTTTTATTTCATGACAGGTTTACAGCAGCTCCTCTTCAGGCCCACACACCTTCACAAAGACAAACACCCGTCTGTTCACAGCAAATATGAAACCATGAAACTCAGACTTTAGTTAGAGATGAACTGATGAACTGATGAACAGTCAGAGAGTGAAATATGCGCCCACTGTTTGGGTTACGAAGAGCAGCCAGTCTGGTCTCTCAGACCGTCTTCCTGCAGCCTTACACAACGCCACATTTCCGGATGTTTTTTTACCGCTTCAATAAGACCCACAATCACAAATGCACCTTTTTCTTTGGGGGCGTGTCCTCTCAGGCGCTCTGGCAGCACTTACGGCCTCAAATCACAACGAGCACAAGTGTGGTGACGAACTTTCGGATGTGGAAGGAGTCGGTGGTTTCGCATCGCTGTAAAACAAAACGTCATCCTTTACGAGACATCTTAAACTCTGTCCACGATGTCACGATGACTGCAACGTGGAGACGTTCAGAGAGAGCGATTTTAAAATCCTTGAGGATTTCCTGACGTGGTTCATGTGAGCGCGTTGTTTCACGTGGATGGATTGATCTGGAGTTTGTCTTTCGCTCTTGTGGGGTTAAATCTTATTTGAGCACTGACGGAGTGAAATAGGCAGCGATGATTCTGAAGCTTAAGGATCGGGGACTAAACGGGTGCAGAGAAAAACCGTGGACCAGAATTAGTTCAATGAGAGGGATGGTGCACCGCATTCAATGTGTGGAACGATATGCAGGCGTGGAATCGTTCAGTCTGGATTACCCCGGACAAAAATTATTATGGAATCAAAATTAAAATCTGATCAGTTGTTGAGCACCGGTGAACGTTGATCGTGGAGCCAGAGCGACCGCAAACATCTGCAGAATGAGCGAAGACTTTAAAGACCCGGGGGGCAGGATGTAGCAAAGCTTTTGACTGCAGCGACAATGAACATGCTGGAATCAGCAGCGTGAGTTACCCCCAGTTTCAACCGTATCTGGAACGGTTACGAAAAGGCCGATCGTAGCTGATCGTAACCATTCAAGTTAACGTGTCAATTTACACCGACTTCTTTCCGTTCCTCTGCGGATCGCTGGACTCCACAGCCGATCGCAAGAGTAACAGACGCTGAAGCATGGCGGATAAATTCAGCACAGATTAACCGGTGCTGGAAAGGAAGTCGGGCACAGACACAAAATAAAACATCCGGCTTCTTTTCAAAATAAAACACTCCGTGTTTCAGGAGGATCGTATTTCACACCATGCAAACGGGCGGAGACGAACAAGTGAAAGGTTTTTAGACGTCATTTCACCCTGATGACACCATGGATGAGGAGATGCTGATTCTAGAAGTCTAAAAGTAGATTTCCTCCTCTGGAAGGACACAATCTACTGCTTATATGTCTATGTGTCTGTCTTTAGAGAGACAACTCGTTATCGTGTGATTGGACGTGAATCTGCGGGTTCTCGTGAGTTTTCGCGATTCCTGCTTCCCATAATCAGCCACGGAATTCGCCTCACAAACGGATCCAGTAGGAATTGGGGGATGGCATGCCATTCCAGATCGGAGCCGTTACAGATGCAGTGAAACTGGGGGTTAGCAGTAATGGGAGACCTACATAGGTGTGTGGTCCAGTGTTCAGTCAGTAAGGTTTCCGGTGAGAGATCCACCCCTCAATCTGAACTGGGCTTTCTACTCTCTTATTTGCATTTGGTTTCCTGACTGGTTTGTAAAAGTTGGGCTGTGTGGGCTCCATAGATTTGTGTCTAAGACAACACGGACCAGTTGCTGTGGAGGAACAGGACCATGTCGAGGTTGAGGGGCTCGATGGAGCTCCTTTGGTTGCAGAAGCGTTCACCTGCTCTAGAGAAAGCTCTCTCTAAAGGCACAGCTGTGGAGACGACCCCGAGCTTCTTCAGAGCCAACTTGCTTAGTCCTCCAAACTTGGTTCCTCCTGTGATCCTCCACCAGGACAAAGGGTTGGACTTCTCTGCCGTAGGTGTGTAGGCCATGTACTCGGTGAGGACGTTGTCCAGCTCTGCAGTAGGACATGGAGATGCAGTGAGCTCTTGTTTGATTTTCTTGAGGGCCTCTTCTTAGTTTTGCTCCCCCAGCTTGTCTTTGTATCTCGGGTCGAGGAACGTGAAGACAGCCATCGCGTGTTTGCTGATGTCTCCGAACTCTTCTTTACATATGGACCGTAACTTCTTGGCAACAACGTTCCCCTTCCTTTCTTCTTCTCTGGGACCTTCCATGAGTTTCATCAGCACAGGCAGCACAACTGAGATGGACTGGAAACCCTCGGTCTTCATCATGGCCGTGGCTCTCTTCAGAGGAATCAGGGCTGATATGATATTCTGGACTTTCACTGTTTCGTCTTCGTTGAGAATTAAATCGATTTTCTTTTTCTGGGCGAAAACTACCACCATGGCCTCACGCTGCTTCATCACTCCTTCAAGCATGTCTAACCAAAGGAGCCATCTGTCCCCACAGTACAGGTTCAGCTCTTCTTCTGCAATGTCTCTGAGCTTCCCCTCGGCTTCAGGATCCAGCTCAAAGAACTTGACGATGTTCTGGCACTTCCTGAAAACACCATCCAGATCCTCCTCACTCATCAGAGCTTTGAACACCACGTTCAAGGTGTCGGCAAAGCACGGCATGACCATCCAATTGACTGGAACTCGTTTCAGCTGAGGCAGGCTGGCTCTGACGACACTGTGGACCTTCTCTTTCACACCCCAAGCTTCCATGATGGCCTTCAGATGACTTTTAATGTTGTCTGCAGATTCATCTCCAAAGAGGCACACCGTACTGAGCATGTAGGATTTGAGATTCCCCAGATTGTCGACAAAATGGCAGCTCACCGTCAGGAAGGAGTCTTCGGCTCTGTAAGACCACGACTCACATGTCAGACTCATGTCATCAGCGTTGCTCAAGATGGACTTCAGCGCCTGTTTCTTTTCGCTGTAGGTCTTGAGCAACTGAGAGCGGATCACCGACGTGGTCGGGATTTCAAGAGAGGGGTCTAAAGTTGTGAAGAAATCCCGAAAGCTTTGATTGTCTACTGTTTCCAGGGCAGATGGAGTCGATACGATCATCTTCAACAGACGTCTTTTAAGGGTCAGGACCTCCAGGTTTCCGCCTGTTGAGGACAAAAAGATAAAGAGTTTTCAGAGGGTCTCTCTGACAGCACTGACTCCGAAACATTTACCTGCTGTGAGAAATATCAATGAAAAATATGTGCTCAAAAAGTCCAGCATCAGCGCTTCTTTAACAACGCCGGCCTGATAGAGGATTTCAGCTGCTCAGAAGCTACCAGACCTCCACATCTTATTTATAGCTTTCAATGGGGGACAAGTTAGGACTGCATCAGTCCAGTTCCTCAGCAGGACTCTTCTCCTACAGAGCCATGCTGTTGTCAGAATGTGGTTTGGGATCATATGAAGGTCTTCTCTGAAAAGTCATTCAGTCCGTTTCCATGACACTCAAGAAAACCGAATTATCGCCATATTCCGATTCAGACCGGACAACTGAAGGTCATGTAAACACCTTAGTCCGACTATAATCAGAGTTTAAGAACTCTGATTAAGACACCCAGATAATGAGATTGGAATTCGATTTTCTCTACCATGTAACCAGCGTAGTCGGAGTATGATCGGATACAGGCCACGCCCCCGTAATCCCGTAACAAAACCCCAGAGTAGAGGAGTAGTGTTGGTCTCATCTTTAGAAAAAGTAGCGCGTCCATCATGTCGGACAAAAACTTTTTTCAAACTTAACTTTGTTCGGTCTGTTCATGTGGACAGAAAACCTGAGATTTTAGGACACGCTGACTTCACTCACACAGAGCCACTGTTGTTTGTGATGAGCACGGCACCAGCTTTAAAACATCTTGGCTTGGTTTTATTTCATCTTTACGGAGAAAATCTTGTTCTTTGTCACAACAGCGGCAGATAAACACAAAATATTCGCTGGTTTTAATTCACCACTTAGGCTGTGTCTCATTTCAGAGACCGCATCGACCTAAGTGCCCTTCTGCACCGTCGAACGGTGCATTAGAAGTGTGCATGACGTCACGACGGTGCAAACGGTGTCCCGTTTGGCACGAGATGCTAAAAAATGCTAAGCGCGCTTAGCATGTTTTCAAGCGTGCATTTATCCACGCTTTCGTGCCGTCGGTATCCCAGAATCCTTTGCGTGCCGCTGCACAGCTGTGCATTTCAGGTGAGAGGCTGGACTCGCTTGGAGACGCAGCGCGTCTTCGAAGAAAATACAAGAAATCCAAAACCAGCAGACAGTCAGCTCAGGCTGTATGAGAGCATGATCTCTGAACTCACTAAAATCTGTAAACCAAACATTATAGATTTAGAGACGAACTGATCCGCTCTGCTTCAACTATCAAAAACATTAGAAATGAGAAAGCTGACAAAACTACAGCAGAGTATCAGGACAACATTGAGGTTTTTTTTTCTTTTAAGATTTAGAGATTAAAGTTGTAAATTTAGGAGAATAAAGTCATAAAGTAAATAAAGTCATAAAGCTGCTTTTGTGGAGGGGGAAATGACTGAAGCTGGTCATCTGCAGGGTTATCTGTGGATGTATCAGCGGGTCATTCAGAGAGATTTTGTGGTTTCTGAAGAAACAATCAAACTGATGATAATCAACATTTGTGATCCAGAGGGAGTCGAGCTCCGACGAGCACCACGTCTCTGACACCGGCCGTAGCCTACACCTGCAGAGACACCAACACCTTATTATGGCATATGGATTCATATCATAAATTAAAGCTCAATGTCATTCACGGATATTTACGGCTGCATTGACAGATATATCCTCAGCATATTCATTTCTGCCTCCACAAAAGCAGCGATTTCCTTCGAGTACACCAGTTTTTTTCCCCGTGGAAAAGACGTATTTCTCATATATTCTTTTTTTAAAGTCTTTATACTTATGACAATGTGATGCTGAAGTGCCAGAGGATGAAGTATCTCCTATCCTCCTTCTCAATAGGGCCCTCATACTCCTTCATACAAAACAATCATTGGATTAATTTTATGGGAATGATCTGTGCTTGTATGTATCTACTATTTTGTGTCTGTGCAAGGTCGCACAATTAAAACAATACATGCTGCGCTCCGCAGCTTTTTTTCTAATCAGTCGTGACGTAAGCCTGAGGGCGGGGACATTTGGAGACCTTCGGAGGACTTCCTGGTGGAGTTTTTTTTATTTTTTTTATTGAACAAGACAGACAGTACAACCAACGAGAGACACATCACAACAATAACGACAAAAACAGAAAACAAAACACAACCATACAACAGCCAGAGGACTTACAGTTCAATGGTACAGAATTTCTTCATTATAGAGTAAGTTTTGGTAGCTTTCTTGTTCTTAATGTCCTTGATCGTGGCAGCATAACGGAGCAGTTCATTTTTGAAGGGTGCAATGTTTGGCTTGGATTTGGCCCATTTGTTTTTGTGGATATGGAATTTCCCCAAGCTCAAGATCAACTGACAAAAAAAGCACAGATCTTTGTCCTGGTCATCATAATAAATAAAAATATGTTTTTCCTGGAAACTGATCGTTCTTCCTGTTTTCTCGTGCACAAATTGTTGGACATCAATCCAAAAGGTTTTACTGTAGGTACAATGATAGAATAAATGAGAGATGGTTTCATCTTCAAGTCCACAGAAATCACATAAATATTCAATGTCCAGTTTGAATCTTTCGAGAGTTTTCTTTGCAGGGTAAATCTGATGTAATATTTTAAAAGAGACTTCTTTGACCTTGTTATTGAGACAGAATTTTTCACCAACCAGCCATGCATTGCTCCAGTTAATTTCTCCCAATTGTTCAGACCAGTTAGTTTGACCTCTAGGCAGTGTCTTTGGTTGTAGGCAGCTTCTCAACAGTCTATTCGAGCAGGCTCTTTTTGTAATGTCTATTCCGCCCACAAATATATCACAGGTGTAATTTCCTGGAGTAGCAGCCGTTCTTTCAGACCCTCTAAGAAGTTGTAGCACCCCCTGAGGTAATGCATCAAAAACCACTGCATATTGTTTTGGGGTGACTGGGAGTTGAAATTTTAACATAAATTCTTCATAAGAAAGTAAAAAGCCATGGTCGTTAAGAAGTTGGTCGACTAGTAAAATGTTGTGCTCCATCCAGTCCTTGTAAAACAGTGATCGGTTTTTGTAAACGATGTCTTCATTGTTCCAAATATAATAGCTGGTTGGTGAGAAATTATGTTTGTAGATCAGTTTCCAGGACAGCAAGGCTTGTTTGTGAAAGTTAGAGAGTTTAACAGGAAGCTTCTCAATTTTGTAATTACATTTCAACATAAAGCGTATACCACCAAGTGAGTTGAATACATGTGTAGCAAAGGAATTCCAGAGGTTGTTCTTCTCTCTACATAACTTACTCAGCCAGTTGATCTTGAGAGAGTGATTCAATATTTCGAAGGTTAGCACATCCAAACCACCATCCCTCTTGGTATTACATAGAATATCTTTTTTTTAATAATGGCGTCTGTTCTTCCAGATAAACCTGAATAAGATTTGATCTAATTTCTTGGAGACTACAGCAGGCATTTCTAGTGCTAGTGATAGATATACAGATCTTGATATTCCCTCAGCTCTGGATAACAGAATCCGTCCGTGTAAAGATAGATCCCTCACTAACCACATATTGAATTTTCTTCGTATCTGTTGAGTTATTGGTTCAAAGTTTAACTCAGAGCGCCTCTTCTCATTTTTGTCAAGTACAACACCCAAGTATGTCACAGTTTGTTTAATGGGAATACCATTTAATTCTGCCAGATCACAGTGTTTGAGGGGAAAAAGCATAGATTTATTAATGTTCATTGTCAGCCCAGAAACCTCTGAAAACTCTCTGATACACTGCACCGCTTTGACAAGTTCATTTTGATTGGACAAAAAAATAGCTGTATCATCCGCTAACTGAGCTAGTTTGAATTCTCTACCTACGGCTGTCATACCCTGAAAGTTGCTTTTTTTAATATGTGTTGCCATAACCTGTGTAACCAGCAAAAACAAAAAAGGGCTTAGGGGACAACCTTGTCTGATTCCACGACCAATATTAAATCTGGGTGTTGTGCCATTTGTTATCTTAATTGAGCTGTTAATTCCTTTATAAAGTGTTTGAACTGCCCTCAAAAACCTATTTCCAAAACCAAAACATCGAATAACTTTAAACATAAACTGGTGACTGACTGTATCAAATGCTTTATAGAAGTCCACAAACAGAATAAAACTATCATCAGGTATAAATTCATTATAGTCTATCATATCCAGAATCAGACGAATATTATTTACAATATTTCTCCCTGGCATAAACCCAGATTGCTCCTCATCTATAATATCAACTAGTCCTATTTTCAATCTTTTAGCAAAGATGAGAGCAAACAGCTTTGCATCATTATTTAATAAACTAATTGGTCTCCAGTTTTCAATGTTTAATTCATCTTTTTTTGGTTTTGGAATTAGTTTTATCAGTCCCTGTCTTAAAGTGTGGGGGAGTTCTTCCTTGTCTAAAGCCTCTTCAAATAGCTCAGTTAAAAATGGAGCGATTGCTTGTTTAAAGTATTTATAAAATTCCCCAGTTATCCCGTCATTACCTGGGGCTTTGTTGTCCTTGAGGGAGTCGATGCATTTTTGTACCTCTGTTATCGTTATTTTTTGATCACACGTTACATGGAGGTCATCATCTATTCTACTAATATTTGGTTGTATGGTCTGAAGAAATAGTGACATTTTATCTTCATTTAACAGGTCAGTCATATACAGCTTTTCATAAAAGCGTGCAACATATTGCGAAATTTGTTTTTCATTTTCACACACAGCGTCATGAATTTTAAGTTTGCAGAGAGAAGACATTTCGTAATTCCTTTTTTCTAGACTAAAGAAATATTTGGTGCATTTTTCCCCTTGTTCAAGCCATTTCCTCCTGGATCTGATGAAGGCTCCTCTAGCTTTCCCCTCGTAAAGTTTGTCTAATTCAGTTTGTAGGTAAGCCAATTGTTCTACCTCAGCACTGGTTGGGTCTGTTTTCTCAGATAATGGAAAAATTTGGGTGACAAGTTGAAGTTCTTTTTCTTTATTATGTCTGCTGGTTTTTCTACTTAACCTTGTAGCTAACTTTCTTATTTCATATTTCATTAATTCCCAGTATAATCCAAAATTCTTTAGTAAATTTGCTTGTCTCCAACATTTGTCGATGATTATTTGGCTTTCCTTTACAAATTCCTTATTTTGTAGCAACGTTTTGTTTAATTTCCAATAATCTCTATTGACCCTCTGCCTGTCAGATCCAAGATGGAATTGAATTGATATAGCTTTGTGGTCTGTCAATATTGTGGGTTCTATTTTGATTGAGTCTACCTTATTTTCTAATTCAGGCGAAATTAACCAAAAATCTAAGCGAGATTGGCAGGATCTGTCCTTGTTGCTCCATGTGAATACTTTTTCCTGTGGGTGTCTGTGTCTCCATATATCAAACAGGTTCATTCTGTCGCAGATATTTTCCAATTCGGTTATCTGTTTGGCTTTTGGAGGCCATCTGTCCAGACTACCATCAAATACTGTGTTGAAGTCTCCACCCCATAAGATCTCTGCTGAGGGAAACAGTGTCAGCCAATAATTAATCTTATTTTCCAATGTTGAGAAAATTATGTTATTGAGAGATTTACTGTTTGACCCATATACATTAATCAGAATAACAGACGATTGGTTGATATCTGCCAAGAGAATGATCCACCTGCCATCCTTATCAGCGTCATACTTTATAATTTTCCCACCATATTTCCCCTGTAGGATGGCGACCCCTGCTGAGCGATTGCTGCCATGAGAGAGCCATACATTCCTTCCCCATTGATTCCTCCAATGTGAGACATCAGTTTCAGAAGAGTGGGTCTCTTGAATGAAATAAAAATCTGCCCCTTTATTCTGAAGAAATAAGAACAAGCTTTTCCTTTTCACTTCATTCTTAATACCTCTGACATTAACAGAAAAAATAGAAGTCGTCGCACACATATACACACACACACACACACACACACACACACACAACTTCCTGGTGGAGTCGCCAAATGTCCCCGCCCTCAGGCTCGCGTCACGACTGACTTAAAGGAAACCCGCGGAGCGCAGCATTTATTGTTTTAATTGTGCGACCTTGCACAGACACAAAATAGTAGATACATACAAGCACAATTCATCCAATGATTGTTTTGTAAGAAGGAGTATGAGGGCCATATTGAGATTTAAGACTTTAAGGACTTCGAGATTTAAGTCGTGAATTTACGAGAATAAAGTCATTAATTTATGAGAATGAAGTCATAACCTGTTATTTCAGAGAGACTTGTTAAAATTAGGGCCATGAAGCATTTGAAGGAACTGTGCTTCAGTATAGGTTTCACAAACAAGGAGATACTTCATCCTCTGGCACATCAGCATCACATTGTCATAAGTATAAAGACTTTAAAAAGAATATATGAGAAATACGTCTTTTCCACGGGGAAAAAAACTGGTGTACTTGAAGGAAATCGCTGCTTTTGTGGAGGCAGAAATGAATATGCTGAGGATATATCTGTCAATGCAGCCGTTAATATCCGTGAATGACATTGAGCTTTAATTTATGATATGAATCCATATGCCATAATAAGGTGTTGGTGTCTCTGCAGGTGTAGGCTACCGCCGGTGTCAGAGGCGTGGTGCTCGTCGGAGCTCGACTCCCTCTGGATCACAAATGTTGATTATCATCAGTTTGATTGTTTCTTCAGAAACCACAAAATCTCTCTGAATGACCCGCTGATTCATCCACAGATAACCCTGCAGATGACCAGCTTCAGTCATTTCCCCCTCCACAAAAGCAGCTTTATGACTTTATTTACTTTATGACTTTATTCTCCTAAATTTACAACTTTAATCCCTAAATCTTAAAAGAAAAAAAAACCTCAATGTTGTCCTGATCCTCTGCTGTAGTTTTGTCAGCTTTCTCATTTCTAATGTTTTTGATAGTTGTAACACAGCGGATCAGTTCGTCTCTAAATCTATAATGTTTGGTTTACAGATTTTAGTGAGTTCAGAGATCATGCTCTCATACAGCCTGAGTTGACTGTCTGCTGTTTTTGGATTGCTTGTATTTTCTTCGAAGACGCGCTGCGTCTCCAAGCGAGTCCAGCCTCTCACCTGAAATGCACAGCTGTGCAGCGGCACGCAAAGGATTCTGGGATACCGACGGCACGAAAGCGTGCATACATGCACGCTTGAAAACGAGGCGGGGGTAGTGTGGTTTTGAGACCGAATTTGAAGCGCACTTAGTATTTTGTGCCAAACGGGACACCGTTCGTGCCGCGTGGTGACCTCACGTACGCGTCAGATGCGCCGTTCGATGGCTGCTGTATCTGAAATGGGACACAGGAAGGGCACAGAACGGCGCAAAACGGCGTAAAACGGCTAAAAACGGCAGTGCACTCAGCTAAGCGCCGTTAAGCGCGCTTATCACGATGCGGTCTCTGAAATGAGACACAGCCTTAGTTTCAATGTAAGCTCACAGGCTCCTCCCATGGAGTCTGAAGAGATAGACTGGTTACACATCATCGCCACCTACTGGGCCGGCATGCTGATGTCACTTTTAACTGTTGCTGCACAGGAGTGGAGAAAAAAACACTTCTGGTGTGGACCAAATGACAACTCACAGCCTTGAAAATATGAAATCAAAAGTACATCTCTGCAGAGCCAGCAGATCCACACCCCTCTTTTTAACCGCTGTTCCACATCTGTTTGATAAACGAGTTAATAAATAAATAAGTGCCCACAGTCACAAATTTGGATATTAATCTAGATTTTGTTAATTTTACAATTTTCTACTTATTATCATCTTTTTATTGTATTTTATTGTCTTCCAATCTATATTATTGCCGTTTTAATCCACCAAAATATGAACTTATATTATCCCAGTATCAGAGAGGTTGTCCTCACTGTTATCCTCTTCATTCCTCGGCGATGATTTTGACCTCCTGAATGTAACAGTCTGTGTCTGCAGAGCCGATGAATCAGAGATTTTCTGTGTTTTTCTCGTATATTTTCACGTTCAATCTCATGCACATTATTAGTCTTCACACTTTTGTTTCATTCACTACAATACTAGTAACCTACCGGTCAAATCGTACATTTCCGACTTAAGACAAGCTAATGTTAGCATTAGCTTCACCGAGATTCGATGTGCATTTCAGACTGTCATGGAAAACGGAAAAAATGTCATAAACGAAGCCGATTATTGACATATTTCAAATTCAAGACAAAAGTTTTATTAACGACTAAAAATGATGTGATTCACGTGATCACGACGTCGCTCCATTCAAGCCGAGAACTTTAGAGAAAGAAGCAGCAAGAAGGGGCGGTCACGGGTTTCAGGTTGCGGCTCTGTCGTGCAATGACCTACTCCATCCAGCAGGGGGAGCAAAGAAGGTTGTGGATCTGTCACAGTTGTGGATCTGTTGGGCTCTTGACACTCCCTACTCTGTGAAATAGCCAAAAAACTGTAGTTCTCCAAGTGTCCACTAGAGGCTGGTTACGCTTGCACCAGACACCACATTCACGCCTACTCTAAAAAGACTCATCGAGCAAAAACAGACATGTTTACAGTCTAAAGGCCCACCTGAACTCCACCCCTTTACCTATAGTCAACCAAAAGTTGATGAGTCATCAGCCGCACCTTAGTAGCCCGTGAGTCACACCATCAGGACCGCCTCCATGTTTTATAGTCTGTGTATGAACAGGATCTTATTTCAATACAGAGACGGCTCATAAAAAGACATCAGCCCACATACAGGTGGGACCACACCTGAGACAACCACATCTGGACCAGGGGGTCTGGGAGACCAGCCAAGTCACATGAGAAATCTTCTGTTCTGTAGAATCAGCCCGAGGCCACGCCAGGTGACTCCACACCTGTCTCACCTGAAGATTGAGCTACAGGAATGTTCAGGAGACAATCTGAAAACCATTTCTGAACCTTGACCAACGTCTCTCTTCAGAGACAGAGACCCTAAACAGCCTGGAGCAGACTGACGTGGAGGTTGAGGTTTGTTTACGGCTCCTCAGACCTCTCTGTATTTCTATCCTGCGGTCGTTACTAAAGTTGGTATAACTAAAGAAGCAAACGGTCGACAACATTCATCTCTGGAGGGGGGGTCTAACTCGGTGTTACGGTGTGTACTACAGACAAGCTGGTTCCGCCTCCCGCCTGTATACGGATTTGAAGCCAAAAAGTTCTCGGTATTTCTGGGATTTTTCTCCATTTCCTGAAACCAGCGCTGCGCAGTAGTGTTGTTCGCATTCGGCCGCGCAGTCGCCGAGAGTCGCTGTGATGACGCTCGGCTCAAACAGCGTATCCCCTGGGAGAGCTACGCAATCCCTGTCCTCCCATTGGCTGTATCAGGTGCCAATCATAGAAAACATGAATCTATGTCTGTAATCATGTCATTACAGGAGGGACTGTTGTGTTTCAAAGTTATAACATCTCCACATTATTTAATTATTTTCTGTTTTTCCTCCGATCACATCCCTTCAGGTTAAGTTGGAGTTTTTTTTTAGTCCCTTACAAACAAAAACCCAAACTTCAGATCCTTTTTCTAAACTCTGAACAGACTCAGAATTTTCTTCTTTTAAAAAACACATTTTCTTAAATATTCACTAACTCTTATTTCAAAATAAAACATCTTTCTCTGCTCACACTAACTTTACAAAACTCTGTAAATCTGACTCTAAATGAAATTATCCTGTCAGAGAAAAACTCTTGTTTTCACTTCATCAGGTAAATACAGTTAATCAAAGTTCACCAGGTTCAAAATACTGATTATTACTGACATGATAAAAACTAGAGAGACTTTAATGTTTCAGTTTTACAGGAAAAACATGAAATTCACCGTTTTTACACCAAATGTCCTGGTTAGGAACTGTTTGTTCACATGAAATGTTCACATTTAAAAGTATTTCAGTAAAAAATAAATCAGTTTTTTTCCTTTATTGTTTACTTCAGGAGGTACAGAGGGCGTGTACCTTCTCTCCTTGACTGGTCTGATCTCAGCTCTTAGATATTTACAGTTTTAAATATTTAGGTCCCTTTATTGACAACAACCTTCATTTCAGCCTCAACACTGACCACATCTTTAAATCCTGTGATCAACGCCTCCATCTGTAAACTCCTTTGGAGTCAGTAAGAACCTCATGGAGACAGTCTGTGAGAACCTCACAGAGGGAAACTGAACCTTTAATAATGTGGTTTGGTAACTTAAAGACAAACAGAGAGATGTCAGCTGTAGAAAACAGTGAATCGAGCCTCTAAAATCAGAGTGAAGCAGAAACACTTCAGCTGAATCTACAAGGAAGTGATGAGGAAAGAAGCTGTTAAGATCGTAAACGATCCTTCTCACCTGCTGTACGGAGAGTTCGTTAGACTTTGTTCAGACCGACGTTATCAACTACTTAAGGTAAATCATTAGCTCTTCAACAACTCATTCGTTCCTCACGCCATCAGGGCTGAACGATCGTGGGCCTCTGTCCCGTTAGATCTGTCTGTACACGCCGCTGTTGTCCTCCCTCTTTTGTTGGTTTGTGTGTATTTGTGTGTATTTGTGTTGTGTTTGTTGCTGCTGTTGATCTGTTTTTGTACACGATGAGACTGAAGACAAATTTACACTTGTGGACAATAAACGAACAAACAAACTAATTAACGAACTAACTAACTAACTAACTACAGCAGAAATACTGTTTACAATATAATAGAACAGAAAAAGTTTGACAGTATTGCTGACAGTGAACAAAATATCCATAAAACACACAAAAGCATTCTGAACAAAAAACAAAAAATAACAGCAAAAAGCCCGGATAAAAAAGGGGGAGGGGCCTAAAAAAAGCACAAAATGACTGTATCTAACCTCTGCGATCTTCAGGGTTAGGCCACATGTTTTTATCAACATCACATCTGATGTTATCCACGGTGATCCACCTGGGATACAACCTCTTGGTGTGTCGGATCCACCTTTGACCCAATAACCGAACATAAACCATCTGTGTGTCGATTATTAACTGTTTATGATCAGCTGAGATTTATTGACTTTGAACTGAATGTCATTGCAGCAGCAGAGGTTTTTATTCTCTATCGAAGGTTTGGAATATTATTTTTGTTATTATGGGATGTTGTGTGTTAACATTCGTAAATAAAACAGAAATAATCATTTTGTTGGGAGGTGTCGCTCGTCTGTTAAGAAAACGTTAACTTTGTGTAAATGTGTTCGCTGACTGGATATTGTGTGAAAACGACATGAAGAGTGAACGGTAAAAAGACCGATGCTGTGATCGTTGTGTTTAGAGAAAAACTGTGATAAGGAGTTGAGTTTACCTCCTATCATCATCAGTGAGGTCTGGGTGTAGTGACCTGAAGAGGCCAGCAGGCGTCACTGTGACTCTAATGTTGACATCGTCAGCGAGCCGGTCTGAGTGATTTAAAGGGTTTTTCTGTTGGTCTAATAAAATCTCTGAATTAGTGGGTTTGTTTTTTTGTGAAACTGTCACTTTAAATCTGACACCAAACCAGTTTATTCACAAAAACACAAAAATTCAATCACAGGGACAGAAGAAGAGTTTGTTCGCTTCAACACTAACTCACTCATATTATCATCAGATCAGCGTCAAACTCAAACTCACAGCTGTCTGTTCGTTTATGAGGATGAAGCCCAAAGATATCAGTCCCCACGGACAACTCTGGACTCCTCTGTTCCTCCTTCCTCCAGTTTACAGATTTGAAGCCGAAAAGTTCTCTGTATTTCTGTGTTTTTTCTCCACTTCCTGAAACCAGCATTGCGCAGTAGCGTTGTACGCATTCAGCGGGAGAGTCGCTGAGAGTCGCTGTGATGACGCTCGGCTCAAACAGCGTATCCTCCAGGTGATCTACTCAATCTCTGTCCTCCCATAGGCTGTATCAGGTGTCAATCTTAGCAAACATGAACCCCCTAATAACTTTTAAAAATGGAGCTGCACAGAAAAAAGAGGACTTGAGCACAAACCAGTCTGACAGTAACTACATGTCAACATCACAACCAGGGGGGAGAAACATTTATATTCTGTGTCATTCATTTATAAAGTTTGTCCACAGCTCCATAAGGAGGCGGGGTTTATGACCTATACTGCAGCCCGTCACCAGAGGGCGCTGTTCTCTGAGCGAGGAGGCAGACGGCGTCTATTCTAGATACAGTCTATGGTGCGGAGCAGAGGACCCGACAGTGTCCCCCTAACATCTGTCAGAGCGGCTCTGATGACTTTAGAACTCGTTTTGAGAAGGTTTGATGATGTCACAGATGTTCTCGGACTGTTCCAGTATGTTTACAAAAAAACAAAATTTTCTCAAACGTTCCGGAATGTTATTGATCTTTTAGAATGTCTTTGATGTTATAGAATGTTATTGATCTTTTAGAATGTCTTTGATGTTACGGAATGTTATTGATCTTTTAGAATGTCTTTGATGTTCCGGAATGTTATTCTAGAATGTTCTATATCCTCCAGAGTGTCACCACCATAGACTGTATTTACTACTGACAACTTGGTTCCTCCTTCCGCCAGTTTACGGGTATTGAAGCTGGAAAGGACAACTGGACTTAGTTGAGCCGTTTCGCCTTCAACGTAGAATTAGAAATCATTCAGTCCGTTTACATGACACTCGAGAAAACCGAATTATCGCCTTATTCCGATTAAAACCGGACAACTGAAGGTCATGTAAACACCTTAGTCTGACTATAATCAGAGTTTGAGAACTCTGATTAAGACACCCAGATAATGAGATTGGAATTCGATTTTCTCTACCATGTAACCAGCGTAGTCGGAGTATGAAGCCACGCCCCCGTAACCCCGTAACAAACCCCCAGAGTAGAGGAGTAGCGTTGGTCTCCTCTTTAGAAAAAGTAGCGCGTCCATCATGTCGGACAAAAACAACGCTGTACGATGCTCCATCTTCTTGTTTCTCCAAAATGCCCAGCAGCAGTTGGAGACACTTCTGACGTCTGACACCGACCTGCTGTTGTTGTTGAAAAGACCCATATCGCCCCCTAGTGTTGGGGAGGAGGACACGTTCATGTCAATAATTTGATTTTCTCAGCTGGATGTAAACGAGGACGAGGAGAGAAGTCGGATTCAGAGAAAAAGACGAATTATGAGTTTAGTCGATTAAACTGAGACTGTAAACGACCTGAGGGTTCGAGGTTTGACTGTGAATAAAAATGTTTGAACATAAACTGCTGAGAGTTTCTCTGAGCGGAGCGGATCAGACGACCTTCAGACCTGTCCTCGCTCCTAATGGCCTCAGACGGAGATAACAGAGCTCTGATTGGTGGGATCTTCCAGACGCTCAGCTGTGGGATTTACCTGACCTGAGAGGATGAAGTGAAACTGGGTTGAAACAAAATCAACAAAGTTTGACTGGAAGCAGAAATTTTAAGTCTTCTTTTGTCTAACCTGAGGCGGGACTAACTGAGTGTCTGAGCTCTCTGATTGGCTGACAGGAGGCGTGCTGTCTTGGCGTTCCTCCAGGAATAACTGGCCTCTCACCAAACAGTTTTCTGGCAGCGGCCCATGAAACAGAGAAAACAGCAGCGGACCTCATAATGAGATAACAACCACAATATGGTCGGGCTGCGGCGAGGGCTGGAGAGCCGCCACCGCCCTCCTCTTCCTGCTCCTCTCCATCAGAGCGGTTTTCAGAGTCGGCCGTCAGCTGATCGATAAAGACGCAGAAAACTGAAACTTTGTGAATTTTTTTATTGGTGAATTTATCAAACACAGATTCATACACTTTATAACATCTCTCTGAAATCGTCTTCAAAGTTTATTCAGTAATTGTTTTTTTTTAATTTTCCCGCTCATGCAGCGCAGGAAAAATCTGTCCTGATGAGGCCGGGCGACCTCTGACCCCTCGTTAGCTCTTTAGCCAATCAGATAAATGCATTCTCTAACAGGACTTTATAAGCATCCGATAAGAAAATATACAAAAGAGGTTTTGATTCTTTCCGAGAATAGAGTAAGCAGACATTTGGATGTAGAAAAACGATGTCTTCTGGTTATGATTGAGCTCAGAGACGCTGTAAACCACAGAGAGCGGCGAGGTCTCACTCCCGCCCCAAAAAACAACCACGTTTTTTCTTTCCTCCGGGTAACACTTCCTACGCCACGAACAACAGACTCCATCCACACGAAAAATCAACCATGAGAATGATTATGACCCGAAAACCCACCGCACCTTTAGTTACCCACAAAACCAGGAAGCACAGGACTACAAGGACCAGAATGCATTGTGATTCAAGCAGGAACATAAAAGGAGAAAAACAACAACAACAGCAACAACAACAAACAGCTGACTGACTCCTTCATATTTCATATGAATCTCCTCTTTCTGCTCCACAAAAACACGAAATGAAAACAGTTTTTTTTTGTCCTGACGAGGTCAGTTCGTTTGTCCACAGGAGTCCGAGTGCTACGTCCACGTCTGTCCTCCATCACAGTGCCTTCGTTATTTATACTGCATTTCCCAGCATGCCCCTGCGCGTCCACACGCAAGGACACACCCCCCGTCCATCGGTGAAGATGGAGGGATGTGAAGAGATGAGAAAAAAAATCTGGACTGCACGGCTTACAGAGTCTGTCCGTCACAAAATTCAGCACCAGTGGGAGAAAGGCCATTTTTGATTGGTTCGTTTTAGTTTTGCACATGACATTCGATTTAAATTTCACCACAAAATAAAACAGTACTTTGAAAAAAACACAACCCTCCCCTTTAAATGACCCCGCCCCCTGTGGCAGAGGGGGGCGGGGCCATGAGTAACCCTGTAGCTGCTGTTTGACTCCCCCTCCCCGGTAGAAAAGGTTAACAAGTCTTTGGCAGATTTACAGAAACGAAGGAAGGCTGAGCGACCGCTGCTGGAGTGGGCGAGAGAGAGAGAGAGAGAGAGAGAGAGAGAGAGAGAGAGAAACAGCCTCTGGTTGATCTTCAGATTGACGATAACTGAAGATCACAGACACAGAAATCAGCCACAACATCCAAAAATCTCAAAGTTTCAGATTTTCCAAATTTGAGGTTCAACCGTCGAGTTCAGATTTGGATTAAAACCCATGAAAAAGAGTCGATCTTCAGTTAAACGTCTACGCTAACCTTTTCAACAGCCTCTCTGATTGGAGGCTGAAGCTCAGTTAGCTCGTCCTTTAGCTCGTCCTTTAGCTCGTTGAAGCTACAACAGCGAGAATCATGACCCTGCAAAGCTGTAGGAACCCAACCCAACAAAAACTCGACTTCGAGGTCTACGATACGGCCGAAGTCCCCCCTGACGGTCTGCTTGGATCTGTAAGGCTGGTTTCCATCGGGCTCGTCTGGTTTGTTATGGCGGTGTGTGACGCTGTGGTAGCTCCTCCCACAACTTCTCCTGATGGACCTCTGATGCTGATCTGAGCTTTGCTCCAAACATCAAATCTAACAACTCTTGGACAGGACGGGGGTAGATCCCCAGACTTCCTGTTACAAACCTGATGTCAGGATGTGCCGTCCAATCAGGGCCGCGCTAGTCTACGGAAAGTTAAGGGGGGCGCTGACAGCGAGTCTTACAGGGTTCGACTCTAACTTTGTTCTCCTGAGTTAAAGAAGTAAGGAGCACAACGAACTTTAGGGGATCAATGAAAACTGATCAATAATGTTTGTCTTATTGATCGACCTTAGTACTATTATTAGAAATCAATTTGAGGTCTTTTGGTCACATGACAGTGAAGCTGTTGAAGGAAAACAGCCTTTTCTGAGAACATCAACCGGTAATTTATTGACGGTCCCTTATTCAACACCGACGTTGACAGTGAGGGTGCCAACCTAAATATCTAACCTAAAACTAACTTCACCGCCGAATTTACAGGAAAAAAAACATTTGTTGATTTTTTTTATTCGCACATTTGACCCTAAATATATTTGATCTATTTCATCTATTTTTAGTCGCAGTGAAACGGTCGCGCTGTGGAGGACTGGGTGTTCTCTGTGAAGACATTACTGTGGGGCTGTGTAAAAAGTAACACAGCTGTGTTAGTGGAGGTCAATGGAAGCTAGCGTGGGTGCTAACGGTTAGCCTCAGGCTTATGTGACCCCACAGCTGTGAAAAAAACCAGAAGCTCTGTCCGACTTTGTCTGAGCGCAGAAACAGCAGAAACAAAGCGGATCAGGGTTCTCACAGGGACCAGAGTAAGGTAATGGGGAGACTTTGGCCGCTATAGGGGGTCCCAGACTGACAGAGAACGGGGGCGCTGAGTCTAACCCCGGAATTCCCCTGGAAATGGAATGGCTCCGGTTCGCTCCAGACCAGCAGGTGGATCAAATACAGAAGCACATAACGCCCACAGGTCCAGTCTCAGGATCGACAGACGGTCGTTAATATTACATCTTTATATCCGAACAGAGTAAGAGTGTTGCTGCTGTATTATGGGATGGATTCACGTCTCTCTTTTATTTCTGAGTTCCTCTGTGGAGGGATACGGACCTCCCTGAGGAGCGTGACAGAGTAGATCTGTTTGTTTGGTGTGTTGTTCACAGCTGAGCGTGTTTTCACTCGTCGGTTTTACTCAAACATTCAAAGACTCTCTGACTCCGTCACAGTTTCAGACAAACACTCGTCCTCGTCTGTTTTGGCGGACGGTCGCTGATTACTTCCTAAACCTACATTTATCCCTCCTGGAGGACGCGGGTCCTCCATCTGTGGCTGATTTCTGTGACCGTGATCATCTAAAGACCTCCTCACGGATCCACTTCCTGTTTCCTGTGATCGCTCAGTCCGGAGCTGTGATGAAGACGAGGGCTCATCATCCTCGCCCTGAAGGTCCGGTTCGTGTTCGTCTGATGAGACGGGGGCCGGACTCCACTGACCGCCATGTTTGCTCCTCTGAGGGGGACATTAGGTTCTGATCTTGACGGGTTCGTTTGTCAGATATATCTTGATTTATAGTAGAACCACATCAGTGTTTCTGAGTTTTACCCGCTCGGAATCAGAAATGGGCTGAGTGTACTGACGGAGCCGTGCCCGTGAGCTAGTTCAGGCAGGCAACTTCAGCTGTTTGGCGTTCTGGGCCCAGTTTCTGCCTCTGCTCTCTCATCGCCGCGGCGTCACTCAAACGTTCAGTCCAACCGTCATGTTCAGGTGTTTGGGGTCAAACAAAGGTCAGGTCTGCTTCACTCACAGAGGGGTATTATTGCGTGCAGACAGAAATATTTGGTGGTTCTGATTCGGTTCTGTTCCTGAGGCGGGGAGAGCGAACCTTCAAAAAACAGGAAGTTAAAATTAACTTTTGATTCAGACTTCCTTTATCAGTGTTCGGGTTTTTTTCTCTAACGAGGTTTTTTAATCCTAAAACCTGAGGCAGGGGTCAGGACATCTATGACGCTGATATGGGCGGATTTAAAGACCTGCTGATGTGCTGTGGGCGGAGCTTGGCTGTGATGTTCTACGCCCAATTTCCAACGCATCCAGAACGTCTACGAAAAGGTCGTATCCTCCGATCGTCGCTAAACAAACAGGTCAAAACTCTCTTTTGGAAAGGACAACTGGAGTCAAGTAAGTCCAGTTGTCCTTTCAACGAAGAACTAGAAATCATAGATGCTGCATCCTCAGTTTCAAACAACATCTCAAGGTTTACCCCCAATTTCCACCTTCATCCTGATCGTCTCCTAAAAGGTCGTATCCTCCGATCGTAGCTGATCGTAAACATTCAAGTTAACGTGTCAATTTACACCGACTTCTTTCTGTCGGACGCCGGAGCATGGCGGATAAATTCAGCACAGATTAACCCGTGCTGGAAAGGAAGTCGGGCACAGACTTCAAAATAAAACATCCGGCTTCTTTTCAAAATAAAACACAACCTTTCATTTGTTCGGACAGAGACGAACAAGTGAAAGGTTTTTAGACGTCATTTCACCCCGATGACACCATGGATGAGGAGATGCTGATTCTAGAAGTCTAGAAGTAGATTTCCTCCTCTGGAAGGACACAATCTACTGCTTATATGTCTATGTGTCTGTCTTTAGAGAGACAACTCGTTATCATGAGATTGAACGTGAATCCGCGGGTTCTTGTGAGTTCTCGTGATTCCTGCTGTCTGTAATCCGCCACGAAATTCACCTCACAAACGGATCCTGTAGGAATTGGCGTACGATGAAAATCGCCGCCGTTCCGGATGCGGTGAAAATTGGGGGTTATTCTCCTTTAAAGATGAAATTATCGTTAAAGTTCGTCTTTATTTCTAATCGAAGGACGGTTTTGTTTTCACCGTGTTCTCGCGCTCAGTATGAAAACGTTTCGGCGTGTTTTAAACTCAGGCGTCATGTGGTTAAATCCTGATCTGGCGCCGTGGAGGCAGACGTTAGACATCCGGACTGTTTAAGGGCTTTGAACCTAACATGGCGGTCAGTGGAGCCTCCGCCTTTCTCCATCACAGCACCGTGGAGACTCCGCACGCAGCACCAGGCTCCTCCCACCCGTCAGCCCTGCCTCCTCTGATTGGCTGAGCTGCTGAGTGTGTTCAGGTGGAGGTCAGGGGTCAGAGAGAGGAAGCTGGACATGTCTCCTGCCTGTTGATTGTTCCTCTTCAGAGTGAAGAGAGGAAGGAGGAAGGAGAAGAAGAAGGAGGTGCTATGAGGAAGCCAGGAGGAGGATGAGGAGGAGGGCGAGCATCATGGCGGACAGCAGGGGGAGGCGGGGCAGAGCGAGGGTGCAGCCACCGGTGGTGTCGTCTGTCAGGAAGGGTTCTGGGGACTCGTACACCGAGTCATCTGGGAGAGAGAGAGAGAGAGAGAGAGAGCTCATAAGCCCCGCCCCCTCCATAGTAACAGATAAGACATGTTTCTGACATGTAGTATAAAAAAACACCCTGATTGACAGCTCTGTAGACCAATCACATTCTTCTCTGAACATAACCATGAGTGTTCATTTTATAACTGCAGTTAACCTGAATGTCCATCATCCTTCAAAATAAAAGCAGAGGTCCCGTCACAATAAGGCTCATCTAAAGATCAGGTCTGTCTGATGTTTTATCGTCACGACGACCTCATGAGTATTTAAAAAAAAAAAAATTCAAAATAAATTATGAATGAATGAAATAATCAAGTTTTTAGTGTAATCAGAGTCAATTATGTCATAAAGTGAAATAAATGATGAAACTAATTTAAAATCAATAAACTGACTGATAAAGTATTTATGTCACTGACAAGAAAAGCTGTACTACGGTGGCCCTGAGGGTCAATGGCATGATTATTCTATTTTAGAGAGGCAATAAATGTATAATTCATAAAACAAAAAACATTTTAGTGAAAGAAAAAAATCATAAATACTTTTTTTTTTAACAAACCTTAAATTGTTTCACAGGAAAACAAAATAAATTCTCGAAACAAACAAAATATGATGGAAAACAAAAAAAAAGTGAGATATTTCAGGAAATTTAAATAAAAAAAATATTTTAGCAATACAAAAATTTCAGACGGTAACTTTTTTTTTGTTTCCGGAAAACATTTTTTTGTTTTTATAATTTATTTGTGTTTTCTGAAATAAATTTTGCGTTCATTTAAAACGTTTTTTTGTTTTGTTATATGTTTTTGTGTTTCTTTGTCACCTTACTGAAACACTTTTGCCTTTGACCTTTAGGGCCACCGTAGACGAACGTGGGAATTTAAAGTGTCAAACAGACTTTTTTTCTAATTTTCTGGTGGACTATAAATAAAACAGCTCATCTTAACATCCTCTTCTGGTACCTTTTTTTCCCCCTTATTAAAAATTTTCTCCCAAAAACAACAGAAAAATTTGAAAACACGATCAGAAATTTTAAAAATTTTTTCCTGACCTTTTAACTTCTTTATCAAAACTATGGGTCTATTTTACATTGATTTTTCCCACCACTCAAATGTCCTTTTTTTAAAACATCATACACCAGGAAAAAAGAGAAAAAGTTATGAACTCCACTGTGAATAATGTCAAAGATCATAATCGGAGTTAATTAACTCTAATTATGATCTCAGGTTTTATTCTGAAAGGACATAAACGTTCAGTGTCTGTCAGGATCTCTGGACTTCAGTAAAAGAGGAAAATCGGGTTAATGTCGCGTCTTTTTCAGTCACACTTTAAACTAGAAACTCTAAAAAATTAAAGAACTTTTTTATTTCAGTTTCTGAGTCGATGGACGGAAAGAGGAAGAAGAAAGAAAGGAGGAAGAGGAGGAAGAGGAGGAAGAGGAGGAAGAGGAGGAAGCTCACTGGTTGGCTTGACGTAGATTTTCAGTTTCAGACACGGTTTCCCGGCCAGGTTCGGATGAGGCGACGCTGCAGGAAAAAAAAACAGACAGAGTTAAAATTTGAGAAAAATAGAGAGAGAGTTAAAATATGAAATGAAGAAAAAAATAAAAACCCAAAATATAGAAACTCAAAATCTTGATGTCATCTGCAGATCTCATTTTTTTTTCTTCACTTTTTTTAGATCCACGAGTGTTTTTCCTTTTTTTTTCACTGTGACCACATCTTGAATTTGATGATATTGTTATTATTTTTCTCTGAACAGATCGCCCAGGTTTGTTTTTTTACGCTTTTATTATTATTTTTTTTAACTTGAAACTGGATTTACAAGATCTTAAATGTCCTGATTTAGTCTGTGAACACGAGTTTAACTCTGATGTTTCCTCCTGCAGCTGTTTGACCTGCAGATCACACACACACACACACACACACACACACACACACACACACACACACACACACACACACACACACACACACACACACAGTCATTATGTGTCATTTAAAACAAACTGCCTGCGTCTCTGTTGGAAACCTTTCACTCCAAATGAGCCACAATTTAGGAAATTTTTTCCAGGTTGGAGGACAAATTATGTCTAGACAAACACACACACACACACACACACACACACACACACACACACACACACACACACACACACACACACACACACACACACACACACCTAATGACAGCACACACACCCCTGTGTGTGTGTGTGTGTGTGTGTGTGTGTGTGTGTGTGTGTGCTCTGAACCTCCTCCGTCTGATCTGCTGATAAACCTCCGTCTGTCCTCCGCTCTGATCTCACCGTCTGATTGAACGAACACCTGAGTGTTCAGGTACCTGGTCTCCACCTGAGACCACATGTTTCTGATCCACCACTCGAGTATTTTCTATAAAATACTCCAGTCTGACCCACTTCATCAAAGAGGAGACAGACCTGGTGGTACGGCTCTGTTTTGGAGGTCCCTGTCTTCGTGTCTGAGGCACCAGCCCGTGTGGATTGATTTCATCTTGGGTCGCAAAGGGCGGAAAATTTCAGGAAAATTTCAGGAAAATTTCAGGTAAATTTCCAGAAACTTTCTATGGGAAGTTAAGCTGGGAAATTTTGGAAATACTCCAAACTGGAAACTTTTACTGAACTGTAACTTGGGGGTCATTTAAACAAACTATCATCTCCAAACATAAATGTAAATATTTCTCCTTCAGCAGGAGCTTCTCTGAACTTCTTCCACACATCAGATGGTGAACGTGACGTTTCTCTGTAGAATAAAATCTTGTAAAAACACTAAAACAAGATCTTGAACAGAAATATAGTCATTTAAACAGCTGGAATGATCTTTAAAATGTTTGATAATTGATGTATAAATGATTGTTTGGTCACAGAAAACCGTCTGTCAGGAGTCTGAAGAAACAGCGTCACCCCCACCATAAGAAGCCAGACCCTTAAATGGTCAGTGAAATGAAAAATAACTCACATGTAGCACAGATTTTTATTTAAATATTAATACTATTATAGATCAGATCTATTTACCCCATAATATTATCCAAACTTCCTTGACTCTATAAAGTCGATTGTCACCAACTCGATTTAAGTTCCTGTTGAGGGCCAACCTTCAGTTTTTTCAGATTTACCCACTAATTCCCGTAGAAAGTTTCCAACTTCAGCCCAACAAAGACCAGAGCAGAGGGACACCCTGAAGACCTGCTGCAGGAGTTAGTCTGATCCCGACTCTGCTCCTGAAAACCAAGTCCAGGATTTGTTCTCAAACCAAGAGAAATCTCCGTCCTCTGACCGTCAGTCTGTCTGATTCATGTGTTCATGTGTTGATGTGTTCATGTGTTCATGTGGTCGACGCTGATTGAACAGGTGGAGGGAGGGGAGGATGGGGGTGGAGGTGTAATTGCCTCTCTGAGTGTGTTCCTCTTTTCCTGCCCAGTGAGGAGGAGACCAACACAAAGCTGCTAATGATAGCTGTTAGCACCTCATGTGTAAATGACACAAACACACACACACACACACAAACACACACACACACACACACACACACACACACACACACACACAGTCTCTAACACACCCGTCCTCTCCAGCTCTTTTGTGTGTTGGCAGCAGACTGAGTGTTTCGGTTGTACGGTGGCCCTGTGGGGTCATATGGAGTTAGCTCAAAAACAGGTAATACAGGTGAGAATGAACACCTGAGAATCAAAACCACCTGAGATCAAATATGAACGAATCTGTGAATAAAACACCTGAACAACGGCAGGTACAACCGACCACACCTGAGCACACCTGAGGACACCTGAGGACACGGTTACACATCTATCTATCTATCTATCTATCTATCTATCTATGTAATCTGCATCTATACCTATAAAAATGTAGATGTATTACAGATGTACAGATGTATTTGTACTCTCTAACAGTACTCACAGATGTAGTAGTACTCTGTAGTAGTACTCACAGATGTAGTAGTACTCTCTAAAAGTACTCACAGATGTAGTAGTACTCTCTAACAGTACTCACAGATGTAGTAGTACTCTCAAAAGGTACATTCAGATGTATTAGTACTTTCTAAAAGTACTCAAAGATGTAGTAGTACTCTCTGATAGTACTCACAGATGTAGTAGTACTCTCTAATAGTACTCTCAGATGTAGTAGTACTCTCTAATAGTACTCTCAGATGTAGTAGTACTCTCTAAAAGTACTCACAGATGTAATAAAACTCTGCAGTTGTACTCACATATGTAGTAGTACTCTCTAAAAGTACTCACAGATGTAGTAGTACTCTGCAGTTGTACTCACAGATGTAGTAGTACTCTCTTAAAGTACTCACAGATGTAGTAGTACTCTCTAAAAGTACTCTCAGATGTAGTAGTACTTTATAGTAGTACTCATAGATGTAGTAGTACTCTCTTAAAGTACTCTCAGATGTAGTAGTACTTTATAGTAGTACTCACAGATGTAGTGGTACTCTCTAAAAGTACTCTCAGATGTAGTAGTACTCTATAGTAGTACTCATAGATGTAGTAGTACTCGCTAAAAGTACTCACAGATGTAGTAGTACTCTCTAAAAGTACTCTCAGATGTAGTAGTACTTTATAGTAGTACTCACAGATGTAGTAGTACTCTCTTAAAGTACTCTCAGATGTAGTAGTACTTTATAGTAGTACTCACAGATGTAGTGGTACTCTCTAAAAGTACTCTCAGATGTAGTAGTACTCTCTAAAAGTACTCACAGATGTAGTAGTACTCTCTAACAGTACTCACAGATGTAGTAGTACTCTCTTAAAGTACTCACAGATGTAATAGTACTCTGTAGTAGTACTCACAGATGTAGTAGTACTCTGTATTAGTACTCTCAGATGTAGTAGTGCTCTCTAAAAGTACTCACAGATGTAGTAGTACTCTCTGAAAGTACTCACAGATGTAGTAGTACTCTGTAGTAGTACTCTCAGATGTAGTAGTACTCTCTAAAAGTACTCACAGGTGTAGTAGTACTCTCTAAAAGTACTCACAGATGTAGTAGTACTCTCTTAAAGTACTCACAGATGTAATAGTACTCTGTAGTAGTACTCACAGATGTAGTAGTACTCTGTATTAGTACTCTCAGATGTAGTAGTACTCTCTAAAAGTACTCACAGATGTAGTAGTACTCTCTGAAAGTACTCACAGGTGTAGTAGTACTCTCTAAAAGTACTCACAGATGTAGTAGTACTCTGCAGTCGTACTCACAGATGTAGTAGTACTCTCTAAAAGTACTCACAGATGTAATAGTACTCTCTGAAAGTACTCACAGATGTAGTAGTACTCTATAGTAGTACTCACAGACGTAGTAGTACTCTCTAAAAGTACTCACAGATGTAGTAGTACTCTGTAGTAGTACTCACAGATGTAGTAGTACTCTCTAAAAGTACTCACAGATGTAGTAGTACTCTGCAGTCGTACTCACAGATGTAGTAGTACTCTCTAAAAGTACTCACAGATGTAGTAGTACTCTCTGAAAGTACTCACAGATGTAGTAGTACTCTGTAGTAGTACTCACAGATGTATTTGTACTCTCTAAAAGTACTCACAGATGTAGTAGTACTCTATAGTAGTACTCACAGACGTAGTGGTACTCTCTAAAAGTACTCACAGATGTAGTAGTACTCTCTAAAAGTACTCACAGATGTAGTAGTACTCTAATGTAGTACTCACAGATGTAGTAGTACTCTCTAAAAGTACTCACAGATGTAGTAGTACTCTGTATTAGTACTCACAGATGTAGTAGTACTCTCTAATAGTACTCACAGATGTAGTAGTACTCTTTAAAAGTACTCACAGATGTAGTAGTACTCTGTATTAGTACTCTCAGATGTAGTAGTACTCTCTGAAAGTACTCACAGATGTAGTAGTACTCTCTAAAAGTACTCTCAGGTGTAGTAGTACTCTCTAAAAGTACTCACAGATGTAGTATTACTCTCTGAAAGTACTCACAGATGTAGTAGTACTCGTGTCCCGGCCTGAACTCGAAGCCCAGGCTGAACGGCGTGAACAGCTGGAACTTCTCGGAGAACTTGAGCGGTCCGTTGGGGCTGAGTGGGCGGTTACACTCCCAGCGTTT